TAACTTTACTCAATCCTTGTTCACTAGAAATCAAATTGAGGATTGAAAACGCTCTTTGGTAAAAATTAAATATGCGAAAAAGCTCATAACCTCCAATCGATTATTGCCACGTGCACGTGGTTTCATAAATGTTTGTTGAATTGTCGATATCGGTGTATGTGCATATTAATATCTTGGTGTCTATATATATATATATATATATATATATATGCTTTTGTCCTCGCTCCAAGAAAGTTCCCTCTTCTTATCTTTTGACTAAACCCATTCTTGGCTTGTGTGGTGTGGGGAATTCACTAATATGTCGTCGTTTAGCCTTTTAACTATTCAAACTGATTATATTGGCTTAAGAAACAGACTGAAGTACATTAATTAATGTGAAAACTCTCTCCAGTAAAAATAAAATAAAATGTGAAAAAGCTCATAGCCTCCAATCCATTATTGCCACGTGTGGTTCCATAAATTATTCCAACCTCAAAGTGAAATAAATGTATTTTGGACTGTGGATTTTGTCTCTTTTCAACAGTAGATAATTTTTTTTTTTCTTGACAGCTTTTCTTTTGCAATTAAAATCTCACGGTTTGGGTATAAATTAAAATAAATAAAAGTTATTCCAACTTCTTTTTTCACGTTAGGTCCCTTCACAAAGTCTAGTAAAAAAAGTTACACCCTTCACGTTGGATCCCTAAATTTTTAATTGTTTTGTTTATTTCCGATGTAAAAGATTTTTTTTTTAAGAATTTTTTTTTATATTTTTTATTTTCTAAGTTTGATAAGAAATTAGTTTAAGGTTGAAGCTGAGTCAGTTGGACAGAATGTATTTGGATGTGTTGATCGCATCATGTCATCAGTGTACTCATTTACTAATAATGAATTATTTCATAAAAAGTTAACTCATTTATTTATAAAATTATAAATAATGAGATAATATATTATATTTTATTGAGACAAACAAACCAATGACATGCTCACCGCAACCCAATATGTACTCTCAAACAAACATAGTGTCCAGTCTGTAGTGTTGGATCCATGGAGTGCATTATTATTAAGGTCAAGTTTAGGTTGAGATTGAGGTCGAATTCATCAGGTAGATGCATAAAATAACTTGTCAAAATTTGGTGCTATTTAAGTTATTTTTGTTATATTTTAATATTTTTTTCTTATAAATATTTTACTACAATCGAACACCATAAACTAAAAAAATATTTTACATCCAAACAAACATAACCTCCAATTCATTATTGCCACATGTACGTGGTTCTATAAATGTATGTTGGATTGTGGATTTCGGTGTATGTCTCTTTTCAACCGTAGATGGGTTTTTATCTTCTTTAGTATCTTTGCTATTTCAATCAAAATCTGATAATAGATAAATGCTGTAATTTGAAAAATTAAAATTGCCTTAGTTGTTCATATAAATTTCAGGTAATATACAACATTATAGATGCAAATTTACTTCTTGGTTGAGAAGAAGTGGTAAGGTTACAAGAAAAAGCTTATTTGTTGAGATTACTTTCCGTCAAAATAAATAAATAAATAAAAATATTACAACTATTAGGAAGGAATTATTCTATTTTCTTGTATAATAGTAATAATAGAAGAACTCTAACACTGAAGACCTATTTGTTTGATTTGTAATTTTAAAAATAATTTTTAATGATTCAAATAACAATCTTTTAAAATTCTTTAAAAAAAAAAATTCAATTTTCAAAGAATTGAAAATTATCTCTATCACAAATCAAACAATCTCTAAATAACATTATTATTATTTTTTATTTTTGTCTATATAATGGCTTAAAGTTTATACTTTCAAGCGTGATATATGAACTACTTTCGAAAAAGTAATGGGTCCATGGGATGGGACTTGATGCTTTTGTCCTATTTTATAAAAATATTTTGTTACGATATCAACCTTTAATAATGGGAAAGCAATATACCCATTTTATTTTTAAATAAAATGACATTATTGTCCCTAAATTTTGTAATGTGAATATAAGAATTAGGGGCATTTGACAATAGGGGAAGCTACGAATATACACTAAACAATTTTGAAATCACAAAGTTTAAAATAAATTCATAAAGAAATTAGTTGCATCAATAAATCTTATTACATGCATAAGCCCAATCTCAAAAGAAAATTAAAACTAAAAATAAAGTTTTTTTGATAAATCTAATTAATGAAGATTATTAAATATAAAAATTGAAAGCATTATTCATTTAAACAACGAACAAAAATTTTAAAATAATCAACAATCATTTCTCTAAAAAACAAAAAAAAAAAAATTATGTCATCATGCTAGTTTGGCCTTTTAACTATTCAAACCAATTATATAGGTTTAAGAAACAGACTGAAGTACATTTATCAATGTGAAATTTCTTTCCGGTAAAAATAAAATAAAATATGAACAAGCACACAGCTTCCAAACCATTATTGCCACGTGTTCAACGGTAGATATTCTTGTCATCTTTTCTTCTGCAATCAAAATCTCACGGTGGGTCCCTAAATTTCTAACTTCTTTTTCACGTTGGGTCGCTTCACAAGGTCTAGTCAAAAAAGTTACACGTTCAATTTCGTCGGTGAATGTCTCTTTTGCGGTGGATAGATTATTGGTGCAACCCACTATATACTCTAGAACAAACATAGTGTCCAGTCTGTAGTGTTGGGTCAATGGAGTGCATTATTGGTGTCTGTCATGTATATTTTAAACTTTGTGATTAATGTTTATTTTTGAGAGGTCCACTGGCAAATAATCCAAAGTAACTCTACTTTTTTTTTTTTATAAAATAAATTATAAAAAATACCACTCTATTTTAGCATTTTTTTTTTATAAAACTATCATTTAAATTTTCAAAAAAGTGCATGTCAATCTCTCTATTGTGTTTTACCTTCAATTTGGTAGTGCAGTTTATTAGTATTATTTTTTTCTGTGTTTTTTTAGGCTTGATATGAAAACTTATAAAAGCAAAGTAATATCCACACTGCAAATATTTGATAAATGCACTTTAATTTTAGGTGAAATAACATCATTAACCATAAATTTATAATTAAGTGCATGGGAATTAAGAACACTTTTATTTGCTTAAAAAAAGAAAAAAGAAATATTAGAGTGTAATTTATCAGTGAATATAATCTCTCTAACAAAAATAAAACAAATAAATATATATATATGTGTGTGTGTGTGTGTATGCGAAAAGTCCATAGTTTCAAATGCATTATTGGCTTGTGTGGTTCCATAAGTTAGTCAATGTAAGGCCAAAATGTCAAATGTTTGTGGCAGCTGAACTGTCGATTTTGATAGAAAAGAGGAAATGACATGCATCATTCAGCTGAACTTGAATGTGAAGGTGAATGTGAATGCATCATTCAAACAGCTTTCAGTGTTTGTCTCTTTCCTACAGTAGGTAGGTAGATTATTGTGCAGAAGCCTATTCGATTTTTCTCTTTAAAAGTTTTTGATCCCTAAATTTCATCACTTTAGAGAAGATGAGAATATCTTGTGATTATTTGAGCTAATGCATAAAGGGAATTCTAGTTGAATGTGATAGTTGGCGAAAATTTTTGTTGGAAGAAATTTAACCAATCGGGATGAAAACCACGAAGTGATCGTGATTTATTAGAAAACTTGTTAAAATCCATGATTCAGACAATTGCATCTCACAATAATAACCACAACTTAATTTAATCACAAAACAATATTTGAAATATTTATCATCATCATCATAAACTATTTAAAAAATTTCCCTTCTAATGTGTGCATAAGTTCAATACACTTGCCCGTTATTGTCGTGTCCTGATTTTGTATTCATGTTCATATTCTATTTTATTTTATTTTTACTATTTTTATTTGTGTTGTTAGAGTGAGAATTCAACATTTGAAATATTTTCCATGAAGCCCTTACTAAGAGTACTTTGCAAATTGGAGCTGAATATGAATTATTCTTATAGCACAAATGTTTGTATTTGCTTTAATTTATAGTAAATGAATCACCGCTTGTGATTTGAAATAAATATGACTGTCCAAAATTGTAGTATTGCTTAGTTTATGCGACCGAAAAACATAAATAAATGCTGTAATTCGTGAAATTATAAGTTTGTTGGTAGTTCTTGGATTTATTAACTTGGCATATGCTTTTGTCCTCCCTCCAGGTAAGTTTCCTTTGCTTGGGTCCATGGACTTGGTCGCATTTTTGGGGTGTGTGTGTGTGGAATCCATTGATGTCTCCAACTTGCTTTTCATGATGGTATTTCTTTTCATAATTCAAAGAAGCTTTACTTTGTCCTTTTTTATTTTTGACAGGTACTTGGATGGTAAATTGCAAACTTTTGCCAAATTTTCCATATACCGGAACACAATCTCTATCAGTGTCTCAATTTAAGCGCAAAAAAAAAAAAAAAAAGAAGAAAGTCACTGGTGTATATATATACCACGGTTCGCGGTCGCAGTTGCGGTATAACTGTGAATATTAATATAAATTAGCCGAATTGAATAGTTTATGAGGGTGTGTAACAATATCGAATCTTTAAAAAGAAATTACGAACCCGATGATATGTCGTAGATAAGTTGATAAAGTACAATAAAGTACACACCTCAGTTAAACTTTTAACAGTGGTTCTATTTTATAAAGTACAATAACACTCTTTCAGGTTTGTCAAAAAGACGACGAAACTTAGCTTATTTTGGGACAACCCCTCAAATTTAATACAGCCACCAAAGACACCCCAACGATAATTAATTAATATTTTTGCCCTTTGATTTTTATTTTTGAATAACTACACCCCTTTTGAATTACCTTTTTAACCTCCACTTGATTTAGTATTTGTAGACCAATTTATTTCCTTCTCTCCCCTCAGCAACCGCAGCACCCTTATCACCACACAACTTATCTCTTTCATTCATTCATTGGCGTCGTATTGCAACCAATACTTAATCTTTTCCGGTTGGACGTTGTTCTTTGTTGGTTTGATCCCTAAAGCTTACTGTTTTTGGTCTCTGAAGGTAACTATTCAGATTTAGGTTTTGGACCTCTCTGATTTTTAATTTCTGTTTGGCGCACTCTACTATGTTTTTGGCTCAATTTGTATATGATTTACCTTCATTTTTGGCTCAATTTGTACATGAAGCTCCTTGGTTTGAATTGAAAAATCATGATTATTTGTCAGAATTAAAATGCAACAACTTTGATCTCAACACCCAATGAAGGTTTTTTGTTTTTTTTCTTTTTGCAACACTTGAATCCAAAACACCCAATCACGCACACCCAAACACCACCTAATTTCCCAAAAATCCCTAAACCACTCTCTCTCTCTCTCTCTCTCTCTCTCTATATATATATATATACACACACACACACACACAAGCCCACTGTCTCTCAATCTAAAACTCAGAATATACACACACCATCTCTCTATCAAAAATTCAGAATATATATATATATATATATATAGTATCTCTATGTGTCTGTCGCCACTCTCTGTATATGTGAGTGTATATATATATATATCTGCAGCCTCTCTCCTTCTATATAATATTGGTGGTTGCCAATGGAAGAAAAAATTTATAGTAGTCCTCACAAAAAATAACAGATCAACGTACATACAGAAACAAATCACAAAAAGAAAAAGAAAAAGAAAAAAAATATATATATATATATATATATATTATATATAGATGATGGTGAGTGAGTATGACGGATTTATAAATTATTAAACCCTTTTTTCTTTGCCCATCTAGACAAAAGATAAGCTTTAGAGAGAGAGAAGAGTGTTTGTGGAGAGGCCATGAAGTTGGAGAACCAGAGGGTGGTAATGACAGCTGACTGTGGAAATGGGTGTGAGGGAAGAAGACGAAGGAGTGGAAGTCTGTAGAGAGAGATGGAAGAGGGTAGTTTGGTCCTTTAATTATTTTGATATTTTATAATTAAAATTAATAAAATAGTAAAGAATAAAATGAACTTTTCACCCTTAATTATCTTTAAATAATTGAGTTTTTACAATTCTTTGACACTCAGCTATCCTACCTCAACCATACTGCGTCAAAAGTAATGCTATTGAGTTCCGTTCGTGTAAACAATTGGGTTTCCTCCATCAGTTCGCTACGATTTCACAGTATATAAAGATTTGAATTGTGAATTTATATCTTTCTTTCATTTCCTTTCACATGTGGTCTCTCAATCTAGCTCAAGACCCTTCTTCTTTTGCATTTCCTACTCTCTCTTCTCGGAATCTATACTAACTATTCAACTGTTGTTTTGCAGACACAACTTCTTTATTTGTTGATTGTCATATAACCCTAGAATTCGGAATCTCCACTAGGTAATCTGTTTTTTCTTTTTTTTTTTCTTTTTTTTTTTTCGTGTAGAGTTCTAAAAATATCATTCATTGCTTGCTTTTGTAGTTTGATTTTAAATTTCCTATATTACAATTGTACTGGAGATAGCATTTTTTTTTTAACTACCATAGTGTCGGCATTTTTTTTTATTAGAGAGCCTGATCGGGAATACATAATTTTCTTTTATCCTTTATAAAATGATATATTTGGCTATAAATATCTCTACTAATATAACCTTGTCTATATCACAATTTTAAAATGTTGATCTTAAGTTATTTTTCCCTTTTATATGTGCAAAATAAAACTATAAACGATATTAAGGTATTAGCCTATGACACAGACACCCCTCCCAGGGGTCCCGTACTCGTGTCGGATACTTTTTGGACACCGATACCCGTGTTCGAGGTTCGGACACGTGTCCGACACTTATATAAAGTGTCCAAATATTATTTTTTATTGGACACGCGTGTCCGAGGCTTAGACACACGGTCCGACACTTTTATTTTCTCACTCCTCTCAGTATCTCCTCTTCTTCAATTATCACTCTTCATGACCAAGATATATATATATATATATATATATTTAAGTTACATGAATAAAACTTTGTGAAAGGCTGAAAGTATACATGTTTATTCATATACATATTTAGTTCATTATAGCTATGTCTCTTCTGCACATCTTCGTTTGGAATTTGGATCAACTTTATTTTTCATTTATTTTCTATTTTGTCTTGTCTATATTTTTCTTATAACAGAGATAAAATTATTGAAATTGATTATGTTATTTGTTGTTGTTTTATTTATCTGTACAAGATTCTAGTAATTACATTTTGAATATATAATTATATATATTTATATATATATATATAATTTTATAAGCGTATCCCCGCCGTGTCCGTGTCCTATTTTTTTGAAATTTGCCGTGTCGCCGTATTCGTGTCGTGTCGTACCCGTATCCCGTGTCCGTGTCCGTGTTTCATAGGGATTAGCCATAGTTTATTTGTTTATCTTTTACATCTTGTTTATCTTTTTATTTTCTTTGCCAATTTTGAATGAGAACGCAAATATTTTATATATTATTAACTATCTTATGTATTTAAATTAACACTAAATGGTTATTAAGTTTTTTCTCTCAACATCGTGCTGGGATTCAACTAACCCTATAAATCTTGAACTGTATATTTCCACTAAGGAAGTTCACTGACCCCTCTCCCCTGAGAAAGCTAAACCCACCCGCCACTGATATTTTTTGAAATAAATTATAATTAGCAATGATAAATTTCTATGGTTTTTTAATCAAAATTATGAGCAAATAAATTAATGATAATTTTGACCATTATATATAAGTAAAGATACTAATGTTAGCAGCTGCAAATATTCATCTAGCAATTGAGAATATTTATTCTTTAAATTTATAATTTAGTTTACTTAATCACTCCCTTATAAATGGTGTCTTTTTAATGATCAATTTACCCGACACTTGAGGGGCCGGTACTCAGTCCACAACTTCTTATGACAAAAGTTACTTCTAATTTTTTGCTTCAATTTCCAAAAAAAAAAAAAAGTTACTTCTAATTTAAATAAATAAATAAAGAAAAAAAAGTCTAATATGTGTATCACATTGCTTAATTAGCATTGGATTAAGTATAAGTCTAATACACTCCCCCACATGCAGGGGTCAATCCTGTGGTATTAAGGCGATCGCGTAAGGCCTTGAATTTGAAATGAACTCAAATTTAGGACCATAGTGCACATATAGTAATATATATATATATATATATATATATATATATATGACATGAGTAGTGATCCCTCCAATAAGTCTAATATAATATATATACTTATTTCCATGTTCAATAAGTGATTATAATTTAAATTAAATAATGTTGTATTTTTCATGGTCACATTTATAGAGTTTGATTTCTAAATAAAAAATAAAAAAAATCTAAAAATAACATTTAAAAATATGTTGCCTATGTCCTATGTATGGAACAAAATTTTCAATACACACATACTTACATATAAAATAAACCGCATTGCAAAATTCAAACTTTAAAGAATTTAGTAAAAAAACTTCTTATATTCTTTTATTTTTAATTATAATCTTTTTTTGTTTCAATTTAAGCAATTCTCTCTATTGTCTCACACCCTTGCAACTCCATCTCTCTCTCACTTTATGCAATATTTTTTGTTTCTCTTACAATCGTCTCTCATTTAGTTTTCCAAAAAAGTAAACAAATTATTAAAACTAGAAACTTGAGCTGTTATGTATCCCACCAAATTCAATTTGCGAGTTCAATATAATACGTAATTTTACTTATTTTTTACTAATTAATGTAATAAAAAATCAAATACTTCTCTTTCCAAGGATTTTTCTGAATGTTTTTTGTCTCTCTCTTTTATCTTTTTTTTTTTTTGCGTTTATCATTCATGAATTTTGGACTTATACAAGAAAGCTGATGTGCCAATTTTTTGATTAATTTAAAAATTTTTTTTTTTTAAATTTGGAAATTCTAATAGAAATGTTTTACTAATTGGATATTGATTATTTAGTATAACACAAATTTTGCATTTGCTCTAATTTACCGCATTGAAAGACTGGTTGATAATAAATATATTAATGCGACAGAATGTTACACTTAGTTTCTATGTGATCGAGAAAATTAAATAAATGTTGTATTTGAAAAATTAGAAGTTTTCAGTAATTAAATAAGGGTATGTCCTTTTTGTATCATGTTAAAAATTAAATATTCTTTTATATAAGTGAAAAAAAAAAAACAACACATTTATTAAATCTAGAAGACGACAAAATATGTGTAACTTGTGTAATCAAATCTAAATTCACAGTTGTGCTGGAACGTCACCTATTATTATTAAAATCCCATGTGTAATGTGTATATATGTGACAAACCTCTTTGAGTGCGTGTCTCTTTCACACAGTAGCGAATGAATTACGATTGGCTCTTGCTTTAGTGTGACAGCATGGGTCCTTTGCTTTTTTACAATCAATATCTATCATTTTAGATAAAGATGTAAATAAAAATAATAATTTAATAAAACTTTCCTTCTTTTTTGTTTTTTTTTTCCTCATATTGGGTTCCACAACAAGTCAATAAAAAAAGCTATACCCTTCAAAATGATTCATGATCGAGAAGCATCTAGGGGGAGCCTATGAGGAATATAATCCAAAGTAGTAGCTTATTTATTTATTTTTTTAAATGTACTCCCAAGTTGAAACTAAATTTTAGATAATATTATTTTATAATTTTATTATATATTATTTTTTCATATTTTAGTATATTTAGTCAATATATTTAAGAATATATTCATATTTGTGAAGTTTTTGCAATTTACTTGACCAGAAAATTAAAGATTGAAAGAGTTTTTTTTTTCTGATACCAAAAGGCATGCAGTTACGTGATATAATCTATTCATTCTCAAAAAAGAACAATTGTAATAAGCTGTAACAGCATCACAATTTAATCACAAAACAATATTTGAAGCATTTATGATTAAGTTTTCCCCCCTTCTAAGTGTGTACTTAAGTTCAATACACTTACCCTTTCATGTCCCTATTTTGTGTTTATATTATTTTTTTCTTCTTCTTTTTTACTATATTTATTTGTTTTTGTTTTCAGGTAAATTTTAGTTTTTTTTAGTAAATTATTTTTATTTGAATTATTCGAATGAGACAACCTTTTCAATCTCTGATTTGTTACCAGAAAATTTGATTTACTTTTATCTATTTTATTGTCCCAAAAATTTAAAATTCCAAGAAAAAAAATTTACCACTAAGCTTTACTTCTTTCTCCTTAATCAAAATATGGAAACATTGAAGACGCTTTTTACTGCTAAGGCTTGCCCTTGGCAATAATATCACAGTCGACTCTCTCTCTCTCCAGGCTTTTTACAGTTGCTCTCTCTCTCTCTCTCTCTCTCTCTCTATTGGCTTGTGTTGCAGTATTCTATTGGCTTGTGTTGCAGTATTTATTGGCCTGAAGTATTTATAATAAGTGTGGACTGAGAAGGGAGAACCGGACCCTGCATTAATTGCCAGGTACAACATTTTGTAATTTTTTTTATTTTATTAATCCAAAACGTTACCAAAATATTAAAACCAAAAACAACATGAGCGGTAATTTGAAGTACCATTTACTAATTAATTAAGACAATCAAAAATCAATTACTGATCATTCATTAAAGTAATAGTTTATTTGTTCTATTGGAATGAGAATTCAACATTTTATTTTCCCCAAAACCCCTATTGAGTGTGACCTATTATCTGAAGTTACGTTATTTTTCAAAATTTCCTTGATCATTTATTTTTGGACAAGTGTAAAAAACACTCCTAAACTATATTCCGCCCAACACTTTTACCCATATTTAAAAAAATGTGCAAAAAAACACCCCTAATCTTTTCATATTGTGCAAAAATATCCCATCTGATATAAATTAGTGCTGTAATACATGTTTTTCCCTTTTACTCTTCCGAAAATGCCCAAGGGGGTATATATGCTACTAATTTCATACTATATAGGTGTTATGTACACACTACACGTTACCTTATATTTTCTTTTTGAAACATTTTTTTTATATATATATCTCTAAACATTTTTTAAAAAAAAACTTTGAGAATTTGTAGAGCAAGGTTTTGAATTTTTTGAGATTCCAATTTACTCTTTTCTACTAATTTTTTTTTCTTTATTTTATTTTTTTTCGTACCAACACTGTTAAACAAAAAAAAAAAAAAAAAAAAAATTCCAATATCAGTGTGCCCTTGTTTTCGGAGTTTGGAAAAATTTTATTTTTATTAGTTTGTAGTTTTTTTATTTTTATCTTTACTTTTCTTTTAGACTTTTATTTTTATTTTATGTTTTTACCTTTACTTGTCCATTGCCAGGTTTCTCCAATAATGTCATTTTCGGTCATTTTATAAAATTATTTATTTTTATATATTTTATAAAATGGTTTAGAAATGGTAATTTAGTCAATTTAGGGTTTAAATTTGTTAGAGGTACCTATTTGCACCAGATTGAAACTTTAGGGGTGTTTTTTTGCACGAGAGGGACATCCTCCAATAATGTCATTTTCGGTCATTTTACAAAATTATTTATTTTTATATATTTTATAAAATAGTTTAGTAATGGTAATTTAGTCAACTTAGGGTTTAAATTTATTAGAGAGACGTATTTGCACCAAATTAAAACTCTAGGGATGATTTTTGTATGTGAATGGTGTGATATGTACTTAAATATAATTTAAGAGTATTTTCTGCACTTGACCGACACTGAACTATTCTTCTACCTCAAACCTTACTCGTGTGTCAAAATTAATACTATTGGGTTTCCGCCATTAGTTGGCTACGATTTGACAATATATAAAGATTTGAATTGTGAATTTATTATATCTTTCATTTCATATGTGGTATCTCCTACTCTCCCTTGTTGGAACTTATACTAATTATTCAATTATTGTTTTGAAGACACAACTTTATTTGTTGATTGTCATATAACCCTCAAAACAAACAGAGATTTCGGAATCTCTACTTAAGTAATGCATATTACTTGTTTATATTATGTAATCTGCATCATATATATATATATATTTCAATTAATTCATTCGTTTCTTCAATGCAAAGCGAAAAATTATGTTTTGGTTAGGGTACAATCTTATCATCAAATATTGTTGCTTATCATCAAATTTTTTTTTTTTTTTTTTGTAAAAAATGAGATAAATCTCTACGAAAGAGTGAGAGACTTTGTGAGAAACCAAAAAAAGAAGAAGTACATAAAGTAAGAGAGAGAGAGATGGAGTTGCAAGGGTGTGAGACAATAGAGAGAATTGCATAAATTGAAATAAAAAAAGATACAGAAAAGAAGAATATAAGAAGTTTTTTACTAAATTATTTAAAGTTTGAATTTTTCTATGCTGTTTATTATATATATAAATATGTGTGTATTGAAAAAAAATTTACATGTTATTTTTATTTATTTATTTATTTTTGAAAATTAAACTCTTTAAATGTTACCATGAAAAATGTAACATTATTTGATTTCAATTATAATCACTTATATATTTATACCAAAGAGTGAGAGACTTTATGAGAGAAACAAAAAAATTGAATTTCAATATTCTTTTCCCTCCTCTAATTATAATTCCTTTTATTCTATTTAACAAATAAGTTTTTTAATATTATATATTTCTTTATCCAATTATATTTCTTTTTATTGAATTTTTGTATTTTTAGTTTTTTAATTGTATATATTTCCTTCACTAATTAGATTTTCTACTACTCTATTATTAAATATATTTTTTAATATTATAAATTTGGTTCTCTAATTAGATTTTCATTTATCGAATTTCAATATATATATTTTTTATTCTGGTTTCCTTTTATTGAATTTCAAATATTTTCTATTACTATACTATTATTATTATTATTAGTATTTTCAGTACTATATTATTAAATAAATTAATATACTGAAACACTGAAAACAATTTTTGTACTTTTAATAATAAACTTAATATTGTAGATAAATATATTTGGAAGGTACATTGTCCCATGTTATTGCAGCAACCATATTAACTTATTGGAGCAATTTCTTTCATGATGCTATCGTGAGGGCACCCGTAATCCAAAGTAGCTTTACTTTGTCCAATGTTAACTGGAAAATGCTATACAAAATTATTAAATAAGTTTTTTTTAAAAAAAAAAATTATACAAAAATTGCTTTATTGATTAAATAAGTTTTTTTTTTTTTTTTTATATATAAAATTCTTCTTCTTCTTTTTTTTTTTTAATTATATTTGAGTATAATTATACTAATTTTACTTTTGCTGTTATTTTAGAGTGTTGATTTTAAAGAATTTTCAATTCTTTGTTCTTTGATATTGACTATTGACTATTGAGTTTTTTTTTTTTTTTAGTTTTTTAATATTTTGATTTAGAAGAATTTTTAATTATATCTGAGTACGATCTATTGATTTTACTTATTTTTTATTTTTATTTGCTTGTGAATTTTGATGGAATATGTTTAGTCTAATTTAGAGTTTTTGATTAAGTTTTTTTAAAAAAAAAATTATTTCTTTTATTATATTCTAATATAATTTTATTGATTTAATTTTTATGTTATTTTTCAAGTTTTTTATTTAAAAGAATCCTTAATTCTTTCTTCTATTCTATTTGAATATGATTCTATTAATTTTACCTTCGTAGTTATTTTTAAATTTTTTTATTTTATTGTTAAATTTGATAGAATAGATTTCGTGTAATTTACGGTTATTGATTAACTTATTTTTAAATAAAAAAATTATTTCTTCTACTCAAATATGATTCTAGTGATTTAATTTTTGCCATAATTTTTTTTAGGTTTCAATTTACTCTTTACTCAGCAACTTAAAGAACAAGAAAATGGCTGAAATGGTGGTTGGAGCACTTCTCTCGGCTTCCTTTGACGTGCTGCTTGATCGTCTGGCTTCTCCGGAGTTCAAAAGCTTCTTTTCCAAACAAAAATTTGATGATGGACTCAGAAGCAATATGAAGACAAAGTTACTGGCCCTTCAAGTAGTGTTGGATGATGCCGAGGACAAGCAGATTACCAACCCGGCAGTGAAAGCTTGGCTGGACGAGGTCCAACATGTTGTCTACCAAGCTGACGACTTACTGGACGAGATAGCTACCAAGGCCTTGAGGCACAAGTTGGAAGCTGATGATCATCATCCTCCCCAAACCCAAAGCAGCACAAGTATTGTTCGTCGATTTCTCCATCTAATGAAGCAATTTCTGTTACGAATTAATTGTTTTGTCTCGACTCCTGCTTATCATTCTGATAATGCTATAGAGTCGATGATGAAAGAGGTCATCAGTAAGTTGGACGAGTTCATCAACCAAAAAAATTCTCTTTATTTGATGGAGAATGTTGGAAGACAAGGAACTTCCCACTTACCAAACAACAGAGAAGAAACTTCCCTGGTGAATGAGTCTCAGATTTATGGGAGGAACAAAGACAAAGAGGATATAATGAAATTGTTGACCGACGATATTGCAACTGGGAATCAGATTCCTGTGATCTCCATTGTTGGAATGGGTGGCTTGGGAAAGACAACCCTTGCTCAACATATATACAATGATACTGAAGTACATGAGAAATTTCATTTGAAAGCATGGGTTTGCGTTTCCGATTCATTTGATAGTTACAGGATAACAAAGAAAATTTTGGACGATGTCACCGAAACAAACAATAACATCGACAACATTGACAAGCTTCAAATCAATTTGAAAGAGAGCCTCGCTGGGAAAAAATTTCTTATTGTTTTAGACGATGTTTGGAATGATGATTATAATGTCTGGGACAGCTTAAGAAAACCTTTCATTGGTGGAGCACAGGGAAGTAGGATTATCATAACAACACGTAGTGACAATGTTGCATCAGCAATGGGCGCCATTTCTAGTCATCACTTGGAGCCACTGTTGGTTGACGATTCTTGGTCATTATTTGCAAGTCATGCATTTGTGAATGAAGGTCATATGCCTAATTCAGAGCTAGAGAAAATTGGAAGAGAAATTGTGAAGAAGTGTGGAGGCCTGCCTTTAGCTGTAAAATCACTTGGGGGTCTCTTGGGGTCCAATCAGGATATTGAGCACTGGAAAAAAATACTGGAAAGTAAGATATGGGGTTTGAAGGAGAAAAACGTTATTCCAGCTCTAAGATTGAGCTATCAGTATCTTCCTTCGTATTTAAAGCGATGCTTTGCATATTGTTCGAAATTTCCTAAAGATTACGAATTTGAGAAGGAGAAATTAGTCCGGTTATGGATAGCAGAAGATCTTGTGCCGCAGCAGCCCAAAAGCAAAAATTCAGTGGAAGAAGAAGGTAATGACTACTTTCATGAACTACTATCAAGGTCATTCTTTCAGAGATTAAGTGACAGTCCTTCCTATTTTGTAATGCATGACCTACTCAATGATTTAGCTCAAGATATATCTGGGAAGTTCTCTGTTAGGTTGGATGATGACAAACCACTTCATAATATATGTGAAAAAGTTCGCCATTTCTCATATCTTCGGTGCGAATATGATGCATTTGAGAAATTCAAGGTTATTAATGAGGTTAAGTGTTTACGGAGTTTCATATCATTTCGAAGTGAAGGATGGTCTTTTTTCTTGGGCAGTAAGGTCCTACATGATATGTTACCAACTTTGAGATACTTAAGGGTGTTATCTTTGTCAAGATATGAGATTCATGAACTGCCTCAACCGATTGAAAATTTGATACATTTACGCTATTTGGATCTCTCTCGGACTCGACTCAAACGATTACCTAATACAGTAACAACGTTGTGCAACTTACAGACATTAGATTTGTCATTTTGTGAGGATCTTATTGAGTTGCCTGTCAACATGGGAAAACTAGTAAAGTTGCGCTATCTTGATATCCGAAAAACTAGATTTGCTGAGATGCCAATGCAAATGAGCAAACTGAAAGATCTCCAACGTCTAACAGATTTTGTAGTTGGCAAGGATGGTGGGTCAAGAATTAGTGGGTTGAAGGAACTCAGTCAACTTCGGGGGCAACTCTGCATTTCAGAGCTTCAAAATGTAACCAGTGGTCCGGAGGCGTCAGAGGCTAATCTGAAAGGAAAGGAGCATCTTGAAGGGTTGGAGCTGAAATGGGGCAGCGATACCGACAATTTACAAAATGAAAGAGTTGTACTTGACAACCTACATCCTCATGCGGGAGTGAAGCATCTCCGTATCATTAACTATGGGGGCACAAGATTTTCGAATTGGTTAGAGAAAGGTGATTTGTTACGTGACATGGTGTCCTTGGATCTTATAGGCTGTAAAAATTGCTCTTCTTTGCCGTCAATTGGGCAGTTACCCTCTCTAAAATATTTAACAATTGAAAACATGAATGCAATAAGGAAGGTCGGTGGGGAGCTGTATGGGAATGCTTCTTCTTCAATCAAACCGTTTAAATCTTTGGAGACACTAAGGTTTCATAAAATGGCAGAGTGGGAGGAATGGGATGCATCAGGGATTGAAGAGTTCTCTAGGCTTATAGAGTTTTCTATAGACAATTGTCCTAAGTTGACCAGTGAATTATCTATCCGCACCCCAATCCTAACAAAGCTTAACATTTCCGGATCCAATCAAGTTAGGCTGTTACTGCAAGGACTTCCTTGCATTCAGGAGTTGAAGATTCCAAATATTCCAAATTTGACGGAATTGCCGCAGCAAATGCAACACCTGTCTTCTCTACAGAAATTGGAGATTTCAAGGATGTCAAACTTGAAGGAATTGCCACATGAGTTGTGCCGATTAGTAAATCTTGAAAGGTTGAAGATAAAAGAATGCCCGAGGCTTGTGTCATTTCCAGACATGGGGCTGCCGCCGAAGCTTAAGACGCTGAAGATCAGCAAATGTGAAGGTCTACAGTCCCTAGCATCAGAGGAAATCATCAACAATTGTCTTGAAGAGTTGCGTATCTCTGATTGTTTATCTCTTCGTCAGGTGTCTTTTCCTATCGCTACATTGAAAAAACTTGGCATCAAACGTTGTGAAGCTCTACAGTCCCTAGCAGCAGCAACAGTACCATCAGAGGAAATCAATAATATTCGTCTTGAAGAGTTGCACATCTTTAATTGTTCATCTCTTGTTAAGGTGTCTTTGCCCATCGCTACATTGAAAACACTTAACATCTCCTCCTGTAGGAGATTAGAGTTTCCCCTGTCCGAGGAGATGAAGGAGTATAATTACTCCACATCCATTGAAGTTTTGAGTATTAATGAAAGCTGTGATCTTCTCAAGTCGCTGTGGTTAGGCTTCTTTCCAAAGCTTCGTGATCTCTACATCAACTCGTGTATGGATTTAGAGACGCTCTTGATCCCAACCATGCTTCAACATCTGATAACGCTTAGAATAGTGAATTGCCCTAAAATGGTATCCTTTCCCCATGGTGGTGGAGATGGAGGAGTATTATTGGCCATTCCCAATCTCATGTATTTGACAATCTGTGGTTGCAAGAATCTGAAGCGGCTACCGCATCAAATGCACACCCTCCAATCTCTTAATACTTTTCAGATAAAAGAATGTCCGGAAGTTGAATCATTTCCAGACGAAGGTTTGCCATCCAACTTAAGGAGACTTGATATCATTAATTGCAATAAACTGATGAAGGGCCGGATGAGGTGGGATTTGCAGCAAAAACTCCCATCTCTTGAAGTATTCTCGATCAAAAGTGAAAATGAAGAAGAAGAGTTGGAGTCATTTCCGGAGGAGTGCCTGTTGCCCACCACTCTTACTAGACTTTACATCTGGAACTTTTCAAATCTGAAAGCACTGAACCACAAGGGCCTTCAACACCTCACCTCTCTTACAGACCTAACCATCTGGAATTGCCCTAAGCTCCGGTCCTTGCCAGAAGAGGGGCTGCCCAACTCCCTCTCTTTCCTGGGAATACTAGGATGTCCATTGCTGGAACCACGTTGCCAAAGGGAGAAAGGGGAAGATTGGTCCAAGATTTCCCGAATCCGCCGCATACAGCTCGATTTTGGAGAAGACATAATAAACTTAGAGTGAAAATGATTGAGTGGTTTGTAATCGTCCAAAAAAACCGAATCAGGTACTTGTTCTACAGTCCCTGCAACTTAACCAAACTTGTTTCTTTCTTCTATCCATTGAATTTCTCTTTCATTGCACTGCAGACGGCAGTGGTGGTGTGACATTATGCTAGTACGTGGTGGAAGTGCTATTATGTTACGGGTACAGGAATAAGTTGTTGTAGGCAGCTTTGTGACTATACAAGGCCACCAAATCACGGATCCTCTCAATGTTCTCTATTCCTTGTTAATTGCTTTCTATCCAAAGTTGTTTTCTTATAATTTTTTATTGAAATCCTTTTCTCTTTTTCCTTCATTTTTTATTTTCTAAGACATATAACACTTTTTCCTGCGTAAGAAATGGTGACGGTTATGTTTGATTAGAATTCTGTTTCTACCATGAAATTTCAGGTAGTTCTAAATCTAATACAACTTTCAAGCCAATGTTCTTCATTTGTTACACAGTACAGTCTTCAAATTCCTACTCGTACACATTATGTCTACAGGAGGACTTAAAAAATAAGTTCTACTTAAAATAAGTTCTATTTAAAAGGAGGACTTAAAAAATAAGTTCACTTATTACTAATCGTTGGACACTTAGAATAAAAAAAAATATAAAAAAATCCTCAATCTACAATTACTGCTCAAAACTTCAACATTTAAAATTCAATTCTTAAAATTTACTGTACTTAAAATTCAGTTGTTTAAAACTGAAGAACTAAATGTCCAAAAATGCTGGGAATCTCATTATTGTATGTTGAATTTCTTTCATCAACTAATCTGTGTTCTTTTTATTTTTTTTTTTTTTTTTTGGTCTCTCTTAAAGTCATTATGGGTTGATTTTGGCAAGGTACTCCATTTAGATTTTTCAAGGTTTCTTTTTGTTCAGCATTGCATAAATTGGTGGAAGTTCTCTAGGTAGTTGAGGACTGATAAAAAGAGTCAAACACTTTTAAGTGTATCCTCAAGTTTGCACACGGTAAAAAGTGTTTTGGTTCCTGACTTGTTACTCAACTTGATATTAATAATTTGATTTTAGAAAAGAGGAGATGGTGGTTGATAAAATGTCAAGTCTTTTTGGGTTCAATTATTCATCAAAGTAATATGTGTTCACCACGAGTATGACTTGAATCATTGTATAACACAATTTGAGTATCGATAAAAATATAAGTTCTAATTAAAATAAGGTGAGATTTTAATTGAGTGATTTCACTTATTGCTAATAGCTGGACACTTAAAATATATATATATATATATTTTTAAATGCTCAATCTATAAATACTGCTCAAAACTTCAACATCTAAAATTCAGTTGTTAAAAAAATAATAATAATAAATAAAAATAAAAATTGGACCGATTTAAAATTAATGAGGTAGGCAAATTGACTAGCATATGTTCAAAACACATGCAGACTTCTACTTGAATCATTTTTGGTGAAATATAAAATTGTGCCAAAGCCACTACAATATGGTAACAGACATCTATGGGGTGTTTTGAGTTCAATTCTTATTATTAATTATTTTATTGTTACTGGGTATTATAATTTTCACATTCTTGACTGACAAAACCCATGGATGCCCCTTTTTTTTTCATTTTTTTCTTTTTTTGGCAGGGGACGTGTGGATTTTAATGGATACTGTGTTGGAAAACTAATGCTGAATCACAAAATCATGGAACTTATATATATATATATATTGCTGGGCTGTCCAGTATTTTTCATTTGGTTATTGAGTTATTGTGAAATTATCTATCAAGTTGTGTAGTGTACTGTAAGACTGTAAGTGATGCCCACTCCTTAGGCATGGGAGACATTTGCTGGTTGGGCTGTTGTGTAATGTAATGGCTGAATTGAATTTGTACTTCTTAATTTGCTTCAACGATGAAATGTTATCTTTTTTTTTTCTTTTTTTTTTCTTCTTCTTAAATTGCTGGTTGTATGCCAAGGTCTGTAATCCAGCAACATTCCTCTACTTTTGAAAGTGGAAGATGAGGGTTTTACTCTTGTTAGGTACAAATGTGTGCCAGTGTTTCTAACCAACGAAAAATAAAACATTTCTGATTGAACTCTTCAGAAGTGGAATAGTTCCATAATGAAATTACATCAAATATTTCCTTCTTTTTTTTTTTTGTGGTTTGTTGATGGAAATATGTAATCAGTACAGAACTTGCTTTCATGGTGGTGTCAAAGTAGAAATGAAAAAGTATAATTTGACCCTCTTCTAGGTAGGGATCCCGCTAGTGTAAAGTTTTTAATGCTTGGTTTCATGGTGGTGTCTACAGGACAATCTTACTACTACCTCCGTCTCACTTTAAATATCGGTTTCGGAAACCATTACTCACAAAATGAAATAGAGGGAGTTCTTCAAAGAAAAGAGACAGAGTCAACCCACAAAATGAAATAGAGGGAGTTCTTCAAAGAAAAGAGACAGAGTCCAGTAATTTCAAACTGGGCAGAAGAAGGGCTGTGACATTGGTTCTGTGGAGAAACATACTTTTTTTGCACGAGTGTGCGACACCGTTCAGCCTTCACTCACCAAGTGGCTTGCAATGATCTGTGTGCTTCCGGTCTCAACTCAACTGGTACAAGGGTTGTAGCTATCTGCTGTTACAGCACCATGCTGTAGGGTTTTTCATAAAAGCAGAATTAATGTGTTCAACACCATTTACGAAGAAAAAAAACTGTTTTCAGCACACCACTACATCAGAGAATTGTTATCGCAGAGGATCCAGGTGCAAAAAGTTTAGCAGGATTAGAGTAGATCTGTTTATCTGTGCTCAAGTGATAGAAAGGTTGAAGTGATATGGGTTGTATAAATTGTTCATTTTCTAGTACCCCTAAAAAAAAAAAAAAAAAAGGAGCTTTTTATTTCTGAGCAATTCCATGTAAATGAGAATTTAAGTGATATCTGTACAAATCCAAAGACCTTAGAATTCCCCAGTCTCTCTCGCTCTCATTTAATTTTGAGTTTAATACCTAATACCTCACAAGTCAAAGTAAGTGGAAATGGCTGTCACTATATTATATATATTTTTTTCTTAACTAGTACTCACACATACATGCCTCCACCGAGACTCGAACACCTGATATCATTTTGGGAAGTAAGAGTTTGGTACCGCTAGACCACTGACCTGTTGGCTATCACTATATTAGCTATTATGCATTTCATAGCATGGCGGACGGTTCGTAACCCTTCTTCAAAGGTTCGAACAATTCGGTCGGTTTACACCGATATTCATCCCGAATCCATTACATCTCGACCGCGACCGATACCGTAACTGCGAACCACGTTTCATAAACACCATTCTACCTGATTAAGATATCTTTTTGGAAATTTTCCTTGGAATATCAGTTTGACTAGCAATTTATTAATATTCTTATTCTCAATATTCAATCTTGCATTGCATTTGGAGAATCATTACTTACGCTTATCATGCATCATTCAGGAAAAAAAAAAAATTTGGTTTGAAGAGGTGAGGTTTCTTCAGAAGGTTTAACAAACAAAGAAGCAGAACAAACTTGACATGCATCGGTTTTCCGAGAAAAAGGTGTAGAAAATTTACAGAGAAAACGATTGTAACACCACATATTATGAATTTTTACTTTTAGCAAGAAGGTCAGCAGGAAACGCCAAACTACTGAGATCGGGAAAAAAATAGCTCAGATTATCACTGATCCTAGACCTCAATTTGTGCATACCTCACTGGTAATACAACTACAACCACCAAGCCTTTTTCACAACTACTTGGTGTTGGCTACATGAATCCTATGTTTCAACTCTGCTCTATTTAAGGGGTCAAACTACATGCATCGTATCCTTCATCACTAGCACAACCAATATCCACGTCAACTTTGATCTTCCTCTTTCCCTAATATTTGCATACTGGTCACATAAGAAAATACAAAGAGATAAATATTGATGAATACATGATACATTTTCATATCATTTGAGGACTACCTTTCTATTCTGGAATTCATGGAACTCTAAAAGGCTTGTACCGACAAAGGCTGCAAACTTTTCATTTTGCAATCTTATTATGGGAATGCGAGAATCAAAAGAAGTGTCAATGAAATGAAGGTTAGAGTCATGAGCTAAGAGTCAAGGGCTAAATTAAAAATTGACTGAATTGGTGGGATTCATTTATGTTACAGTTAGTGGACAGTGGACACACTAGCACTTTTGTATAATACAATTATTAAATTTACACTTAAACATATTGATAATCCATAGTTTACCCGGACATACATTGTCACGACCTGTCCAGTCAGTGTAAATATTATTCGTTTTGCATTTCTTTCTTTCGATGCTCAAGGTATTTTTCTTAAACCGAGAATTCATATTGTGAGAGGTATCCACACATATAAGGTGCCAACAATTAACATAGAAAACATAAAATTAACATATAACTCTTCTATCTCAAGCATTCAATCAAACATTTTCAACAAAAAAACAAAATGTCAAAACACATAAAGCTACAAAATTATAATCTATACCAATTTCATATAATCCTCCATTTTTGAAGAACGTAACCAGCTAAGAACAACACAATATCTATCCAAACAAAATATGGTATTAAAAAGGGGGAAGTGCAAAAAACATACTTTTCAAAACACTTTTACCCCCTATTTAAAAAGGTGTGCAAACAACACCCCTATTCTTTTCAATTTGTGCAAAAACACCCCTCAATTAATATAATACCCATTCTATCATTTTACTCTTCCAAAAATACCCCTACCAAACCTTACTACCTATTCTTCTTCTTCTTCTTTGTGTGTAGCCCTTATCCGGCACCGTTACCACCATGGCCGCCGCCACTAGTCCTCTCATCTCTCTCTAACCTTTTGCCACCACTCACAATCGGCCTCTCCACCACTACCACCCACAATCGACACCATACAAAGCAACCATCTCCACCCCTTTACCGTAACAACTCACCTCTCATAATCACCGGAACCCTAAATCGTCAACATCAGTACCACAACCACAAAATCCCAAAATCGTAAGAGGCAAAAGCCTTTTCTGTTTTCAGTATCCATAAATTGCAAAAAGGACATAAATACCGGTATGTATAGACATAATTTTCTGCCAAACACATGGTACAGAGGTAAAGTGCAACTCTATAGATGGAGAGTCCTATGTTAAGGCTTGAACTTACCTTTGGGAAAGGGATCGAAGAAGGGAATCCATACGCGCTTGAGTCGTGGCAGAAGACAGAGATAACAGGGAGGGGGGTTACAGAAGATGAGCTTTTATTCCTGTAATTGCAGAAGATGAGCTTTTATTCCTGTAATCCTGTTATAGATTTAAATTAATTGATGTACTTAATTAGCATATCTTTCCTCATTAATTTTATATTCCATTCCAAAATAGTTAAAAACAATATCCCCTGTATCATCATCCTCATAACTTTCTATCTCTCGCTAGGATGAACAATGATAATAGAGATTGTGCTCTGTTGTTCATGACTATACTCGTAGCATCAGCCACACTGATATTTCCATACTGCAGCCTGTTTGTGTGGTGACAAGTGATGTACAAGAAGTCAAACAATACATGAAAATGCGAAGAAGGCTGAAATCCCCAAATCCAAGAATGAATCATTACCAAATCGAAATTTGTAGACAAAACTAAGAACGATTCAGCCAGAAATCCCCAAATCTAAGAACGAATCAGCCATCACCACAGCCAAAATTTGCAGACGAGAAAATTTTAGAGAGAGACAGACAAAAATGCAAGACCTAACGCTGGACCGCCATTGTCGACGCCGTCGGAGTCCTTGGCATCACTTTCGACGTCTTCTCTTCCATCATCGTCTTTTGATTTAAAGGCAGCATTGGCCGAATTCCAACTCCCAGCAGCGGCGCTCCTCCGCGTGCCACTCAATCATCCTAGTTGTCGCCGCCCGGGATCTGGTCACCATGATGGGTTGCCTGCCACGTTTGCCCCGCTGCCATCGACTCCTGGTGTTGGTGGTGGTGTGTATAATATATATGTATGTGGGTGTATGTATATATATATACATGTCCAGTTAAGCAAAAAAAATATTTTTAGTTAAACCCTTTTTATTCATTTCACAAATTATTATTTTATATATATATATATATATATATATATATATTATAAAATGTGTTGCTAAGGGCATTTTAGTTCAATTTTTATAAATAGGACCTATTTGCACAAATGTTATAGTTTAAGGGTATTTTTTGCATGAAAGGGGTGCAATATGCACTATATGCATGCTATAGGGGTGTTTTTTGCACTTGACCCTATTAAAAACCATTCAATTAACATTGAACTCTTCTATCTCATATATTCAATACAAAAACAGAATGTCACAACACATAAAGCTACAAAATTATAAACTATACCAATTTCATGCAATCCTCCATTATTGAAGAAAGTAACCAGACAATAACAACACAAAAAAGAAGAGCAAGCTACCACATATGAGCACAGCCTTTTGGCCAGTGGTGAGTGTGTTACCACCAAGTCCAAACTGCTGGTTCTGAGCAAACCCTGCAATCTCCACACTCTTGCTCTCAAAGAAGTCGGGCACCGCCAGTCCTCCGGCAGCTTGTCGAATTGCAGCCACGGCGGGACCGGATAAGGCGGGTCGCGGCCTCATTGTAGAGGTACCCACATGACCGGCACTCGTAAATTCCGGTGTTCAAGACCACAAATTTCTCTTCCAGTCTACGTTTATCAATATTCTCAGGCTCAGATGGTGGAGGAGTCTCAGAGGAAAGTAGAGCTGAATTGGGTTGTTCCAAAATGGGTTTTTCCGAAATGGGGGTGTCTTCTTTCGAGACATTAATGGAGTTGAATTTGAGTTTTGAGTGTTTGTGGGGAGGTGAAATTGGGAATTTGAGGTGTGTTTTGGGTTTTGGAGGGGATGATTGAGTTGGAGAGATTGAGAGGTTGAATGTGAAGGAGGGTCTTGCTAAAGCCATTAATGGGTTGGGTTGGGTTGTGTATTACACACACACTAACTGTCTGTCTGTGTGTGAGAGAGAAACAGAGATTTTTGTAAATATTAATCGTTTTGCACTCCTTTCTCCCGGTGCTCACTGTATTTTTCTTAAAACTGAATATTCATATTTTGGGAGGTATCCACACATATAAGGTGCCAACAATTAACATAGAAAACATAAAATTAACATAGAACTCTTCTATCTCAAGCATTCAATCAAACATTTTCAACACAAAAACAAAATGTCTGAACACATAAAGCTACAAAATTATAATCTATACCAATTTCATATAATCCTCCATTATTGAAGAAAGTAACCAGCTAAGAACAACACAATATCTATGCAAACAAAATATGGTATTAAAAACCATTCAATTAACATTGAACTCTTCTATCTCATATATTCAATACAACATTTTCAATACAAAAACAGAATGTCACAACACATAAAGCTACAAAATTATAAACTATACCAATTTCATGTAATCCTCCATTATTGAAGAAAGTAACCAGACAAGAACAACACAAAAAAGAAGAGCAAGCTACCATATATGAGCACAGCCTTTTGGCCAGAGGTGAGTGTGTTACCACCAAGTCCAAACTGCTGGTTCTGAGCAAACCCTGCAATCTCCACACTCTTGCTCTCAAAGAAGCTCTTCGCCGCCCCGCAAGTCGGGCACCGCCAGTCCTCCGGCAGCTTGTCGAATTGCAGCCCCGGCGGGACCGGATAAGCCGGGTCGCCGGCGGCCTCGTTGTAGAGGTACCCACATGACCGGCACTCGTAAATTCCGGTATTCAAGACCACAAATTTCTCTTCCAGTCTGCGTTTATCGATATTTTCGGGCTCCGATGATGGAGTCTCAGAAGAAAGTGGAGCTGAATTGGGTTGTTCCAAAATGGGTTTTTCCGAAATGGGGGTGTCTTCTTTCGAGACATCAATGGAGTTTGAAGTGAATTTGAGTTTTGGGTGTTTGTGGGGAGGTGAAATTGGGAATTTGAGGTGGGTTTTGGGTTTTAGAGGGGATGATTGAGTTGGAGAGATCGAGAGGTTGAATGTGAAGGAGGGTCTTGCTAAAGCCATTAATGGGTTCGGTTGGGTTGTGTATTACACACACTCTCACTGGTCTCTGTGTGTGTGTGAGAGAGAGAGAAACAGAGATTTTTGTGCAGAATCTGAGTTTGTTTTAGGTTGTCTTCTTGCAGCTATGGGTCTGGGTGGAGGAGAAATCGAAGGGATCCATGAGAGAGCATATGCTTTCAGGAGAGCGAATTGGATAAGGTGGGAATTGGATATGATCCACTGATCCTGTGTTGCTCAACAACTCTGTATTTCATTGGGAGCTGCATTATAACCGTTTATGCAAAGACATGATGACGCCACAACTACTCTGTATATCATTGGGAGCATTTCTTGTTTTTTAAAGGAGTAAAATAACACATTATGACTACGTATTTCTCAATAACAATCTCATGGAGTCATGATTCATGTGTTATGCTTAAATTTTTAATGTCCAAAAATTAAAATGTAAATTACACTTGCTTTACTTGAGGTTTGGATCAATTATTATTTTGATCTCCTCTTATATAAGAGAAAGTAAAACTTATCATTTTTATAAAATATGGTCAATAAGTGTAGAAAAGAAAAAATTAGAAATGTCATTGAACATCTTGTTAAATCTCATTGAAGGTTTAAGCATGTTTATCCAAAGTGTAATTTATCCAAAATTAAAGATCAATATTTTAGGGTTAATTTAATAAAAAGCACTTTAGGAAGCCATATTTACTTAGAATGTAAACAGTTAAAAATAAACCCTTCAAGAAACACTTTAGGCAAAAGTTATTTCAAGTCTACCAATTTTTACTGTTCATGAATACATGGAGACAAAATTACCCTTAAATATTTTTTGAAATTTACTAAACTGTCCTTACTACTTTTATTTCTTCCCTTACGAGCTATAGTTGGATTACTCAAATTCAAGAACACATTTTGTAGACCTAGGGCATAGTTCAAAAAGATGATGACAAGGATTGTTGTGTCTGAGACTTTAGAGTGAGAAAGAAGAGAGAGGAAGGGGCCGGATCAAAGGGGGAAAGAAGGAACAAGACTGGACTGTAGGCATTCCATTTTCTTAATCATTTTCATCTTTACCATTATCACATCCTAGCACCATTTTCATCATCTTCGTATGACCGTTCTGGCAACTCAAACAATTACCGTTCTAGTAATCCAAACCCTGTACAAATGTATTTTTTGGCAGATCCCACATAATGAAACTCAATTCTAGAAGCACGTTCATGCAATACTCAAGTGCATTAAACGTTTTACTTTATTTAAGTAATAGTTTTATATTCTTAAGTGAAAGTTTTACATTTTTCAGTAAATATTTTACATTAATGTAATTATCATTTTACTTTATTTAAGTAAAAGTTTTATATTATTCAATTAAGGCTTTACATTAGTGCAGTGAACGTTTTACATAAATTTAGTGAATGTAATATGTGTTCCTTGCTTGGTATATGTGTTTGGTTCTCAATTCCAAATGTGCATGATCAGTTATTTAAGTTATAATATTTTTTTTTTATTGCTATGAATTGGAAGTTATAGTGCAAAGTTAATCATTACAATACATCCAAATAAACTGAATACCAAATGTAAGATAGAAGTATTCAAAATGGGCATTTTAGCACCCACTTGACAGATTTGCGTTGCATTCACTTTCTTACCCTGCTTTATTTTGCTTAAGTACAAGTTTATATTATTTAAAAAATATTTTAAATTGGTGCAGTGAATGTTTTACACGAGTTTAATGACCATTCAGTAAATGTATTACATTATTCAAAAAAAAAAAAAAAATTTACACTTATTGCTCCGATGCATTTGACACTTGGTGTAGCAAAAGAAACACAATAAACTATAGGCTCATGGCAATTTGAGTCGCCGGAACGATCGTTGGTTGGGTCGTCGGAACTGTCATATGAAGATAATGAACATGGTGATAAGATGTGATGATTACGAAGATGATTGAGAAAATGGAATGCCTACAGTCCAACCTTGTTCCTTCTTTCTTCCTTTGATCCTACCCCTTCCTCTCTCTTATTTCCCTCTCTAAAGTCTCGAACAAAACACTCTATCTTCACCCCCTTCTTTAACTCTGTCCTATGTCTGCAAAATGTGTTCTTGAATTTGAGTAACCCAGCTATAGCTCGTAAGGGAATAAATAAAAGGAGTAAGGATAGTTTAGTAAAGTCGAAAAAGTACTCGAGGGCAATTTTGTCTCATGCATTCAAATATTGACATGCTTGTAATAACTTTTGCCTAAAGTGATTTTTAATTGGTTTATTTTTAAGTGATTACATTCTAGTAATTATGATTTCTTAAAGTGTTTTTTATTAAATTAACTCAATATTTTAAGTATTAATTATAAATTTAATTTTTAATTAATAATCATTTAAATTTCAATGTCTAGTAATAAATGTGAATCTAAAACCTTTGCCTAAGTGTGAAGGTATTGAACAAGTCATAAAAAGGACAAGCTAAAGTTCCCCGCCCTATACCTCAGCTCACAAACTGAACCAATTCAAAAATTGTTTTTGCTTCTATTTTATTGATTGATGTCATTCTAATCTCATTGACATGTTATAGTACTATAATATCACTTTTTAGCTTTTTTTTAAAAAACTTCAAATTCTGTCGGAGGAGAAAGTAGAAAATACCTTTCGAAGTTACAAAAATTTGAAAATTTATCAGACTCTTGACATTCCTTTAAACATGAACCATCTTTTAGAGAGATAGTACATGCAATTCTTTTCTTTTTCTTTTTTCTTTTTTTTCTTTTTTTAATAACAAATATACTAATACTTAGTTTTCCTAATTATTTTAAGACATTTATGTCATTTTATTCTAAAGGAAAGTGCAAATATGGACACCCCTTTTTAGTTTTTAATTTAGTTTAGTTTAAACATTTGGGGTCCTAATAATTTTTTGTTGCCTGTTTCATGTTAGGTGTGGTGTAAAATAAAATACTTTGATTTAGTTGTTGTAATTTGAATAGTACCAAAAAAAAAAATAATTAGAAAATACCAAATTTTGTATTTTATATTATTTTCCTATTGTAGCACAAACACCATAGTTGTGAACAGCTACTAAACACCGTAAGATACCCTACAACCAGCCATTTTTAGGGATGGCAACGGGGCGGAGTTGGGATGGAGTTGGCTAAACCCTACTCCGCCCCATTAAAAAATTCGTTATACCAACTCCGCTCCAACTCCGAGACGAGTTTATAATTGGTATACCATCCCTGCCCCTACTTCGGTTGACAAAATACCAACTCCACCTCGCAGACTCCGTTTAATTACGGTAAAGTTGAAACTGTTGAATTAATTCTTGAACTTGGGATAGAATACTAAGATCTTGAATTTTTGAAGATTGAATCACGTGCACAATTGTAAAATTTTAGTAAGTAGTGATTCCAGCGAATATATAGTCAAAATATATTAATAAACACTTAAATTATATATATATATATATATATATATATATATATATATATATATATAATCGGGGTCGGGGCGGGGGTGGGGTGGGAGTATCACTAAATCCGCCCCCGCCCCAAACCCGCTTCGGGTTTTCAATTCTTTTACCATATCCGTCCCAAACCCATTTATGGAGCTACCAAATCCGCCTCATTAGGAGCGGAGCGGAACGGAAACCCAGCGGGTTGGAAGAAATTGCCATCCCTAGTCATTTTTACTCAATGGTGTTCCTAAGCAAGTTTTTGTTTTGTTTCCAAAAATTTTGTAACAAAATTTAAGTTACAAAACATAATTCCAATAACATTATTTATGTTTCCAAACATCATCAATTTTGTCTTTGTTTCGAACAAACAATGGGTGTATCATATATTGCCAAGGACGGAGCCAATGAAGGCCTAGGGGCACGTGCCTCACTATCCGGCCCTACCCTCTATAGTATATGTGGTATTTTTTTTTTTCATATATATGAAAAAAATTAATACACTTGCCCCTAAATTTTTTTATTTTTATTTTTTCTTTATTTTCTCTTTTACTCTTCAAATTCATTAATTTTCCTGGTCCGTTTGGTTAGAAAGAAAAATTAAATTTCTATCATACATTTAGTTAACAGAAAGAAAATATAATATAATATTATGAAGAAAAAAAAATAATGTGATAGGAGAGATTGACAACTAGGATTGGCAAAGTTTGACACGACCTGCCAATACTATACGAGTTAAATAGATTTGGGTTTACCTTAAACGGGTTTGGGTCGTAAACGGATCGACACGATTAACCTGTTTAGTTAATCATGTCATGTTTGAGTTGAGGGATTCAACTCATGTAACCCGTTTAACTTACGTGTCATAAGCAAATTTCTATTTAAGTTCCAAAATAACTATCTAAACTTGTATCTTATAATTTATTTTTTAGTAGAGTATAGATTATTTAGTAATTTGATTAGATTGAAACTTATATTTTTCTAGTATTTAATGTTTGATAGAGTATTATTAATAATTTAAATAATAAAATATTTAATTTTATTAAACAGATTACACGTGTAACCCGTATTATTAAGCATGTCGTGTTCGGGTTGAGTTGTTTAGTAAAATATTCTTAAATTGATATGACACGATTACGACTCGCGAACACAAATTGCTATCCCTATTATGACAACCAAGAATCCCAACACTAACCCAATTTTCACTCAACACTCTTACTATTAATAAATAGTTATGTATAATAACCACTCTTAATCATTATCAATTATGAAAAAATATATATTTTACTAATTTCAATCCTTCCGAAAAAATGTGAAAAAATAATTTAATAATGAAAGGAAAAAATAAATTAATTTTTGGATGTAAACATAAAAATACAAATAATTAAATTACTAATACATGATTGTATAAACAATCAATTTACAGAAGAATGAAACTACTTTCAACTCATAAAGAAAATTGGAGAGAGATAATCGACATAAGTATAATAGGAAAATAATATATAAAATGCACAACTTTTGCGGTAAAGTTAATTTTCATGTGTTTTATGCACAAAAAATGGGAATCCTATTTTCCTCAAAACTTTCACTCACCCTCACCAAACTTACTAAAAGTTAAAATCTTTTTCGTTTCCTTTCTGGTTACTTGACTCTAACCAAATGGGAAAAGTCAAAATTTTCTTTCTCAATTTCTCTCTCTCTTTTTTTTTTTTTTTTAAAAAAATTTCTCTCATTTTTCTTTCCTTTTTCTTTTTCTACTTTCTTTTTTTTTTTTTTTTTTTTTTTTTGGTATTTCTGTCATGTGGATGCGTTCCTCATGTTTAGAATAAAAAAGGAAATAATAAAACAAGCAACAGTGTTTTTTTTTTATTTTATTGGGATGGCAAAGCAAATATTCACCCATTTTTTTGCTCATGCCGGACTCGAACCCTTCCTCCTTCTTTGAAGATAGAGATGTCCGTTTGGTAAAACAAGCAACGGTTGCCAAACGACCCCTTGATAGTTTGGCTTACTTTACCAGGTATAACCTTTACAATAAGTCACGTGCATCATCACGTGACAACGAAAGACCCACGGGGCCAGTCACGTGCGGTGTGCTGAAGCGGCAAGGCAACCCCAATAACCCAGTCATACACGAAATATGGAAGAAACTCGTGAACCCCTTCACTCTCGGCCCAACCACCACGCACCCCCTAGTCCGAACCCTAGATAACCCATTACCCCAATTGACCCTCACCCACTCCGCCCCAACCCCAAACCCCCCCCCTTTCTCTCTCTACTTTCTCTCTCCTAACCCATGGCCTCCGAAGAAGATCCCACCGTCTACGGCGAAGAAGACCTCGACGAAGACGACGACGAAGAGAGCGAAGAAGAAGACCTAACCCTAAATAATCCACCCCAAGAAGACTTCGAAGACGACGTCGACGTTGACGACGAGGAGGAGGACTCCACCTCTTCCTCCAATCTCGCCGCCCCTTCTACCGCCGGCCAAGTCACCATAGCGGTCGCCGGCGTCCCCAACGGCGAGCCGTCTCTTGGAATCGCCGATTCGCTCCCCGATCCGAAGCGTCAACGCGTCGAGAACGTCTCGATCGCGACCGTCGTCGAAGAGAAGAAGCCGTTGCCCTTGGATGAGTCTCGGAGGTTGTTTCAACGGCTGTGGACTGACGAGGACGAGATCGAGCTGTTGCAGGGTTTTCTCGATTATAATACGCAGCGAGGGACGAATAATTCGTCGCACCATCATGATACGACGGCGTTCTATGACCAGATCAAGAGCAAGTTGCAGCTCGATTTCAACAAGAATCAATTGGTGGAGAAGTTGAGGAGGTTGAAGAAGAAATATCGGAACGTTATGAGCAAGATGGGTTCGGGTAAAGAGTACGTCTTCAAGAGCCCGCACGATCAGACGACTTTTGAGATCTCTCGCAAGATTTGGAGTGGCGCCACCGCGCGTGGCGGCGGAGGTGCCGCCGCCGCCGTAGGTGTCGGAGAAGAAGGTGGGTTGGAAGATGACGAAGCAAACCCTAGCCCTAACATAAATGATCACAACAACAACGGTATTGATGTGAATAGTGCAGAGAAAAAGGGGTCAAGGTCGCGAAAACGATCGCGAGCTGTCAAAGTTGAAGAAAAACCAGTGTTCAATCAACAACCTCATCCACCTGCAGTTCCAACCGCAGCTTCGATTCCGAACTTGATCGAGGACACTGTGAGGAGTTGTCTCTCGCCTTTGTTCAAGGAATTGCTTCACAATGTGATGAATGGGCCGTGTGGTTCGCGAGGTTTCGGAGGGCTGACATTGAATCCGATGCCTCTGGGTTTCGGTGGACCGATGAATTTCACCAGTGGGGAAATGGTGGATGAGAAGTGGAGGAAGCAACAGATTTTGGAGTTGGAGGTTTATTCGAAGCGATTAGAGTTGGTGCAGGATCAGATTAAGTCGTCTTTGGAGGAGCTGAGATCGAAAGGTAGTTGATAAAGCTTTCAATTTGGATTTGAATTTGAATAGTAAGTAACTTAAAGTTTTCTTTTTGCTTGGGTTCATAAATTTGTTGGTCATTGATCAATGGTTAAATACTGTAGGTTGTAGTTGCAGTCTGTTTAGATTTCATTTTCTTGTTTATTTACCTTAACAGTTGTTGAATAATGATATTTATGAATTCAGCATTTGGTAGCTTGTTCGAATTCCTAAGGTTCTGTGAAGATAGTTGTTTGACATGTATGTGGGAGTGAATTATAGAAAAAGGAATGATTTTTATTTCTCAACAAGCTTTATATCCTGTGAATTTTTGCTTGTTAATGGTACCTGCATGGTTGGAATTAAAGGAATATGTATCTTGCCTATTCTGATTCCTTGTAGAGCAATTTCTTCATATCATTTTTTTTTTTCAATTTTTTTTTCATTTTTTGGCGGGCGATCCATCTTCTCTATAATATTCAACTCAGTGGTAAGATTCCCAGTGTTGCAGTGTGGGATGAAGATGGAGGTCTTGTCAATTGTATTAAGGTCTGTCTCAAAGTATAGTTATTAGATGGGAAAATTCAGGATAGAAAACTTTCATGCTTTAGAGGATTCCTTTCTTGTTTTTCTCCCCTTTGAGAGGATAATAGTTGTTAAGGTTTTTTTGGTGACTTTAGTAAGCCGGCTTTGTGAATCAAAAGTATAAATTGGCATAATACAGGATTGACCCAAAATGAGCACTCTGATGATGCTTTTAGACTCTGGGTGGAATTTTCCTTGCAAAATATCTTTTGTGTCATTGGTGAATTATGTTTTGGCCGTATAGTCTATTATGTTCATGTTTTTTTAGTGTCAATATTTTTAGGTTTGCCTACTGTTTGATTTATTGTTAACTTTTGGTTATTCACGGAGCCAGTATTATGGTTTGCTTTTACATCAAATTATTGTTGTTATTACAACAGTATTATGTAGTCACAGGTAAGAAATTGTTTGTTTACACCGAATTTTTTGGTTGTTTGTTCTGTGCATAATTCTTATGTTCAAAATTTTGAGAGTTTTTTATTTTATTTTTTGAGATACTAATAGGAATAGTATGGGCTTCTTATGAATAAGTTTAATACTCAATGTATTGTTGCTACAGTGGTTGGAAAACACTAAAAGGGACGTTGAAAATACCTTTTAACAATTGAATAAATCTACAATAAAAGAGAGAGGAGATAGTTTAGCCATGATAAGTCATTTCAGGTAAAATAGAGTCATCTGATGCAGAGGTATTTTCAATATTGCAACGAGTAAAGGAGCTCGGGTCAAAAGTCGTTTGCATCGGTTGGAAAGATGACATATTGGAGAAACTTCCATTAGGCATATTAATGATTAACTGATTAAGAGTCATTTGTTAAATTTAATCGGAAGGATGTAACCGGAAAGTAGTTCTGATTAAATGTTTTTGATAAATTTTCTCTACTTACCAATGAGGAACAGATTTTTGATTTAGAGGGTGTGGCTTCCTATTTTAGAATATCTTATTACAAGCACCAAAATAAATGCTCAAAAGATTTCGGAAGTTGAATTTTAAAGTAAAAAAATAAAAAAAGAGCAAGAGGTGAGTCCAAGGCAGTCACGCCTATGGAAATAGCCATTGTGCATTACAAGTAAGAGGGTGGTGTATTTGTCTTGGAGAGACTGTATGTTAGTTCAGAGATAGGAATGTACTTGTGGAAGAGATGTTTTTACTAAATGTTATTGGTGAATTATCTCTTTTCAGATTTCAATCTCTAAGGCAAGTAAGTAAATTGAATTCTTTTCAAGTAGCTATAGGAGCCCTTGAATGTGCTCTTCTCGTTTTCTTATAATGCTTTTCGAACATTCATGATTCATTCTTGCACTTGGATACACGTAATGTAATATAGTTTATATATATTGGAAATTAAATATAGTTTATATTAGCTATTGGGAAGAGTTTCTTTTTGGAATTTGTAATCTGGCTCCAGCTTTGTTGAGGCCTTGTACTCACATACACATGCCTCCATTGAGGTTTGAACCTGACCTTCTTTTGGGAAGTAGGGGCCTAGTATCGCTAGGCCACTGGCCTGGTGTGTGTTTTTATTTTTTTCTTATGAATAGTTTATATTAGCTAGTGGTAAGAGTTTCTTTTTGGGATTTGAATCTGGCTCCACCTTCGTCAAGGCCTTGTAGTTTTTTTTAGTATATATGTATTTTATTGACAAGTATGTGTGTGTGTGTGTTCTCATGAATAAAATTGTTATTTATTGGTTAATTGGTGATTGGTAGAGAGACAGATGTCTTCCATGTCCAAAATTGGTCATCTACTGTGATACATCATGACCATTTAAGTATTGTTTTCACTCGAATCCTACTAAATATTAGAGTAATATTTGATATGATGCACTTAAGGTCAGATGAGATAGTGTGGATGAAATGAACAAATGTTTTCTAGAAATATGTAATAACTAAATAAGAAGATTCATGGGGCTGTAATTTAGCCATACTTCTTGCTGCAACTACATAATGGACCTACCTAAGTTTTATTTTTTTGTATGGCAAACACCTTCACTTCGGATAATTACCATCTTCTTCTCTTTGATTCATGAGTGATCTCTGTATCTTTATTAACGACGCCAGTAGATCCATGTGCAATTTCAGATTACGTATTCAAAATTTTCAATTTAGTTGTTCGGAATTGTACCGTAATCTGTGTAAACTAGAATATGGCATCATTTTGAGGTTTTTTTAGTAATGTTGACATGGCTAGAGTAAATAGAGTTTATAGAAGACCTAAGAGACTAGATCCCAGTTATTTTTTCTCCCCGTTGAGCTGAGCAGAGTGATTTGTAGAGGTGGTTGTAACAATGATTAACTTTATACAAGTGTGGATATATATATACATTTTTGAGCTCGACAAAGGGCTTTTGGCAGGTGGTTACAGGAGTGATTACTCTACTCTACAGTCAATAAAGTTGAGCTTCTTTTTGAATGTTCATGAGTTATATTATTGTGTTCTTGCTTACTTTTTCGCATAAAGTGTGTCCGATCACATGAAAGTGTTTAAATTAATTGAATATGGTGAGACCATTTTGTCCACGAGCAACATTTTGACGTCTTCTATGGCCAAGACCGTTCTTTTCATATGTTTGAAAAGCATTATTTAGGCTTGGAATACCAGATTTCTCATCCCCTGAAGGTGCCCTGGTCTGTTTTCTTTCCAGAGAATCTGTCATTGCCTTATGCTACTATTGTGAAAATTTATGTGCCTGAAAACTTTATTTTGTTGTTATATTGGTGGATTATTAAGCTTTTTTTTTCGAAAGTACAAGCAAGTGCATACTTACCGACAATGTTGCCCCCTATTAGGGCTTGAACATTCAACACTACATACCGAGCCAAGCTCATTAGCGTTCAATGGCGATCTTAAATAGCCTTTGTATCATATCGGGCAATGCAAATTTTGATTTATTATTTATTTATTTATTTTGTCCTACATTGCAAATTTTATGTTACAGTTGGAGTCCAAATTATCCTTTTACGAGTTATGTTAGATATTTTAAAAGTTATGTCTAAGTTTGCTCAAATATCATATTCAAATATCTTTTGAAAATAATTATAAGATTATAAATGTTTGTTCTGTTTAATATCTTTTGAAAATAATTATAAGATTATAAATGTTTGTTCTCTTTTCCACTCACATTTCAACCGGTACTTGTATAGTAACAGTTCTACCGTAATTAATGTAAAATAACTTAAATATCTTTTAACTTAAATAATTAAATAAAAAGAATAAAATATCCCAAAATGTTTACAAATCATAATGTATATCTTTATTGTTTCTTATGTTATGTGTGTGTGTATATATATATATTATGTTATAACCATAGATATATGTTCTTCCTCACATATTCACGGTACCAAGCAGAGCCTATTGTATACAATAGACGTGGAGATGTCATCAAAAAATAAAATAAAATTGAATAACTTAGAGCTGATGCTCACTCTTGTACTGTTTATCTTTTGCTTGTAATGAAATTATTTTAAAAAATTGTGAATACTTAACAATTTAATTTTTTTTATATATAAATAATTGGAAAAAAAAAAAAAAAAAAGAAGAAGTTAGAAGTGGGAATGGGAATGGGAATCATCCAAAACTGGTAATCTTTAATAATGCCAATTGTGACACACATCCAAGGATGGCCAACACAACAGAAATTAAATGCAATGGTATGCTGGTATATAATGAGTAATTATGTATTTATGTTTGAATTTGTCAATTGTATCTTTTCACTGCCCTTTGGATCAAATCCTCTCCTCTTCTCTCTTGTTTTTTTGGATTAATTTCACTAACACCCTGAGGTTAAGTTATTTTTCACATAAATGAATATTTTGATTTTTACTCTCACTTACACCTTAACTTACCTTTTGAACTCTGACACATGTAAATGGACCCTTTTATCCTTAATTTTATTAATATAATTTAATACAACAAAATCTATAACTCTAAAAGACAAAACTACCCCTCTCATTATATACTAACACAGTAACACACCAAATGACACACACCACAAAGCACCCAACACACCTCTCTGCATCTCTGTCTAACCAAACTAACCTATGTACTCATGGAAAATATAACCCACAAATATTTTCCGAAAAAAAAATATATATATAACCCACGAAGCCCTCACTTTAAGATAAATAGAAAGTACTAGCAAATTTTGCGATCTCAAATCCCCAACTCATTTTGTTCAATGAATAGTGAATACTACCTGTAATAAAATAGAATATCCATTACTACGTCAAATTTATATTTTGAAGAAAATGCAGAATATACATCTAATAAATTATACTCTACTGTATCCCATAATCAAGAAGACATGCCCATTAACCTGTCCATAGTTTTCTGCAGCTGATATATGATTTGATATTGCAAGTCTATATTCATACATATGCATGTTTGTAACTTCCAAAGCACATATATCTGAACAATTTTTTCAGTTCCAAATACTCCTACTTTAATGTTGCAAAAGAATGCAAATGTTCTATATACTCTTTAACCTCCATATATACAAACCCATTTCAATATTCTTCTTCAACTTCCAAAACCAGCGAAATCTGTAGGAGAAATAATGTTAAGGGTTGTCCAAACCGATTTGAATATTACGTGAGAGATCAGTGCAAATCGGGTAGGATTAAACTCAATGATGCCATGAAGTACTTTGACAAATTGAATCAAACGCAACCAATGCCGTCAATCGATACGTTTAATCATCTATTGGGTTCTATCTCCAAGCTCGGATGCTATTTGGTTGTGTTTTCGCTATATAAGAAGATGGGTTTTGCTGGAATTGAGCCTGATTTGTGTGCATTGAACACTTTGATCAGTTGTTGTTGTCACTTGAATAATGTCAATTCTGGGTTTGGTCTTTTTGGGGAGATTTTGAAGAGAGGTTTGAAGCCGTCAGTACTCTGGTTAAGGGTTTGTGTATGGAAGGTAGGGTTATGAATGCAGTCCAGTTGTTTGATGAAATGACTGAAACAGGGTGTCCAAGGAGACTTGTTCGCATACGGAATTCTTATTAATTGGATTTGTAAGATCCGCTCTTGAGTTGCATAGGAAGATGTTAAAGACAAACTGCGAGGTGAATGTATTTACATATAGTATGATCATTGATTCTCTTTGCGAGGATGGGTTGATAAGTGAGGCGATTGATATCTTCACAGAAATGATTGGCGGAGGAGTTTCTCCAGATGTTATTGTTTGTAGTTCTTTGATTAATGGATTGTGTAGTGCAGCCCGGTTGAAGGAAGCTGTAAGTTTTTTCGATGAAATGGTACAAGTCTTTGATTCATGGCTTTTGTTAGTTGGCCTTATGGGTATTTTTGTCATGAAAAAATTGAAATACACTTCTTTTTAGTCAACAGATGGTCAAAAGGGGTAGAATAGTCATTTTATACTTAAAAATATTTTACTTACCCTCCAAATTGACATTTGGGGTGTAAATGAAATACAAAACACTCTTTCAAATATGAGTGAAAAATAAAATCAAAATTTTCATCTAAGTGAGAAATAACCTAACCTCACGGGTCTGAGTGTAATTTACTTTTTTTCTTTTCTTTTTCATTTTGTGCGTTTAAATCTTAATGCATTAATTTTAAATCGACAACTAAACAACTATGAAAAGTTCTTGAATTATTAATTTATTGGTTTTCGCGAATGAAATATGTTGCGTGAATATTGTATCTTCGATGTAAATGTGTTGTTGTTATATGATGTTGCATATGTAATGTAGTGTGTTATATGATTGCCTTTAAAGTGCAGGAGATAGGCATAAGAAGGGATTGCAATTTGCCCCACACCCCGTCCCACTATGTTTATGGTGGTTTTGGAGAACCATTTAGCTTATTTTGGCGAGTATGATTTTTACTAATAAAAGCTTGCGTGGGTTTAGGATTGGGCGGTGGAGGTCTCCCCGCCCCACCTGTTTAGGTAGATAAATTAATAAATTAATCTTATTTTATTAGCATATATACGTAGCATTAGAAACCTTAGGTCTTATATTCTCATTCAATGTTTGTAATGTTGAATTTTATATAAAGTATTGATGGCCCTTTTTTTTTTTATGGATTTTATATATTATTGTATTTGAGGGGCAAAAAATTTAAAAAGGAACAAACATACTGAGACTAAATGGAGAGTGGCGGGTGTCCGCAGGGTGAAAAAGTTAAACAAAGGTAAAAATTGAGTAAAAAAGTCTCCCATTTAATTGGTTTTGGACCGGAAAGGGGAGGGTACATTCACCCAAAACTGCTCTCGTTGCTATCCCTAGGCATAAGGTGAGTGATCCAAATCAAGATTCCTCTCATTTTTTAATAGACTTCAAACCCTTAACCTTTAATAGAAATTGGAAATAGGATTCGTATTGTCTCGTATATGTTGAATTTCTAAATCATAAATATTTATTACACTTGCATAATATTTTGTTTTATAATTTTTGTTTTTCTTGATTATACTTGATATTTGCATTTGACAAATTTTAAAAATAATAATAACATTTTTAATAAGTATATAATGCTTATATCAAGCCCTTGACATGAATAAAGAACAAATCAAGTTTGGATTGACACATAACTGAATGTTTGTTTTGTCTCAACACTTTAATTGACAGAGGACCAAACAATAACCCAAAAAAAAGGCTGGCAAGAAAAAAGACCGAAATTTGAAACACACAAGTCTATGATTTCTTCTTCTTCAAATTTTTTTTTTTCCTCCATCACCAAAGGGTTAAAACTACAAATAAACTCCAAACCCAAACAGGCTTGAAGGGATTAGTTTTCTTTTTCCTTCCCCTTTTTTTTTTTTTTATTTCTTCCCGGCTGCAATCAAAGACCTAAATATTAATAGAAGATGAAAAAAATCTTGCAGATAACCAGATAGATGCAACAACATCAAACTTCCAAATCAAACCATATGAAGCTCAAGAGATGTAAAATGGTTTCAATCAGATGTACAAAGGACCTGTTTTTTTCCAGAACATGTAAACAGTTTTGCAATAACCCAACTGTTAGGAATGAAGGTTATGGGATTGTATCGTAAGCAGAAAAAGGTGGGAAATTGATTAGTACATTGGAAATTTGGCTTTTGTTTTCTCAAATACTTGCTCTGCAATAATGGCCCCATTACCATCAGCTCTTTTGATCTCCAAATGAGCCTTCTGATAAAACCCGGTACCCCTCAATGCATCTGCGATAAAATCATCAAATCCGATCGCAATTGCTGCTTCAGCTTTGGCTCCATAAACCAACCTCTGCGCAAAAGAGAAAATGGTGAGGGAAAACGTCAAGAAATCACTGGAAAAAAGGAGGCGGGTAGGATAACGAACCTTGATTCTTGAAAGATGTATAGCGCCAAAGCACATTGGACAAGGCTCACAAGAGGCATATATTTCACAGTCTGACAGCTCAATTTGATTGAGCTTTTTACATGCCTGAAAAACATATCCCATTCTGATAATGAGAATCAAATGGCAATATAACCAAAGATGCAATATCCACAAGTCATGAAGTTTCACCAAGTCTGAAAGTGAAGAAAATCAAGCTCATACATGCAAGAACATGAACAAAAACGCATCCCTTTTCCGGTAATATATCACACAAGTTTCCTGATTTCAAGAGAACCACAATTCAGACTTCCTCATTTGAAGCTTTTTTACATGGAAATAAACGTTGCAAGGAAATTCAAGATTTTCTCATTTACACTCAGAAATGCACTCTGTCAGGAGCTTTCATGCAAAGGTCAATGGAACGCTCAGAGTTAGTTCTTTGCGCTATTTTTAAGGCAATGTTGATCGAACGATAAACTGTCGCCCAAAGGGCTAAGGCTGAGAGGCTTGCTTGCTGCTTTGCGTTATTTTTAAAGCACCAATTGGGGTTCAACAAGTGGGTTTCAATAACCTGCAGGGGAACCTCATTTTTTTTTTTATAATACTTTTGGTTGTTGCAGGCTAAACTTCTTTCTTTCAATGAAGATCATGAATTTTGAGGGTCCGTTTGGATATGTAAAGAAGTGATTAAATCCAAGTTCCTCCTCACTTTTTGTGCTCTGATTCATGAGATAACAGTCGAATTTGGGAAATATATATTTAATTTAGGATTACAAACAATGAATTCATCCAAAAAATATTATACCAAGGATAGGCTGATAGGCCAACATAAAAGTAGTCAACCTTATCCCAAAATGATTTGATTCTTAAGATTAAAAATAGTCTCCCAAGGTTCGCATATACTCAAGCTTAAAATTTAAACTAAATCAACATGTACAAGTCTAGTGATGTTAATTTTATCATTGTAGGAGACTGCCAACACCATTTGCTGGATCGGTTATAGGAATTTTGATCCTCAGTGTTCCAGGAATTTGTGTGTAAGCTCCAGGCAAAGCCAATAATGTTCTGCACTCATTGTGTTGGTTCTGTGAAGTTGTGAACAGGTAAGCGAATTTTCTATAGTGTGTAAGCCAATGATGTCCTATAGTGTGATTATTATGGTTGCTTAAAACTTAGCTCCAAAAATAGTTGTGTCGTCTACATCCTTCTATTTACTTTTTGCTTTCTATTAAATATTTAACTACATCCATCTATTTACTTTTTTGCTTTCTATTAAATATTTAATTTCTGTATAAAACAAGTTTATATTTTCCATTGTAAAAGACCATTTTTTGTATAACTCACGAGAGAACAGATTTCAACTTTCTATAACCAAAGTCATAATTTTTTTCCGAAAGAATCAAGGAGAAACTCAACATGTTCAACAGAAATGAGAGATCTCATGGAATTAATTACATCTACATGTAAAAAAATTCTAATGCCTTTTTTTAAGTGAAAAAAAAAAAGTTCTAATGATTTTACCTCGTGTGAAGTTGGTTCAATTTAAATTCTCGTCATATGGTCACGACTCAATTTAACCCTACTTAAATGAAATCTAGGCAATGCATGATCTATATACCAAGCAGAGGGCATAGGATCCGCATCCACTAACCACTCTAGTTCTTGTTCCCAGCTCACAAGGCCAAAGTGTCTTATTTCTAATGATTTTACCTCGTGAAGTTGGTTCTATTTAAATTTTCGTCATATGGTCATGACTCAATTAAACCCTACTTAAATGAAATCTAGGCAATGCATGATCTATATACTAAGCAGAGGGCATAGGATCCGCATCCACTAACCACTCTAGTTCTTGTTCCCAGCTCACAAGGCCAAAGTGTCTTCAATTTCAAAACATTTGCTAACAAAAAAATCCCCATGATTCCACCTACCCTAAAAGGCTAAAAGGCATAGATTATACAATAATATTGGTAAAGATGGGGAAAAAGAAAAGGAAAATAAAAAAATGAGATCACGATCCTGTTAGATATGCCATCTCGCAAAAACAAAAACAAAAAACAACAAAGAAAAACAAAAAAAGTGAATGGAGATAGGATTGTAGTGGCAAAGGAAGTACAAGCAAATGCATAGATGAGACCACATAAGAATCACTAAAATATACTACACACATAAGAAAGTTAAAGGATGTAGTTGATACATAGAATGAGAAGAGCGAGAAATTTCAGTAAACCTAGACTCTAAAGTATATATTGACCATTGCCAATTTCACATTACCAAGAGGTAAGAGGAATCTAATCAAGGATATAAATCCTAATTGAAACAATAGGGAGCCTCACTCAAACAGGGTCATCCAGTTACCACTACATCACAAAAAAATTTGGCAAACAGATTGGAGGCAAAAGTAGAATTCAGTATGCAATTTCTTAACTTGAGATTTCCTTTGAAGCCTATAGACCCGACAGTAACACAAACTTCATACGAAGGTCATTTGTGCAGTTAAATTATTAGGGCTACAATGTGAAAAAATAAAATAAAAGAGTTACTCATGATCCAAGTTCACTTAATGCCAAAAGAGAAATTAGCAAGAACATCACAAGGCAAGCTAGCATCGCCTCATAAGTTCTGTTCACCACGAGCCAGCTAGCATTCCTTCTTTTATCTTTCCTTTTACAAGAAAATACAAGCTCATTGCCTTCTACCCAACCAGTGAAGTATCCACCATTTTCTTTGTATGTTAAGCCTCCCAGCTATTGGACAGACATAATTAAAGAGGTAAAATTGTAGAGGGAATATTCTATGAGAAGACAATGTTTCTTCAGGAACGTTCATTACATAATTCCCAAGAACTGTAAGTCCTCAACACTATTATTTATAGTATAATTTCACAAACTAAATGCCCTTGAAATTTGTGAAACTTAAACATACAAAAAAGAAGAGAGTAAGCAGATCAGGTAGGGAGCAATTACAAAGAGGAATATACTCAAAAATTAAAAGGAAACCAGATATATTCCTGACTGGAAAACAAAGTCAAGAAACACTGTCATGAGCCCAGTAGAGGCAAAATATGTAAAAAAACACTTAATTGGCAAATAAGTTAATTCTTGTTTGCAAGTCATAGAAAGTTGTTCCAGTACAAATAAAAGGGCAGATTAAGCATCGGTAATAAATTTGACTGATTTTAACAAGGTTTACACAACCCTTATCCTTAATCTATGTACAAGTTTGATATGATTGGTTCAGCACTGTGATTTGTCAGGTAGCAAAGTGGCATACAGCTAGGTGAAATCTCCCCGTGGCAAAATTTATATCTTAGTTTCATGTATATTTTTGTGCCTGTGTGAGAGTGAGTGAATGAGTGAGAGACAGAGATGAAATCCTTGTACCCTAAAGTCAAAGAGATAGTTATGAAACAACATTATATGCTTAACATTTTGTTTTATAAGTACACTATATGCTTAACCCTTGCAAATTTGCTTTGCAAATATTCAACTAGAGAAAAATATTTAAGAAATACCAGGCTAATATCAATAAGATCTCTTCAAGAATAACAACAAGACAAAACAGCATCTAAACAACCGAAACCAATAGACTTTAATGCAGACAGATAATCATGAGTGGTCACGTGAGTAATTTCTGAGTCTAACCTCTCTTATTGCTGTAACCTCTGCATGCGCAGTTGGATCTGTGTCTTTCAACACCAAGTTGTGACAGCTTACAACAACTTCATCATTACGAACAACAACTGCACCAAATGGGCCTCCATCCCCACATTCAACCCCTTTATATGCTTCTTCAACAGCTTTTGACAAGAATTTGTGATCTCTGTCCTTTACAGCTGGTTGACAATCACCAAAAGGAAACCAAGATAACTATTGTTATAAACGTGCCTTAACTTTCACATAAAATTGGTCTCTTCACCAAGTAGACCATAAATAGTTTTATCAAATGTACTTCCACATCTAACAAAGTCGCAGAAACAATTATTCCATAGTTGCACCAGTTTATTGGAGAGTTAAAAATATAATGACACAAAAAACAATATTACCTATCTAAACCATGAGAGTTATTATCAGTAAGGAAGACAACGAAGAGGGTTTGAATGTGAATGTAGAGTTATTATTTATGTCATCCGACTTTATATATCACAAAAAAATACAAACCACCCAACCAAGACGAGAGTGCATATACATAGCAAAAAACATTGTATAATCAAGAATAGTTACAGAAAAAAAAGAACTATAAATAAATGATCAAGAATTTGAGATTACCTTCCTGATAACCAGCAAATGCAGAAGCAACAGAAATGGTTCCATCTTTAGCTTCAACCACTAACAAACAGGAAAAAGTAAAAAGTGAATACAGGATCAAACAAATTATACAGTAAATGAGATGGAAGTCAGTTTTAATAATACAGATTCCCAAAAACTAAGACCATTCTTAAGAATACCCTTCAAATTGAACTACCACTAAAATCTCAAGGTATGCCGGATTATATGGTAGGTCAAGAAATCAGATCAAATAGATAAACGCTAATAATCTTATCCAATTGTGGATTCCAGATTCAGGATCTATTAACAAATATTGCAACTAAAATGTTGCAGAGCTAGCCATGAAAAGAAATCCAAAAAACATACACAAAAAATTAACAATTGTGCATCATATTCCAGAAGACACCTTGAATGAATGGCTTTGTTCTGCTTTACACAACATAATCCACAATTGGCAAATTAGGAGAAATTAAAAACATCATGGATTTCATTACTTGTGATGATGGATCCACGATGCCCCATCTTTTCATGATGGATTTGCAAAGCAACTAATGCAATTTAAAACTTGGGTTGAGCAAAAATCAAGTCAACAATCGCAATGAAATACCCTTCTTTTCATTTTTTTTTTATAGGTAATCCAGAATACCCAATATCAGATTCATCCCAAAAACTAAAAATAAGAGACACCCAACTGAGAATTTCATCTCAGAGATCAACAAAGAAATGGCTGATGCAATTTTAGAAATCATACATAAACATAACGGTAATTTTCAAAAAAAAAAAAAAAAAAACTATATGAAAATCCAATCAATCAAAACAATATATATATATATATATATATGTATGAACAAATGCTGAAAAAAAGCAGAGGGTATCACATAATCACAAAAACCCACAACGGAAATATAACAAGGGTCTTACCCTTGGCCTCCTCCATGATGAATTTGGGGGTGAAAAACAGAGGAAGCAAATGAATCCAAGAAATGGGTATTGAAGAAACGGGTTGGTTGAGAAAAGATGGAGATAAAGAGAGGGGAAGACGTAGAAGCAAACGAGAAAAAACTGGTCCACAAATTTTTCAATATTATAGATTCACGGTGAGAGAGCGAGAGGGACCAGACTCAAGAGCCAAAATGCCGACAAAGAAATAAAGAGGTTAAGAGGACAAAATGGAATCTCTAGCTGGTGTCTTTCGATTACTTTTGGTCTAAAACGAAGTGATTGTGAAAATTCTGGGTTTTTCTTCCCCTGTTAACTACAGAATAATGGGTGGGGAGAGAGGAGATATTGTACTTTTTCTTTTCCTTCCTCCTTTTTCTTTTTCTTTTTCTTTTTTTTTTTTTTTTTTTTTTTGACTAAGGAGATTGGCACCGACAATCTAGAGTTTGAATGGGAGCCTATATTGACCTAAATTTCGGTTGAAATTTACTCATGCCCCATTTTAAATATCCGCTTGCAGAACTATCACTCTAGGACTTAAACAAATGAATCACGCACGCTTTTTTAAGTGGACATACCTAATTTTCATATTTATATCAATTAAAATGTAATACCTTTATATTATTAGTTTACTATTTTATTTTTAAATATTCTAAATTAATTGTCTATACTAAAAAGTCAAAGTAAATAATTTTTTTTTCAAAAACAAATCAAACGTGGTAAGTATACTATATACATATCTAAACTGAAAAAGACAAATTTATAATTTCAAGAATGAATAATGCATTAATTATATATTCACTTAAAAATTTAAATTTTTAACTTAGACATCTAATATGAAACAAAAGGAATGTCTAATTTGAATATTAATATTAAATAACAATATATTCTCTCTCTTTTTAAGATATTTATCTCATTACTTCTCACATGAGTCCACTAACAAAATTTTATCCTTTCACCTTTTTATTTCATACAGTTATGGGATTCATTTAAATTTTTAACATAGATATCTAATATGAAACAAAAAGAATATCTAATTTGAATATTAATATTAAATAACAATATATTCTCTCTAACAAAATTTTATCCTTTCACCTTTTTATTTCATACAGTTATGGGATTCATTTAAATATTTTAATTTTTGTGTAATTGTGTCAACTATCCCACTTTAGATTGGATCATATGCAAAAACTTTTTTTTTTTTAAGCAAATGTTATAATCTCTTTGTCAACGATCCCACTTTAGATCGGATCATATGTAAAAATTATTTTTTTAGATTGGATCATATGTAAAAATTATTATTTTTTTTTGCAAATATTAAATGATGATAGTCATTTAAAAGAAAGTTCGTGTTCATATAATTTTTAATTTTGAAATTTTTAGTCAAATAGATTTTTGATTGAATCGGATAAGGATCAAAGTATCAAGCATGTCCCATTTCATGCCCCAAAACCCTCTTTTTAATTTCTAAAACATTTTTAATTTCTAAAACATTTCTTATCTTATGATTTTTGGGACGGCATAACAATTATCATTTTATTGTGTTGTGATGGATTTTTCAACAATTGTTTTATTGTTGACACGTAATAGTAAGTATTTTTTTAATCATATTATTTGACATATCATTCCAAATATCTTAAATCTTAAAGAACCAAAAAAAAAAAAAATCAACACCGAATGGCAAATTAAATAACACAAGAACATACAATAAAGTCATCTAACCAATTTTTTTGAGATTGACATTATCAAATTTAACGTCACTCAAATAAAGCTCAAACATGTGACTACTCATTCCCATCATTCACCTAGCAGTCTCATGTCACCATGATTGAATACTTTATAAAAACATGATTTCACAAGTTTAACTGAAAACGAAGAAGAAATGGCCTGCTTGATTTGTCACTCCGAAGACAATTCTACAAAACTCAAAAAACTAAAACTAAAACTCAAGAAATGGCCTATTGTGTAGTACATATCTTAATCTTGTAAAAGGACCAGGTGTTCAAGACGACACCGGATACAGCCTATTAGAGCAAGTCTTTATACACCAAAGAGTCTCACGCTGTGAAGTGTGACAGAGCCGGTGCAGCTGCCATTTAGGTTCATGAACTTCAAAGGAAACAAAACAAGAACAAACTTGAAATTCAATCATAAAGCAACTACAGATATCCTATTGAGTGTTGTATCAATATGGAACGCATCCCATGACCAAAACATGTAATTTCCAGCACATACCTCGCCACAAGAGCATTTCAAAACATCAATAAATACTACAGGCTAATCCGGTGGCAAGCAGGGATGCAGTAGCGTCGCAAATTGCTTATGATGTCACACAAGATGTAAAAGCAAAATTCACTCAAATACCCGGCCACATTAGTTTTAAATTATAGGCTGCAATCGCTGTAATTAGATAGGAAGCAGAGAGAAACTTACTATTTAAACATTCAAAGAAAAAAAATCCTCTCAATAATACTCAAAATGCTTTAAAACAAGTCAAAAGTACCAAGATCCAAATAGGAGACAACAAAACATTGTGTTTCACACTTTCACTGATACTAAGAGTTCACCTCTACTGAATGGAGAAAATTATAAAAAAGGGAGAAAAGCATCGCCATATATTGGTTTAAGATTAGCTCATAACGCAAGAAAACTCATTTCTTCTTTCCACCCTTGGCAGCATCACCAGCCTTGGTCTGCACAGCACAGAATGAGAAGCAAAGCAAATTAAGAAGTCAAAGACTCTTTTAGAAACAGGAAAAGAAAAGAAATAAAAGTACAAAAACAAAAGACGAAAAATAGAGTAACCACAGCACATGTAAACAGTTATCTACCTTCTTTACTCCACGGATCTTCTTGGCTCTGTTCTTCCTCTCCTTCAACTGTTTCCTTGACTTCTCAACCTTAGTATCAAGTCCATTCTGCCATCACAACGCTCAGATTAAATATGTGTGTAAGAGTGATACATTACTCGGAACGATTTAAATGACAATACATCTTGTACAGCCACACAGCACTAGTATGAGGGGAGCGAGGCTCAAGAATACAGTGCTGCTTGGTCATTCTCATAGAGCATATCCATATCTATAATGCCACAGATTAATGCAAGGACCATTGTTCCACGTCCACATTGATCATGATAAAAGTATGGTATTTCAGAACTTGTATGTTCCACATTAGGCCAGGCAGAGGGAATGACATTTGACTAAACACATTGTGCTTAAAGGGCTTGAACATGTGCCAAAAGTTAATCCAAATCAACTTATAAAATTTGCTGTACAAAGAAATACTTAGCAGTTACTGAGCCAAGATTGGGCATATTAAAGAAGGGTGATGCTCAGTTGGACCAAACTAAGCCCAAGATGGGCAACTTGTCAAATTATCAAGCCAAAATTGGACAATATTAAAATCATTCCGTTCAGGTTTGAACAAACCAAACCCAATCAAACCAAGATCAAACAGCCTATAAATTACCAAGATGGTCCTTTACATGCAATAAAACATTATTTAGGTTGTAATCTTTCTACAAGATTTTATGAGATCGCTTTGTCTAATAACATGATAGACATGAAGTTGAAAACCCCAAAGGACATAAAATCCAAAATTACTAGGACTTCACTGACATAAAGTATGGATTTGCCGGATCTCAAATTTGATCATGTGATGTTAAGAAACCATTAACCGTAGCTTTGACAAGATAAATTAGAGAGTCTAGACCTTATAAAATGTATATTGGAAAATGCTTCTAAAATCATATAAAAGATATTAGAAGAAGTTTAGAAACAGAAAACCAGAGACTGAAACAGATGCAAACAGATCAAACCTTATCTTGTGCTGTTGCTAGATTGTGGAGTTTCAAAAAGAGAAAAATTAAAAAAAATAAATTTAAAATCAAAATCAAAATTCAAAACTGAGGATGCAACATAGAGTTTCAAAAAGAAAAACAAAAATCAAAAATCAAAACTGAGGACAGTTTTTTAACAAACTTCATAAAACTAAAAGGTTGTTGCCTTCTCAGCACATAAATCCATCCCAATTGGTTATTTGAATAAATGTCGTGTAATCGTGTTCCGAATTAAATGAAGAGAATTTCAGTGAACAGTAGCAACCATCAACTCTTTTTTCCTTAGAAACTAACAAGACATCTGTAGCATGCAAACTGACATTTTAATAATAAAGCTGAATATAAAAAACCATGTAGATTAACTGAAACATTTAAGAACAACAATTAAAATAACCCTCGCAAATAGAGATTTCTAACTTAAAACTAATATCCCCAAGATGAAACAAAGCAATTGGGTCATCCAGATAATTAAATTAACAACAAAACCATAATATGCATCAAACCTAACATTATTTGCAAGAAACAAAAAAATAGTCAGCTATTCATATGCCAGCACAAAAAGGGACATCCAGTTACATGATGACACACAATTCACAACAAAAATAACATTCAAAAAATCTAAACATATATATAAGTACTGCAAGAAGAGATTTAGAATTAATTTACCCTGATGAGCCTGTACTTGGGCTCGTATTTCTTTGCATTCTCAACAGAGTCATAGATCAAGCCAAACCCAGTTGACTTTCCACCTCCAAAATGGGTACGGAACTTGAAAACAAAAATTGCATTTGTGTCTTTCACCTCGTACATTCTCGACAACTTCTCCTTCAATTCCGCCTAAATTATAACATGAATGTAACAAAACACCGAGATTGATAACTCACTCAAAATTCTAAAAGAAACATTGAAGGAGAAGAACATTGGATAATTGGATTGGAGCAAGATATACCTTTGAAACATTGGGTCTTCCCGGATGAAGAACATCAATGACCTGCACACACAAAAAAGGAACTAAAAGGTTCAGAGCTTTTAACATCAAAAGAAAACAAGTACTTCAACTCCATTCAGTTAAATCTCTTTAATTTCACAAAAAATATATCTATAGACAAATAAAAATAACACTTGATATTTTTAAGGTCCTTTTCTCCTCCTCCATTTTGTCCTATAAATACAGTATTTAACAAACTGGTCAGTCTCCGGGTTATGTTTATAGCCTCGGATCTTACATCTTAAATCTTAACATCGCTAAAATGGATAGTTGTAAGACCCATATGGCCGTTCATAAAATAATTCCCTTTGTAACCTATTTTCTATCTTGCAACGTTTTCTCGGCAACCAAACGGAGACTCGGCTTAGGATTTCAGATCTTTTTTTTTTTCCTTCGCATGACCAAAGTGGATAGTTCAACGACCCATATGGCCGTTCAGAAAAAAAGGGGAAAAATCCCTATCTATCCGCATTTTCCCTATTCCTACGCTTTCTAGTCAACCAAACAGAGACATAGCATATGATTTCAGATCTTTCAGCTTGTTTATGTAAGAACACACCAAATATCTACGTTATAGTTATAAATACACACCATAGAAAGATATATACATATACATATAGAGCGAAAGAACGAAGCTTACGAATTGCTTCCTTGAGAGAAGCCTGTTGGTCATGAACTTCCTGGTACGGATAGTCACTGCCTTGTCTGCCATGGAGGTCGTGTGTGAATCTGCTACACTGTACAGCAAACGAAGCACGCAGTGAGGAGGCAGTCGCAACTCGCAGTATTCAGCACAAAGGGAAGAAAGGCAAAACCCTAGAATTTATATCTAGGGCTTCCAACGATGCCCTAGATTTTTGGCTGCCTATAGACTCGGGTCCGAATTGGCTTAACCTGGACCATGGACTATGAATCTGAAACTGGGCCCATTATTTTCGGGCTAACCTATGAATTAAGTTTTATTTTATTGGGCCAATGAAGAATTGTTGGCAACTACTATGAGCCTTGATTGTTTTTCATTTTGTTGGGTTTTCACGATAACAATATAGGTCCATTGCGCTCTCCTTGTCTTTCATGTTTATAATTTCTGATCTTTTTTCTTTTCTTTTTTTTTTTTAAATAATTTATGATAGTTTATTATGCATATGGCCCGTTTGGACCGTCACAGACCAAAGGAGTTGTTTGAGCATTCATAACTTCCAATAGGTAAATTTAGAACCAACTTTCAAAAAAAAAAAAAATTCTTTCTTTTTTCATTTTTCATCTTTTTTAGGTTAGATGATACCATTGCATGATGTTCATAGTTTAAAGTAAATAATTCGAATTCCATCCGATGGCAAAGATCTTGTGCCATGGTAGACTACTTGCTAGTGCAATACATTACATTGTAGTACAACAAATGCACGAGAGAAGAAAAGTTATTGTATAGAAGATATAATGTAACAAAAATGATCTCTTGCTTACAAGTGTCAAAAAGATAGTTAACAGAAAGAAAAAAAAATTTAACGATCATTATAATTAAATTTAACTATCACTATAATTATGGTCATATAACTAATAAAAAATAAATGTTAAGGAACTTTTATTGTAAAGTGGAGGTAAGAGTTCGAGCCAAGTACATATTTTGGTATTAAAGAGGAGGAAAGAGTTGTGCCTTTTGGTATTAAATATCTTTTTTTTGCACAAATGTAAATATGATTTTTCTTAATTTATTTACTTTTGAAATACAGAAAAATTATAACAAGATGTATTTGGGCCACACAACAATTGGTCACGTGCCATTGAAATCCAGCCACGTGACCATATAACAGAATCTATTTAAAATGCGAAGGGACATTGTGGATAAGCGTTGGTTACACAACTCTCCCTGCTTGGCCTCAACCATTGGGCCACCCGGATTTCCATTCTCTGGTTTGTGTACTTTCTTCTTCCCTGTCACGCTCAAACCCTATTGACAAATATCTCATCACTCTCAAACCCAGACCTCAGAATTCACAAACACCTCCAGAATTCAATTCCATTATCAGCCAAATTCAATTCATGGCGACCCCTTTCTTGCTCCAATCGAATATCAAATGGAACCCTTTGTTACTCCCCTACCCAATTCGATTTTCGCCCATTAAACCCACCAACAACTCTGTTTTTTCAATCCCAACCACCACCCAATCCAGAAGAGCTTCTAATTTGAGCGTCAAATGCCTTTTCATGAAGAGGGTTTCGAAGAATACGAGTACTGAATTGGTGAACGAAGAGACTGGTGTGAATTTGTTGGAAATTGTTGCCAACACAATCATGAAAGCCATCAAGGCCATGCAGAAGCCGGCAATAGCTGCGGTGTTGGTTGGGTTGTTGATGATGTATGATCCCAATTCGGCATTGGCCGCTTCGGGTGGGAGGATGGGTGGTAGGTCATTTTCTTCGCGGTCGTCGACGTCTTCGTCGTCGGGGAGTTACAGCATGCGGTCGTCGAGCCCGGGTTTTTCGTCGGGTTTTTCGTACTCGGTGCCGTATTATTCCCCTTCGCCGTTTGGGCCGGCAGTGGGTGTTGGAGTGAGCGTTGCTTCGCCTTTCTTCTTGATCTTTATGGGTTTCACAGCGTTTGTCTTGGTTTCTGGGTTTCTGTCGGATAGGTCGGAGGGAGGTGTTCTCACTGCTACTGAGAAGACAAGTGTTCTCAAGCTTCAGGTACTGCACTTGCTTTAACTGATTTAATGTTCAGTATTTTCTACAAATATATATAGATAGTTATTGTTTGGCTGTGTTTACTTGATTTGGTTGTAATTATTGTTCACTAAGCTTTATCTGACTCATCTGATTGACTTAATACTATTTATTTTGCAGTTTTTTAGATTAATAATCAAATTGTCAAAAATGTAAATATTTTCCTAGTATAACAGTTAATATATTTATGAGTAGCCTCTTTCGTACATTTGGTTGGGTGTTATGAATGTTGATGCAGAGTTGGGGTTGTCTAGATTATTATAATACTGTAGAGAAGTTAGTAGGCCGGATCACATGGTGATATATTGCGAAGTCAAGAAGATAAGGTGGTGTGCTTTAAGAAACTAAATGTTGGGTGCCAAACAATGAGGTCCTTATACAATGACTATAATTTTGGAAGGGATATTTAGATTTATGGGTTGAAAGGCTAGACAGGTCAGGATTATGTCACAAATCCATATGTGAAATTAGTATGGGTAAGGTGGTTTGGATATTTAAGAGGTTGCATAGAGAATAGAGAATGGATTTGATGACAATTTGTGAGATCTAAATGTCGAGAAAGAACAGGATGATTGCCTGAAACTCTTGGTGTGTATTGACGTTCATATGTTTAAGGAAAAAGATGGCTTCTGTCTGACTAGAAAATAAAATCTGACTAACTGTTGACTTATCGCTTTTTTTTTTAGATTGGGTTGTTGGGGATGGGGCGATCACTTCAAAGGGATCTAAATCGGATTGCTCAAATTGCCGACACATCCACTCCAGAGGGTTTGAGCTACGTTTTGACTGGTAAAAAATTTTATGAAGTGTTTTTCATAGTTTGTTCTATTGATTTATTATATATATATATATATATATATATATATTAAGTTTTATTAGTTAACTAGTCTACATGGCATGCTATATGATCCAAAAATGTTATTTTGATACACAAATAGCATGAAAGTCAGATGTTAGAGCAATGTTTTTTTGCATGACATGCAAACCGTTTTCTCTATTGATAATACATTAACATGTATATTTAATGTATTTGTATACTTTAGATTCTGGATATGATTTTGGAAAGAACTTTTGTTTATTACATTTTTCTGTAAACATTTTAATTTATTTTGACATTTCCTTAAATGCATTATGCACATGCCTAGACAAACTTGCACACGGCTATTGGCTGCTTCCATATGCCCCAAACCCTTAACCACTTGAGGGCACATTAGCGATTGACTCTTCCCACACACCAAAAGAATTCAATTACCTGTGGATTTGTTCTGCCACCAATCTTGCTTCATGCTTCCAAGTGCAGGCCAATAATCTAGTGTCAAAGAATTTATTCTTCACTGATTGTGAAACCCCTATATGTTTTGGAACCATTACTGTGAAATATTTTGTAAGATAGTAAATGTTAAACAATCACCAGATGTTAGCTTGAATGGTATTACCTGCCATCTCCAAAAGTGGAGGTGCATGGTTCAAGCTTTGCTGGGACATGTGTTTGTGCATACTACTTATTAGAAAAAAGGATACTCGATAATAGTACAAGAAATTGAAAGTGTTTTTGAGTTCTTCGTCCTAGTGGGGTTTAGTGTGTGTTAGATGCTTGGTTTGAAATTTTAGTTCTCTATTGGGTGTTGATGCATGAGGTCTACACTTCACACTTTGAAACACTATCCTTAAAGTTTGAGTGTCACTGAGTTTGCTGTAGCTTAATGCAGATGTATTATTTTTAATTAGTATCATAAAACACTTGTTAAAAACTTCCAAGAAGGTCCTGTTTCATGTTGGACACCAATGTCTACCGGGTACTCTTATATATGTGTGCAACAATTTTTGAACGTGTTAATAATTCAGAAACAAAATTGCAGAATTTGGTCATGTGGCCGACCATCTTGACACTTCACCAGCACATGACTGGAAAACCTTGAATGTTTGAGAACTAACTTTCTTATGTCTTGAATTAAATATCAGATTAACTAATCATAACATAATTTTTGTTACTTGTATTATCATTTTACATATAAAAAATATTTATTTGTTTCTATGTCCTTGCTATGCAGTATCCTAGCTTGCAAGAATTTTTTTAACCACCAGAAGTCTTGAACAAATCATAATTCATAATCTATAAAATCCATCTCATTGAATTGAAGATTAAATGCCGCTAAGCGACTTTCTTACAGATGGTAGTACTGATCAGGTGAAAGTAAAAACAGTCAGAAAGCCAACAGGAATCCTGCAAAAAAATGTTTAAGAGCTGTAGCCTCCATCTTCTACATCCTTTTGTGTTGCTGATATTGTGTTGTTGAGCACTTGCAATATGAGAAAACTTATTATGTGTGGAACTTTCTTAACCGTGCTTTGTGAGGGAAATCACCATAAGCATGCTTCATGAATCAACTTCCTAATTGATTTATCTCTAATCCATAGAAAATCGATTTTTCTTATGTGATCTCACGATTCTCACCCCTGTGATGTTCCTTCATTGTACTGTTTTTTTTTTTTTTTTTTGATAAGTCATTGTACTGCTGCTTCTTCTCTAGTTTTGATTATATGATTGACCCCATTGTTGTTTTATAGATGTATACTGCCACATTGTTATCCTACTTTCGGATTATGATATATGTAGCTGTAGGAATTCGAGGCTTTGTTTCTTTTATGATTCTTAATTCTACGTTGTTACATGTAAAATGTCTACTTATTTATTTCTGCTTCATAATTCTGCTACCTTAATGATATAGTTTATTACCATCTTCCTTTTGGTTGCAGAGACAACACTTGCTTTGCTTCGGCATCCTGATTATTGCATCTCTGGCTATTCATCTGTAAGTTAGATACATCTCCTTGTGTATCTTGTTGCTGCACTCTATGCTATAACACAATAATTGCTTCTAAATTTCAAACCAATCTAGGAAAAAAAAAAATTATAGCTCTTCATACATTTCCTATTACCTTGGAGTTTGTTCTGTTATATTCCGCCTCTTGAATAGGGCACTGTACCATTATATTCATGCTATGCTTTTTTCCGCACTTGCTATAATAACAATGATGATACGATCTTATAAAGAATTTCATCTTTATGGTGAAAGGCACATCCTTACGTCTTCATAATAGGCTTAGAAAGCCACACATAGATTAGCATCTTATATAATGTGCAATATTCTATATACTTAAGAGATGTGATAGGGTATACGTATGTGTCTCATATCACAGAGTTATCACCAACACTTCTTTCATTTAATTCTGTTATTTGGTGTCTAAGATTCCGAGGTGGTACCTGGGTTGTAGAAGTAAAAAATTACTACCATGGCACCACTTATAGTGGTTTGTGTTCTTGTGCCCTTTGGCATCTTGGGTAGTGCCTACATGGTTATGGTTTTAGTTTTTATGGTATTAAAACAACTGGTTTTCTATCTTGGGATGCATGTATATGCTTTGACCCCTATCTAACTCTTAGATATATAATTGAAGAAAATGCTACAACATTTTCACTTCTACCGTACATCAAAGATCATCCACTTCATTAAAACAGGGGATCTTTTCGTAATTTGACTTAGTGAAACTGTAGATGCTTTTTAAAATGTTCATGGATATAAGCATGGGTTCATTCTTTTGCAGGCATCCCTTAGATCACAAAACAGCATGACTATCTTTTTCCCAACAAACCTTCTAGTGGTCTGAATTCCTGTAGAAAACCCCTTTGGCATTTTTTCTTCATAACTATTTTTATTTTTCAACAATGTTGAACAGTTGGCGATTGTCATAAACAATAAGATAATGGTTGTGATAGTAGAGAGAGATATATGGAGAAACGGTAGTAAGGGGATGCTAGCCTGGCTAGCAAAGCTTCTTGGTAGTTGTGCCTGAGACCTGTGAGACTGGGATTAAATAAAGCCTTCATCTAGGTTGAGGATGTTTTTGTGCAGGGGATTTCTTCCATTGTGTAGTCCAACCATTGGACTGTGAAAAAAAGAAGGTGATAGTAGTGGGCTAATAGGTAATGATGTGAAGATGAACTAATAAGTGGGAAGAAATTATGATACGGCGCTGCAATGGGTGGCATGTGGTTGTTGGAGATTGTGGTGGTAATCGGTATATGGTTGTTTTGGTAATGTTGGTTGGTGATATGAGTTCTGATAGTGACAATGAGTGGTGGCAGTCAGTGGTGGTTGGCTAAGGTAACAATGGCCTCAGTGGTGGTTGGCTAAGGTAAAAAGGCGACCATCACAGTGGAGTGAGCCATGAACAAAACATCAGGGGATAAAAGACTCGCAGTCATCTGGATGACCAAGAGGAAGAAGAGGCTGTTAAATGGAATACTAAAAGTGCATAGCACATTCTTTTGTTCACTAAAAGTGGTTACAATACTAAACTACCTCACACTTAAAGTTGGCTAGCATTTCACTATGTTAAAATATTGCAAGTTACATCTTATATTAAAATTAAACACGAAGTTGCATCAGAGAGACTTGAAGAGGGGAAGAACTAGAGGAAAGGGAGAAAACTTTTGGGAGGCTTATGCTACTTCCCCCTTTTTTCTGTCTCTTTATGTATCTCAATGTATTCATTCTCTAAGTCTCAAATTTGTGTCACTTCCAAGAATGAGCAGTGTCTGTGTCAAATATGTGTCTGGCACTAACACTTGTTGGACTCTGCTAAAAATGTTTAGGCACATCTGTCATGTGTTCATTATATAAAATTAACCTAATTTTGACTTATCAAAAAAAAAAAAAAAAAAAAAACCCCTAATTTTGAGCACATGGTTGATAATTCTTTGACGTGTGCTAATATGCGGTTGGTGAATCTTGAATGTTGGATAAAACTTTCTTTTAGCATGAAAAATAGTATAATTATAAGAAAAAGTCAAATTAAGGTTCTTTTTTTAAATTAAGTTGACCATATTTAGAAAACAGAAGATAAAAAGGGTTTTATTGGACGAATGAATATACACACATCACACGCGTGGATATTTGTCATATTGGTTGTCTTTCTCTATTTTATAGGGATAATTATAATTGTATTATATATAAGTTACAAATATCATGTTACATGCAGAGTCTTTATTTGTTGGTTCTATTATTTTTATATGAAGATATATGTTTTTGCTGTCGTGTCCTTGTTTCACTTTCTTAAATTTTATTGTATTAACATGTTCATTTCATGTTTCCGACCCCTTTTTGTACACATGCTTTGTATATTTAGATAGATGGTGATCAGGGCTATAAGAGTCACAGCCTGTTCGAAGGATCTGTTTTCATATTATGAAATTCAATAAAGATTTGATTCCTCGCCCGTACCCGGTGCACTTATTGTCTTTCTTTCATTTGGTATCACAGAGGTGGCGAACCCACTTCTTCCGTTACCCCGTGAATCAAAGGAATACCCCTTTACTGCGTGTGCTGTAATATGAAAAGAAGATTGCTTATCCACACCATATTGTTAATAAAGTCGGTTTTAAATTACTTAGTGAAAGGTATTGGATTTCTTTCTTGTCAAATTATCTCTCCCCTCTGCTGTCGGAAAAGGGCTTTACCGAAAGCACACTCGTTAATCTACCCCTTTAAACTCCTTTCTCAAAGCTTTTGAGTGGTAGAACTTGTATCTTAGAGTGAGGTGGAGAACAATCATGCTATAAATATTTCTATGCTATCTCAAGCACTTAACAAAACCTTGTCCCAACTAGTTTTGTGCTAGCTACATACGTCTGGTTTTGTCATTCTACTTTATCAAGGGTCACACATTATCATATATTTCCTTACTATATCAACTTCTATTAGTTTGTTCTTCCCCCTTTCATAACATTAGCTTCATTTCGACCATGACATCCTTCGTCACTGGTGCTGTTAGTTGTTCCTGTCTTAGTTAATTCTATTATTTTATCTTTAATCGGTGAACTCCCACCATCTTACGAATAAAATCATCATCGTCATCATTGTTTCCTTTATTCCAAATAAGTAGGGTCAGTAGTTTTTTAATATCCTTTTTAATTATTTCATCCCAAGTTAGCTTTGGCTGGCCTCTTTGTTACCTTCTATATAAACTAATGTTATTTATGAAATTGTTTCTAAATTTATTCTTTCTTACCTTATCTCACATGTATCTTTATTTCATACATGCTCATTTATGAACATGTTGTATCATCATCATCATCCCTGTCTTTATCCTATATGGATTGTTGTATCTTGGTCATTTAAAATTCTTTCTTAAAATATGGCTGTTTTGATTGCTGCTTATGAAATTTATATCAATTACATTTACATATGATATGCCAATAGCATTCTTCAACATAAACCATCCCCAATGGGTCTCTCGATCCTTCCTCTCTCTCTTTTCCGTTGTTCAATTGTTTTCTATTTAGTCAATGTATGCCTGCTGTTTACATATGATATACTAATAGAAAGCATTTTATTGTTATTATTATTATTTAATGTTTTTTGGCCAAAACATCTTTGATTAGGCCTTTAAGAGTATTGAACAAACTGTGTACTTCTCACATATGTGCAGGTTGATGTGAAGCGAAGCATGGAGGAAGGAGAGAAACGATTCAATAAACTTTCTATTGAGGAACGGGGAAAATTTGATGAAGAGACGCTGGTCAATGTGAACAACATAAAAAGACAAAGCCCAACAAACCAGAGAGCTAATGGATTCAGCAATGAGTACATAGTGGTGAGAATAATTATATTCATTTGTGGAAATGAATCTCACTTTCTTTCCTCTTTAGTTGGACAACAAGTCCTGGTTGCTTCTAGGCTTGATAAAATGGTTCAGTTCTTTTCATTTTTGATTAGACAATGCCTTTTCTTTTTAGTGGGACAGGCTCAAAACCCCAATTCAAGTAGTCATTTATTTGGTGCCTCCCAAGGAGTGGGAACTGCCATTCTAACCCTTCTCGGGGGATTCCTTCCACAATGTTACAAACTCAAAGTTTGTGGCTGACTTTTACAAAAGTGCAGTTGTTGTTCACTATTTCATTATATGGATTCATGCCCCAGAAAGCTTCATTTTGATATTTATAGACACACTATAATCTGACTTTTTCTGATGACCAGTTCATTTAGGAAGGATTCAAATGAGATTGGGCATAATGCACATTGTTTTGTTTAATGCATGCAATTCCTTCCACAATGTCACAAACGCAAAGTTTGTGGCTGACTTTTACAAAAGTGCTATTGTTGTTAACTATTTCACTATATGGATTCATGCCCCAGAAAGCTTCATTTTGATATTTATACAGCATTCACACTATAATCTGACTTTTTCTGATGACCAGTTCATTTAGGAAGGGTTCAAATGAGATGGGCATAATGCACATTGTTTTGTTTAATGCATACAATTCATGAGGATCCTCCACATGTCGCGTAGTTTCTTGTCTGTTTATTTTAATTATGTATATCAGAGTTTCCTAGAAAATGAAGTCAAAGCTGTGAAGAATGATTCTGTGTATGTAATAATTGTTCTACTCCTCCCTCTTTTGGTCAAGTCAGTCTAGCGCTAATTTGTGGGGAACTGATAATAGTTTCTGGATTTAAGAGTAGATGCTCAACAAATTTGTATATTAGATATTCTAGTAGTAGCTTTTAGGTTCAAGACTTCAATTAATTTTGAGCAACCTTAGTTGTAAATGAGGACGAAGCTGGCTCTAAATAATCATCACCACAAATGATTTGTGTGTGAGATATCAGATTATGAAAGTGGGAAAAATTTGGTATAAGACACAAGTTCTGGATGCTACTTGCTTCAGCTAGGTTCAGATTACCTCGTTTTGGGATTAAACTGACCTATGTTAGTTTTCATTTTTCTAGCTTAAAGCCTGACTGAATTAATTTGGGCAACCTTAGTTGTAAATGACGACAAGCTGGGCTTTAGAATAATCACCAGAAATGATTTGTGTGTGAGATACCAGATTATGATAACATAAATAATTGGTATAAGACAGGAAGTTCTGGATTCTACCCGATTCAACTATGTTCAGATTACCTCATTTTGAGATTAAACTGACGTAGGTTAGTTTTAATTTTTCTAACCTCGTTTTGGTGTAAGACAGACTGCAAGAAACTAAGCTAAATTCTACTTCCAATTCTTCAATTAAGTTCTGGATGGTTATAGTTTAAGTTTGGAATTTTTTCCAAAGATTAAATAGTACTGGATGCTTATATTCCTCTATAATTAGCAAGTTTTAAATTTATTGATTTGCTCTTTTTTGGGCCACTTGAAGGCCAATATCAAAACTCAAATTTATGACCGTGTGTAAGGAGGCAGTCTCTGGTAGCTTATATTCTTGTTGGGTGTTGTAGAGGCTTGATCTATATTAGCAATTTCTATAGAGTTGGTTTTATTAGGATTTGAATTTTATGTGTGTAGAAATCTGAATTTTTTATTTAGCGCTCTTTTCTTTTGGCTGATTATCATTCTTCTGTCATTCCCAATTTCAGATAACAATCTTAGTGGCTGCTGAAGGAGTGCATAAGCTGCCAACCATCAATAGCAGTGGAGACTTGAAGGAAGCTTTGCAAAAGCTTGGTTCTATCCCCTCAAGTAGAACACTGGTAAGAATAGAAATAGTCCCCGATTCGGAACCCTTGGATTATGTTTTTTCCATGTCAAAACTCATTGATTTTCATGCAGGCAGTGGAGGTGTTGTGGACTCCTCAGAATGAAAACGACACTTTGTCAGAGCGAGAGTTGCTTGAAGACTACCCGCTTTTGCGGCCTCTATAAAAATATATAATGTGCTGCTTTGCAGTTTTAAGTAAGAGGTATGGGCTAAACTGCTATAATTATTCAAGTCTAGTTATAGGAAGAAAAGTTGTCTATGATACAGGGAAGTTTTACATGTGTGAGATTGACTAGATACATAAAATTTACTTGATCTGTAAATGAACAAGCAGAGTGTATATATCCACTATGAAACAAAAGCCTTCTTTCACTGTCTTTGCAATTGCAATCTTTTGATTTCAGGAGTTCAAAATCCTAAAATGGTGATCTTATGATGTTGGAATGCAATTATGCATATTAATGTTTTTTGTTTTCACTTGTTAATAGTTACTATCACAATCCCTATATATTAATCAAAATTGTATTTTAGTTGACTATTCAAATGACTAATTGCCAATAATTATCTATTCATTTATTTTGCATTAGATTATTACTAGTTCTTCTTCCTTCTCTCTTTCCCTCTTTTTTTTTCTTTTCTTCCTTTTCTTGGGGGTGGGTGGGTGTCAAGGAGTTGGGAGAAAGATCTAGACTCAGTTTGGATTGAGAGAGAGATGGAAAAGAAAGAAAAGGATTGAGAGAGTGGATGGAGAAGAAAGAAAAGGATTGAAAAGAAATAAAAGGATTGAGAGAGTGGATGGAGGAGAAAGAAAAGGAAGGGGGGGGGGGGGGGGGGGGGGGGGGGGGGGGGGGGGGATGTGGTGGGGATGGTTTGTTGTTATTATTATTATTATTCAAGTGAAGAGAGTTGGATGGAAAAGAAAGAAAAGGATTGAGACATTTGGATGGAAAAGGATTGGGAGATTGAATGGAACAGAAAGAAAAGGAGGATATATATATATATATATATATATATTTGTTATTTGCCAAACTTTTTGAATAGTTTTTGCTGGGAAGATTGAAATTATTGCAGCTATGGTCTGTGTAACAGTTGGGCCTATATTCTGTTCTTCGGGGAGGTGGTTGGTCACATCTATTCTGGTTAGGATTGACAGGGAACTAACACAGGTTGGCTTAAGCTTTTGAATTAGTGTAGCAATCACTAATTCAAGTGTCATGCCTAACACTAACCAATACTTCTTTTATGATAGAATTTGCCTCTCAATAAGGTCAAGTCCTCTTTATTTTTTATATACGTACGTTTGTTCCTTTTCTTTAGGGCTAGAGTTGGCAGGGGACAGTGGGCGGTGGGGAGGTTTGTAGCCTCCATATCAAGTCCATTAGACACAGTGTCCGCTCTTGGACAATATATGATCAACCTATTCATTACGTACTCTAGATGCACGCAATTGTCCGCAAATTTCATTACGTACTCTAGATGCATGCAACTAGATGCACGCAATTGTCCGCAAATTTCATTACGTGCTCTAGATGCATGCAATTGTCCGCAAATTACGTGCATCAATTAAATCCAGGCCTCAACTTCAATGACACTTGAACTAGAAACGGAGAGTACCTCCCTCCAATGGTCTTATCAGCACGGTTGCATAAACCATCAAACTATATGGATTGAAAGGAGATTTTTAATGGACTAGGGTTCTACCTTAATTTTGACACGAATTTAAAGTATTTGACCATTTGGTTTATGCAATTGAATTTTATTAGTAACAATGAATAACTAAAATTGAAATTCATTAATGAAAGGGTTTCACTTTATGAAATCAAAAGAAATTTGATGGCACCCGAATAATGAGGGATTCTTTTTATCAACAAAATTTATAATATGTAAGGTGAAATTAGGGGTGGCAAAATTGGTCATGATTCACCAACCCGTTCATATTTGTTTGCTTTAAAATGGATTTGGATGAACCATTTTAAAATATGGGTTAAAATGGGTGAAATATGGATTGAATATGGGTCACCCGTTTTGACCCATATATTACCCATAAAAACTATAATAATTGTTATATTTATATATATATGGTGTGTGATTTACTATTTATGAAAAATTGAAAGAAATGGAATCAGTAGCGTGACCCACTATTGAGAGAATTTGATATGCAGGTTTGAATGAATTATGTGTATAGCTTCATTGTATATATAATGTTGTAAGTGTGAATACATTAAATACATACAAGCAAATTGTTTTCTTAGCTTGCTTTGTAAGCTTGGGTTATGGTTATATATATATATACACATATATATCTGTGTGTGTATGGGTATTGGTGTGTATTCGAGATATATAGAAAAAGCAAAAGGAAATAAAGAAAGCTCTCTCTATATTATGTCATCTCTCTCAAAGTTCTTTGTTTTAATATTTTTGTTTATGTTAATTAATAGTTATATAACAATAATGAGATTATCCAAAATAACAACTTTTTTTTCTTCTTAAAACGGGTTATCTGGTCATGACGGGTTGACCCTTACCATTTCACCAAATCCATATTTAACCCTTAACAAATGGATTGAATATGGATCACAATCATATTTAACCCGTCCATATTTAATCCTGTTCAAACTTGACTCAACCCGTTTGTAAGGTGAAATGGACTTTTGGAATAAATATTTGTACTGGGTATCTCAAAATACATTTATTGAAGCATAGCTCCTATATGTATCAAAGAAATACAATGGCGGTTCTTATTTTCTCAGTATAAAGTCAATCTTAGCAAGTGCCCTGGTGTCTATTCCATGAACATTGGGATTAAAATATCTTTTGTTTGAATATATACTATAAATATTTTGAGTTGACAGGATGACGGGGATTAAAGTCAATTTTAGCATCTATGCCTATATATGAGGCATATCTTTTAGGTATTAAGATTTGGGTGTTCTAATACTCATAAAAAAAAAATAAAAAATAAAAAATAAAAAATAAAAAAAATAAATTGGCATGTATATATCAAAATATGACTTTGGTGTCCACAAAAAGAAAATATTAAAGTGGACATTGATTGGACATTTTCAAAAGTGATGTAATCATGCAATATTTGTGTTTGAATTCAACGTGTGTAATACTACGGGGGTGGTATATGAGAAAAAAAGTTGAATGGTATACAAAAGAATATGTGTACATAATGTGTGTGTGGTAGTGAGTGGAAATCACTTTCTATTGTGCTTATGGTCCAAACCTTGCCGTCTCTTCTTCAACTCTCTCTCTCTCTCTCTCTCTCTCTGTTGAAGGATGTGATATTAATGAGTAAAGTGTTACAAAGAGCAAAAGCAATCTTCCCATCATCCTTATCACCATCATGCTCACATTATTATTGAGAGAAAATGAAAAGTTCCTTAATCATTCAAATATGATCTCTCTCTCATCCCCTCTCTCTCTCTCACACACACACGCACTCACTCACCAATGAATCCCATGCTATCATATTCTACGGAATTAATTCGCCATTAATTTCTTGATATGCACAGATGAGACAGCTATAGTGGCTTCCACAAATTACCCCTAACTCATAACTAAACTTGGGGATTTGGTTTTCAACTTCAAGAGGCTTAGAGTGGAACTTTTTTTTTTTTTTTTGGGGACCACTAGGTTTTCTAGTGTCAATTTGGCACTTATTTTATTTTATTTTATTTTTTTATTAGTTTGTCTTTTCAATTTTGTCAACCACACCCACCTTTTGCATTCCAATTAGGACACCTCTTGCATTTCAATTAGGACCAGTAACTTTCAATTACTCCTTATGTGCATGAAATATTATTAGCAAATTTATTTTTATCCGCAAGATATTATGCAACATTGCAACCGCTTCTACAAAATCATCAATTAAACATCGCTTAAAATTCCATAACTTGGATTGGATCCTTATAGAAAAACACCGTGATGTGTTTGTAGAGGATCCTTGCTCGAGGCGAAAATGCTTACAATTTTCAAATTAACAAACTAATAGATATATTTCTTGCATTTCAATTAGGACTACTATTTTTGAATTGCTCCCGGTGTGCAGAAAATATTAATAGCGAATTTGTTTTTATTCGTAAGATATAATCCAACCGTTACTACAAAACCGTCAATAGAATTTGAAGGTTTGCCCGCTACTACAGAACCACCAATAGAATTTGGTGGTTTGCGTAACTGAATTCACGGATAATTCTCTTTGCATGACAGGGAGCAATAAAACAACATTGCTTAAAATTCCATATTTTGAATGGAACTTTGTGGTAAAACAACGTGCTGTGTATTGTAGAGGATCCTTGCTCGAGACGAAAATGCTTACGTGTATTAAATTTACAAACTAATAGAGATATATTCGGACTATTCGGTCAAAAGATTTGGGCTACTTTACACATATAGTTGCTCCTAAATAGTACTAAAATAATATGACCAAATTGTTTGGTTTTCCATAATTTTCGATTTTTAAACAACCAAATTGTTTGGTTTTCCATAATTTTCGATTTTTAAACAAAGGAAAGTTCGTGTTAGGTGAAGCCACCAACTTGACTCTCTTCAAAATTTCATTTGATATAGATTGGTCTGACTTTTCCCAAATAAGGTTGGCAAATTCTAAAACCACGTTCGTTGCTTGTAATTAGCTCTTTGTAGTGTACCAGTATTCAGTAAAAATGCAATAAATGTGGGGCTTTTGGTAACATGGACTCTGACATGATATTTATGTTAAAACTCTTATAAAACTAAGAAATGGGACCAATTGATATGTGGACCAAGGCCTAGTAATTGCACTCTCTCTCTCTCTATATCAATAGAGATAAGCACAGATTCAGTAGATTTTTGGATGCCTTTGGTGGGCCATTCAATTATTTCTCTCTTTGAAAATCTCTCTATAATTGGTATGAGATGGTTAAGTTAGGAGCCAACAATCAAGAAGAGGTGTTGAATTTCTCAGAAAAGCTCCCATTGGCCAACCACAACTGACAAACACCAAATAATTCACTTCATCACTGTCATCTACAAGTCACTTTATTTAAAAGAAAAAATCTACAAGTCACTTTATTTAAAAGAAAAACACACACACACTCACACACACACACACACACACACACACAACTTTCTCTATCTCAATAAAATAAAGGCACTAACAGAGACAGCCTTTAAGATGCTTTATTTTTTGTAGTTTTAAGGTACCAAAGGGAGTAATGTAATGTGTACATGAACGGTGAAATTCAACCAAGTCATTCAACTTGGAGACCCTACAAAAGCCTCAATAATTACATCTCTCATAATGTGAGTGACACTCACCACCACCATTCACTTTGTTCTAATCAACTTACACAAAATGCTGTATTGGCAATCCCCATCTGCTATAAGTTTATAAAAAGGGTGGATAAGAATGAGAGGAGGGAATAACTGGGGATGTGCCTCATAAGTGAGTATAGATTGTGACAATGCAGCCTCTACTTGTGTATGAAATTTGTCAAAAAAAAAAAAAAAATAACGGAAAAAAAACTGAAGAGTCTTACAGATTTTATATATCAACAGCATCAACTGGTAGGGATGTTGTCCTGTGAAGAGTGTTGGGAAGCAATGAGCCTGTGCAGAAACTCTTGACAGTAACCATGTCCTCTGCATTAGGAGAGCCGATGATAGCCTCGCCTTTTCGGACCCTTTGGATATCCGAAATGGTGCAGCTTTTCTGAACATGTTCATGGAGACTTGAGCTAAAATGCCTGTCATAGGCAGAAGATTTCAACACATTAGTGGTTGTGTGGTTACTAATATCTGATGAACCAGAATGAAGTTTTGGAGACTTTGGTATAAGTCCTAGCTGTTGATCTCTAAGCTCCCTCAATTCCATCTGGTACTTTGCTCTGAGCCATCTCAATTCCTGCTGATTTTCGTGTTCATGATCATTCGAAAGATCACGAGACAATGAAGGGATCACAAATAACGAATGGGAGCCCGATATGGCTGCAGCACTAGATGCAATTTTGCTCTGCATTCCTATTTCTCTCTTATCCTTTGCTGGAACTTTATGATCCAATTTTCCATTTTCTTCATCCGAATGGCTCTCCCCGGAGCCCAGTGTACTACATTCAAGGCTTTCGCTCTGACCCCACATTTGTGCGTAATGGAAACCGTTTGTTTGACTTGACAAGACTGGATTCTTTGCACAATCTGAAGCAAAATGTTCATCATGTTCATGTACATCAACTTGGTATGTGATCTCTTCAAACCGGCCATGCATAGCAGCACAACCACTTCCTGAACACTGCAAAATTTGCATACTCTTAGAACCTGGATTATTTGTCAAAAAATTCGTGAAGGAACCATTGGAGGTATAGTTGGACGCACAATTGTGGCAGAAGCTTGAATTTGCAAAGCGAGGGGTTTCTTCTATTCCTGGCCCTGGCTTCCAATCAGGCACCAAGGAAGCAATCTCCCCATCAATCATATCAGCTATTTTAGTCACGTCTTGGTCGGTTATATCCAGCTCGGCAACCATTTCGGTTGCAACACTCAATGCTGTATCAATTTCAATGTCGAATGGGAAATAGATGTTCCTGATGCGGCCTGAAAAGAGAGAGAATTGTAAATTTGTAATGCCATTTTGAGTTTCAGTTGTAAATAAACGCAAATGTTTGATGGAAATAATATCTAAACACAATATCAAGTATGTTTCAAACCTTCTCTGTCCTCAATTCTGAGTCTCAAAAAGATATTATCATCTTCCACTATCTTCCCTTTGATGGTAATGTCAACATTTGTAGGATGTTCGTCGTGTTCATCATCACTGCACTCAAACAGCTTGATCCCACATTGTTCATTCTCTGTTGAATGATGCTCCCATCCATTTTGGGCTTCATATGCAACTCCATTGGAGTACCCATTATAGGAGCTATTACCATATGACCCTCCTTCATAACTTTGTTCAAGGAAAGGCTGCCTTAACAGAGGGTCTCTATAATCTAGTTCCCTCTGGCACTCTAACGGTCTTAAATCGGATTCACAATCGTCAATTTGGAGAAAAGGGTCATTCAGAAGCTCAATTGCAGAGAACCTCAGAGACACAGTGGCCAAACATTTCTCGACGAATTGTCGTATCTCCGGATCCGTTACTTTGTACAAAGCATCTGGCTTTTTCCCCTAAAACAATAAAGCATTTCAATGAAGAGAGAGAGAGAGGGAGAGACAGACAAACAGACAGAGAGAGTTGGTGGGTGCTTACAGAGATAACTTTCTTGTAGATCTGAGCTGGATGAGTGCATTCACTATATGGATACTCAAAAGTGACCATTTCCAACATACACATCCCAAAAGAGTAAATGTCAACTAATTCATTGTATTCCTCTTCATAGACTTCTGGAGCCATGAACTCTGGTGTCCCTGATTATAAACAAACCCCAAACATATACAATCTGAATATAACTTTCTTTCAATCATATCAATTCTCTAGCTCATCAAAAGTAACATATCACAGAAAGGCAATTGAAAACACACAAGGGTCACTATGCATGCACTAAACTTAGCTAAATAAGAGTTAACAGCATACCAACACAATGAGCAGCATGCGATTTTCGAAGGATTGCAGCGAGCCCCAGATCGCCGATTTTCACTTCCCCTTGGTTCCCATTGACAAAGATATTGTCACACTTGAGATCTCTATGGATCACAGGAGGGTCATGACTATGGAGATAGAGAAGCCCTTGTAAGATCTGCCTACACCAATGCTTCACTGCTCTAATGTTAACCCTCTTATGTTTTTGCCTATACCTAACTCCACCAAATAGAGAAAATAAAGAGTGCCCAGAATGAGAAACTGTGGAATCTAAAAAACCCACATGGCGAAATCAACAGAACAAGAAGAAAATCAGTGAATCGTGAATTTTTTAAAGTAATTAGAACTTACTGTTTAAGAGTCCCGGAAGTGAACATCTCAGTGACAAAATTAATGTTCCTATTAGCAGTATCAACCCAAGAAGTGTAGAACTTCATGATGTTTTGGTGCTTCAATGTTTTGAGGAGATGAATTTCACAGTAGAGCCTCTCAAGATCTTGAGGGCTTTGCAGGAAATCATAGAGCTTCACCTGGTTCCAAGCAACTTCAATCCCTTCATACTCATCAAATGCTCTGTAACTGCATCAATCAACACAAATCACTAAATCAGAAAACCCCAATAATTATCCAAAAATATATATATACATATTTTGTGAACAATCTAGAATGGCATTCCACAAATCTATCACAAAAAAAGGTCCAAAGTGATCCAAAGACCTTCAAAATCCAAAGAAATCTGAAATGGGTATTTGACTAATCTGTCAAATACCCTGTAGCAGAAACTAGAAAACTCTGCTGAAGACTCAAATAAAATAAAATAAACATACACACCTCACACTTCAGATTTGGAAGAAATCTGAAATGGGTATGCAGTAAAACAAAAGATAACATAAGTTTCAATTCATACACTGTCTTTGAAGCTCCTTTGCCGAGAATTTCATTGTACTGCAACCAAAAAAAAAAATGGAAACTAAAAATCAAACTCAGAGCTCCAACCAGAAAACGAGAGAGAGGGGGTGAGAGAAAGAGAAAGAGAGATTTGTATTACTCTGCCATATCTTCCAGTTGGATCAACTTCAACGAACTCTGAGAAATCTGGTTCTTGATGTGCAACACCATTCATTCTCTAAATACTTATTTTTTTGGCTCCTTTGCTCTTTGTCATAAAACTGTGTAATCTTCTTTCTTTGGCTCTGACACCGAAGAAGAGGTCATGAAAGAGACGATCTTTCCTTCTGCATCACAAAGAATTACACATTTCTAGAAAGAGAGTAAACACTCATCAATTATACAAAGAGAGAAAAAGAAAGAGAGAAAGAGAGAGATGAGTTCATCAAAGGAGATTAGGACAAAGTCTCACAGCTAGCCCACATTGTGAGAGAGAGCATACAAAGCCCACCCGCCCCACAAAACGTAACGTGACATAATGAGAGAGAGTCTAGAGAGAGAAGAGAGAGAGTCTCACTTACTTTCTACAGAAAAATCTACTAATCTAAGGCCTGCAAAGTTTTGAGTCAAATTAAGGAAAATTAACTGATTATATAAAAGATGGGGCCCACTCACCCACTATTTTCAGTTTCAGATCAATGGGGTTAGCGGTACGGATTATTGTACGGAGTGCATTTACATTTTTATCCTTACATTTTTTCTACACTCCTACCAATAATATAGTTGAGCCGGTTCAATCCTTGGGCCATTTAGGTAATTGACCCCATGTGCCATTTGTCTGTTTAAAAAATTAAAAAAATAAACAATTTTTAAAGATATTTACACAGCCCCTTTTTGCATACCCAGCAAGGCCCTCTCCTTCGGAGACCTTTCGAGTCAAATGCGTGGCGTGATATTGAATTAAGAATTAAGAATTAAGAATTAAATATAATTTTAAAATTAACTGTAGTTTAAGGTGAGCGATTGATCATTTATTTAAAAATTTAAATTATTAAATAGTATTATATATTACTCATTTTTACTTAATTACTTTTGCAATTGAATCTAATATAGGACAAATAAACCTTATTACACTTGTTCACTATAATTATAACATTAATTTGAAAAAAAAAAAAAACAACTCTAAATACAATGCTTTGTACCTGGATCAATTTTATTTTGACACCTTTATAAGGATTGAAAATTAAAAAATTATATAAAAACTTGCTTAATGAACAACTTTTGAGAATTAATTTTTGAAAACTCAATTAAAAAAATCAGTTTTTAAAAAATTAAGTTTCTATAAAAAATTTAAAATATATTTTTAGTTTTTAAGTTTTTGAAAATAACTTTTTTAAGTGACAAATCAAATAGGTTCTTTATTATTTAATATTAATATTTTCGGTGGTTGCGTGCATATCACTTATTTCTTTCAATAAATGTGGTTGACTAGCGTTACAATTTCAAGTGTCCACAACGTCAGTTATACTAATTCTTGTAATAATTGTCAAAACTAGATATTGAAATAGGTAAATGATTTTTTGGACGCTACTCTCCCTACTTAAAAAGCTAGATAAATTCTAAATCAAACTATAGATTTTAACAAAATATCATATTAGAGACATATAATATATCAATTAGTAAAATTAATTTACAAAATTTGTCTTTTTTAAATATCTTACCCCTCCAAATTCTTAAAGATTTTACAAATTTGAAGCTATGAGTTTGTTTTCTAAGAACTCTCAAAATGTAAACAGTTTTGAGAGTATTACAAAAGATTGTTATGTAAAATTAAATAATGTTTTAATACAACTTTCAGAGAACAATTCTTATAAAATTATCAATCAGAAGAATTTTTAAACTATATTTTTTTAAAGTTATCTCAGAATAAAAAATTATTTTAAAAAAATTGAATCAAACAAACTCTTACTTTTATCATTTGTAGTAAAAAGGATCTTTTTTTTGGTTGAAAGCATATTTCATATTGTAATTACTTTGAAGGGAAGGGTATTAATTTCTTTCTCTCAGCCCCCTCCAAAAAAGAAAAGGTGAAAAAAAAAAAAAGTAGGTTAAACTTCTTCTATAGTCAACTTTATTTATAGCAAATTACAAGAAAAAAAAAAAACTTTATATATATAGCCATTTTTTCTTCTAAACCACATTTATTTTTCTCTAATTTATTAGTTCTTAACTTCTTCTCACAAATAGTTGAGTTAAAAATAACAGAAATACCTATTGCTTTTCACTGGAATCAATTCTCGATCATAATTTTATTAAATTACAATTATATTATGTTTCGTAGCATTAAATCAAAATCTTAGAATTATAGTTCGATGAAATTAAAATTTAAAGTTTGATATCTTTAATTTTAATTTTGGAATATTAATTCTGCGCTATAACATTAATATATATTATTTGATTATCTAATAACACCCTTAAACCATGAGGACGACGTTTTTTAATTTGCTGTTGATGAGTTTAGAAGATGGACATAACTTTTTGATGATGGATGCGATTCTCTCATGCCATGAAAAAGCCCTCTTGGGGTTCCCCATATATGACTAGTGGATTTGTCAGGTTTGGTGATGGATTTCACTAGGGATTCCAAGTTGGGAATCTCCTCAAGAATGAGATCTTCAACAACGTAACTGAATCACTTTTTTTTATTTTATTTTATTATTATTTTTATTTTTATAGTAGGTGTATCGATCTTATAATACACATACTATTCAGATCAAGGTTGCAGTTCGAAAGCGAGAGACTTACCTCCCAAATTTCTGCCTACACAATGTTGCCCCCGACAATAACTGAACCACTTTGTTTTGAGTAATGCAAATAACATGGAATATTCCATATATTAGGATGATTTATATGATTTCAAGAACTGGGGATTTCTTCTTTCATTAGTAATTTCATTTTTAATTGTTTAGCGTTAACATTGAAATTTAAACCTCTATATATATATATATATATATAAAATAAGTGCTTAAGTATGTAAAAATTAGTGTTAGGGACTCTTATCTTTTTAACTTACTTTCAAGTTGTAAAATTAGTGTTAGGGACTCTTATCTTTTTGGCTTTTTCGTGTATGAGCCCAGCCTATTTGGTACCTTTTTTATTTTTGATGTTTTGTTTTAATTCAAAATAAGTGTTTTGTTGTAAAGATTTTGAATAATAATCAGAAGCACGTCCATTTGTTGTAAGATTTTTTGAAGCAAAAACAAAAAAACATATTTGATAAAAAAAATGTGTTGCAAGTTTGAAAAATATAATAATTAGTTTAAAAATGTCGTTTAAGAGTTTTTTTTTTTTTTAAAAAAATTACTTACAGTATCAAAAATATAAAATTGATGTTTCGATTTTTAGCCACTATTCACGAAACGTTTCAGTACTGTGCAAAACAAAATAGTTTTTACCAAAAGCCTTTTTTTCACTATTCCCTACTACAGTGTCCTCTAAAAACAAAAACATTAAAAACGCATACAAACAAAGCCCTTAAGTTCTCCATGATCCCACGAGTTACAAGTAACTCTCTGTAACCTCTCAACTGTATTATGCAATTTTTGAAGTAATTACAACTGTTTTTCAATCTTTTCTGAACTATTGCCAAGTGCCCTTTTTGCTTTGTAATTCTGACTTTACAACTCCTACCAAAATTCTAACGAATTTATGTTGAATTACGCCATCAACCCCCACATGCAGCCTTGCCGCGTCTCAGGCTCCTCCTTGGTAGGTTCGGCTAATAAATGGAGCCTAAACACAATCTACAATATATATATATATATATATATATATTAAGAGATCATTTTTAGAACAGATAGAGTATATTTTAGCTAGTAAACGCAATTTACATGATTTATGTGATCATATGAACTTAGGAGTAGTGTTAATACAAACTTTATAATATCTCTATCAAGAAAATACTTTCATGATCACTATGTTTACCTTTTATTTGTTAAGTGGATTACTACAGACTATTACTACGGATCTAGATATAAATGTCATTTAAAATTTAATAGTTTGTGACCCTTCAAGTCATTTTAAGTGATATTTATATTTTTAAGTCATATAAGAAACCCTAGATATCTCAATTTAGTATGTGCTACGAAGAGTGATACTAACACGTTTAATAGTAAGTCAACTTATATCATTTAATAGACGAAATTGGTGACAACATTTCAAAATAATAAAAAAAGTGATAACATGTTTAACAGTGAATAAATCTGTATCGAGAAATCTATATAGTTCAATCAACAGAATTAGGGACAATATTTCAAAGCAATAATAGAGGAGGAATAGGGTAAATTGAGAGGATGTGCAAGCAATTGACTTTTAAGTAGAGATGAGGTGATTGATAAGATTGGTAATAGCCAGGAGCTTAGAAGCATCTCAATATTTCAAAAAGGAAGATACAAATTTCGCGGGTGGAATAAGACTTCATCTTTGTTACTTTTGACATTATGATCATTTCTTTCATGTATGTTATTTTTATGGTAAAAAGTTTTACATATAAAATATTTTTTAATTCTTTTTATTTATCTAATTTTTTAATTTCTGAAATATTTTTCAAAAACCAAAAGATGCAAAAATATGGGAGGCCACAAGAGCTATACATCTTTTTATTATAACTTCTCTTTCTCTTAGATGCTTAGTTTCGTCAGGTCTTATCTCATAGGAACATATTGAAATTTAAAGGGTAAGTTATTTTTTTTAAGTTTAAAAATATTTTACTAATATAAATTGAATAGTAAAAGAGAGGGATTTGGGCCATGAGGTTCTTGGACTTTTTGGAGGACTCTTTCTAGGGCTTGATGTGAGGAATGGGTTGGGCCGTTAAATATGTGGATTCGATTAATAATCCGATTTTGACCCATATATATCAATTGAGCATCTGCCCGGATCTTTTTTATTTAATAATCAGCTCACATACTGCACTAGAATTTTTCTATCAAACCTTAGTCCATTCATTTTGGAGCTTCCCTTTGAAGCCTCAAACTAGAAATGGTTGTTCATTTTTTTTTTAATTTTGTGGATTAGGGATCCGAGCTATTTGGTTTAGATCAACAACAATATCGCTCATTACTATAGATGTTGCGACCCACAGGATCATATGACTTGGACCCACACCCACTTAGGTTGGATTCATCTTTAGTGAGAAAGGGAGGAATGAATTGAACAAATAATTATATAGCCAAGGGGTTGGATATTTATATACAACTAGATGTTTATTCATTATCAGACCCATGCATTCTAATATGTTGCAATGGGTCAATGCGTGACTCTTGTTAACTTACAACGTTGATCAACAATCCAACATTAACTCCAAATTGCAGTAGAAGATTTAATTTGTGAACATTCAACATTGGATTAGTTCAAACACAATTGGTGACCCAAACTCCACATACGAATCCACGTGCCCTCAGGGGTTGCAAACATTTAGTTGCCAAAAACTTGTACTGTTTGATGTGTCTAGCTCAAAATACGTAAAGGATGGAGTTTCTCATAACATACCGATCGAAGTTTTCCATAAGAAGATGTGTTAAATAACGTGAATTTTGTATTTTACAATACATGCAACATTGATATCTCTGAAGGTGACCTTGCATGGTTGACATTCACGTTGCAATTTTAACGTAATATAATAACAAAAGTCACATTCACGTTAATTTTAGTCTTTTTCCTGAGGTGCAGGCAAGTTACATTTGCAAAAAGAAGTGATATTAATAAGAATTTAGGACAAGTATTTTTAAAAGATTACCGAAACTTAGAACTAAAGGCATTGCATTAGTCAAGTGATATTGCATCCTTGCTCATGAGGAGGTTGATAATTCAATTTTCATCTGAATAATTGTGTGTGCGAGTTAAGAGTGTTTGTCTTGCCTACTAAAAAACAAAAAATATATTTCATTGACTTTTACTAATTGGTTGTTCTAGAAAGAATTAATTTTATTTTAAATCATAATTCTGATTAAAGGTAAAAATTTTCAAATTGAAGTTCTTAGATTTTACATTTCGTGCAAGAAAATCAAAGTTTGACTTAAAATCTTGCAAGAAAACCAAAGTTTGACATAAAAACCAGATGGTGAAAATGTGGTGTCATGAAAAAAAAAAAATAAAAAAAAAAAATTGTGGTGTCATTGACATTCTTTTTGTATTCCTAAGTCAAATTGCATTATTTTCTTGGATAAACTGCATTACATTTTTGACATTCTTTTTGTATTCCTATGTCAAATTGCATTATTTTCTTGGATAAACTGCATTACATTTTTTTTAATAAACCTCTCTTAACTTGTAGCTTTTTGAAGTAAACTTTTTTTCTTTTAAATTTTTTTTTTTTGGTGAAAGGTAAAGTTTAATTGTATTAAAAGTATACATAGACCCAATAGCAAGTTGGCCCAAGGATAACAATATGTACAACAAAACCCAATCCGTTAGGGAAAGCCCAACCCAACCTAGAGAAAGAACCAACTGGCAACAAAACAGAACACAACCGTTGCACAATAGCAATTCACATCCCTCTCTATGTTGACAGAAATTGAAGGAGAGACATGCTCCTCAATATTTAAACTTATAATATTTTTGTCATTTGCATCACACCATAATTTTAATTAAAATATATCATAAGAAAATTTTAAAAGTAAAATGCATAGTTACAAGTGTAACTACATATTTTTTTGTTTAGCATATGTCTGACATAATTAAATGTTGCAATATCCTTTACTCTCTTTAATTTATTTTTTTCCCTATTCAACTAAACAAAATAAGAGAAAAACCTACAATTTCAGTCATTCAATTACTTTTGTAATTAAATTCATTTTTGTATAAAATAAAAAATATAATACAAAAATATAATAATTATATATATATATATATGAGAAAAAAATATAAAATTTGAACTCATATATAGTTGCACTTATAATTATGAATTTTACTTTCTTAATTTTTTTTATGCTTTTCTTTAATTAAAAGTATTGTGATGTAAGTAACAGAAAATGTAAGTTTAAATATTATTATTCTAGGATCAAGTGTCCATCTCATATACTCATCTATACACATTGTATAAATAATACAATAATATATATAATATAAATTTTTTTTTTGGTGCCCCACCTTTGGATCTGCCCTTGATTCAAACTTATATGTAATTGCACTCATAATTATGAATTGTACTTTCTTAATTTTTATGTTTTTCTACTTATATGTAATTGCACTCATAATTATGAATTGTACTTTCTTAATTTTTATGTTTTTCTTTAATTAAAAGTATGGTGACATATGTAATAGAAAATATAGTTCAAATATTATTATTCAATAAAGAAAAAAGAAAAAGAATCTTTTGGATAAATCCACACAATTGGATGAATTGAATACAAATTTTGAACTTATATGTAATTGTACTCATAATTATGAATTTTACTTTTTATGTTTTTCTTTAATTAAAAATACAGTGATGGATGTAATAGAAAATATAGTTCAAATATTATTATTCAAGAAAGAAAAAAGAATAATAATCTTTTGGATAAATTCACGCAATTGGATGAATTACATAAAGCTCTCATTGACTTAGTTGGTAATAGGGGTGTACACGGTTTGGTTCGGTTCGGTACGGTACGATTCCGATCGGAATCGACACTGAAATTGTGTGTGCATGGAACCAAACCGTAATACTGGTTCAGTTGCGGTTCCCTTTGAACCCAAAGGAGTTTAAGAACCAAAAAAAAAATTCCCAGAAGAGAAGAACAAAAATTCATAGAAGAGAAGAACAAAAAGTTTGTGAACTAGCCGAAAATTATTTGGAGATGCTTACTTGCCTAGGTTTTTTTTTTTATTTTTTTTTTATGTTGTTGTAATGGGTAAGTAATAAAAAGAGAAGAGAATAGATGGGAGAGAAGTAGAGAGGAAGAAGAAGAAGAATAGAGAAGACGACAGAAGAGAAGAGAAGATTGGGTTTAGTGATCTGGGTTGGTTCAACGAGAGAATGTGAGTGTGGGATCATCTGACAGCTGGGACAGTGGGACAAAATGGAGACCAGAGGCGTGCAAATGAAATCAATATAAAAAATGAAAATGTAGAACACTAAGCCCAATAAAGCATATTGGGTTTCTAAAACTTTTAAAAATAATATATATAATATATACAAAATAGTAGAATATAATTAAATATATAATCATATATATATATATATATATATATATATATATATATATATATATATATATATATATACAGTTTCGGTTCCCACGGGTTTGGAACCGGAATCGTAACCGTAACAATAACCGTAACCCAGGGTTCCAGATTTTCAGAACCGAGACCGGAACTGAAACTGGAACCGGAACCGAAGTCCCAGGTTCGATTCTCACAGTTCCACGATTTTTTTGTGCACCCTTAGTTGGTTGGGGTATGTTTGACAAAAGAATTAAAAAGTAGCCCCCTCATTGAGTTGAGGGGATATTTTTTTTGGTAAAAAGATGTAAAAAGAAAATTTACTACAAATGCCCCTGCGGCTTGGATGAGATGGGAGGGGGCTTGGCTTGGGCTATCCCTGGCCCAGGTTCGAGTCTCTTCCCGCTCCTTTATTACTGTGATTAAAATTGTTGCTGAGGTGCAGGGCCATCGACAGCTTCCCCGGTTTGCAATCTGGGGTGGGTCCCTAAGGGGCCCTACCTAGGGGAGTTCCGGTGCCAGCCAAAAAAAAAAAAAAAATTTACTGCAAAATGTTACAAGTTCGGTGCCTACTCACACATATAAGTCATTCATCATATAGTCTCGAACCCTCTTCCTTCTATTTTGAGAATGAAGAGGTTAAGTGTTACAAGTGGGACTTGTCCCACATCAGATTTGGATGACGGTTGAAGTATGTATAAATGGGTGGGTATGCAGCACTACCTAACAATTTGAGTTTTTGGGTTATAGGGTAAGAGCTCGCTCGTTACAGTTAGTATCAGAACCAGACCCAGTCCTTAATCCGGTGTCATGCCAAGCGCTTGGTCCGGAGGGCGTCCGGGTCTGGCCTAGGGTAGGCAGGGTGACCTGACCGCAATGTGGGCGTTATGTGGATTCGGGTGAAAGAGAATGTTACAAGTGGGACTTGTCCCACACTGGATTTGGATGTGAGTTGAATTGTGTATAAATATGTGGGTATGCAGCATTACCTAACAGCTTAAATTTTTAAATAAATGGACAAGTGTCCACCCGCTACATTAAGCCAAAAGCGAATAAACTATTTAACCAACCCAAGCAAAAATACAAGGAAAAAAAAAAAAAAACAGCAAAAATACATGTGATTTTTCTCTGACAAATACCAATCTAAATATTATTATCATTATTAAGTGACCAACCCTCCCCTATAATCAAGATGGAAATTTATCATACATCTCCATCTAATTATTTATACAATTCACTAATAAGAGTTGATTGTATCCTTATTAATATGAGTTTTCACACACACAAACATCATTATTAATTTGAGTTTTCACACACAAGCAACAGAAAGAAAGTTGAGATCACAACCAATAACCGGAGAAGAAGTAATTCATAATTCTCAAGCATATCATTTACTTGATGAATAAATATTGGGTGCGCTAGTTACACAGTGCACCAATTCATCTAAACTATACATGTATAACACCAATTCATCTAAACTATACATGTATAACATGCATTTACGCACGTACAACATGTACAATTCAAATGAACACGATACACAATTTGCTGGACGCACTCAATACCTTCCCTACTTGAGAGTATTTGTTGAATCTTTAGGGCCATTGTCTTTAAGAGACTTTTCACTACCATCTTTTATGAGAAGATTCTTGAACCATATTGCTGAGCTTTTTGGATATCTTTTCAACCCATTCTTGTAATCTACATGGATCATACCAAAATGAACAATGTGACCCACATTCCATTCCAAAACATCTAGGAAAGTCCATACAAAATATTCTTTCACATTCGCACCCTCGCTGCAAAAATCCAAGTCACATACTGTCATTTTTTAGTAAAAATAAATAAATAAATAACACTTGAGCTCATGAAGAAAAATATTTACATTACTTATTTAAATTATCTATAAATTAATAGTATTATAAAATTTACTTTATCGCACAAATAGGGACATATACACAAGAAAAAGTGAATTTTGTGAGAAAATTACTTGATTGCGTCTCGAACGAAACGAAGATGACTATCATGATAATCTCTTCTAATCTTGTCATCACGAGCTTCAAGAATTGTTAATTTGTAATCATTCATCTCACTAACCCCTGTGAAACATGAAACAGTTATTGACAGTGCAGCTAATCAATAACTAATTACTAAAGTCTTTTTCAAATTATTTGACATTGATACTTCTTTTTAATTAATATGTGATATATATATATATATATATATATATATATATATATATATATATATAATTAACCTTGATTAACATTAATTAGAGAAAAAATTAATTACCGTTCTCCGTAATATAAATGGTTGGATCACCATAATTTTCCTTTATATGATTCAAAAGCTGTTTAATCCCTTTCGGATAAATATAGAGCCAACTTGAACCAGCCTGCAAAAATATTTAAAGATATGCAGTTATAAATATGAGAAATGAATATACTCATTAAGGAAACTTGCAGAGAACACCTAGAACTTAATCCTTAATTATCTTACTGTAATATACCATCATAAATATAAAGACACTGTGATGACACTAAATTGAAACCATTATGCAAAAAGCAGTGGTACGGCCTCTGAGCAGGAGGCCGAAATCAGAGACATTCGTGATGTGCACACATCAGCACGTGTTGTGTATGCACGACTATGATTAGCCTAGAGCATCGAATACCTACTTCCTATGTGGGGCCATCTGCTCCCCTTCAGTCTTATAAGTTGGGAGGATTAATCATTTTTGTTACGCAAATTATTTAAAAGTAATAACTCTACAAAAAAGAGTTGAATTTGAAGGCCTTATTGTTGGGGGGCAGCGAAAGAAAAAGAAGAAATAAAGAAACCACACAACAAATACAAGATATACCTAGTTCACTCAAAATCAGGGGGTTACGTTCACGGATGAGAAGAGATTCACTATATATGTAGAGAAATTACAATAATAGAAAATTTCTAACACCGGACCATGCACACCACAAACTCTTAACCATGTTCTCCTTGTTATAGGACCGACGCAGGGGGGCAAGCAGGAGCCATGGCCTCCCAAATTTTTGAATGTGCTTATTACTATAGGGCCCAACAAAAATAATTAAGGATAAGTCCATACTAGGCCCCCCAAATTAAATTCTTCATTGGGATACAAAAAAATTAAACCCATACAAAAAAATTTAAACCCAAATCCAACAACATATACATGTTGTTGTCTTGTACACTTAACACAACTTATATTAAAAGATCAGCTATGGTAGTACTCCCTCTATCCCAATTTAGATGTCGCTTTTGGAGAATAGGAATTTTTAAGGAAATATGTGGGACATGTCTTATCTCTCTAGAAAGTTACTAATTTACCCTTCTAAGTTTTGAATATTCAAGTTTGAAATTTTAAACTCCATTGACATATATAAAAAGAATGTAAAATATATTATTTGAAAAAGGAAAGTGACAATTATTTTGGGATAGACTAAAAATAAAAACATGATATTTTTTTTAGGACAGAGAGAGTATAATATTAGTCTCATATAATATGATGCTATATATTATATATGTAATATAACCCAAAACTACCTAACAAATCATAAATTTGGAATGCACTACACGAAGCAAAGTCCTGATCCTATTTTTCTTTTTGGCTTTTTTAATCCTCTTGTATACATCAAATATACCTATGCATAATGATATATAAATGTAATATATATGGTATACTACATTTATTGATATACATTTATACAATATGTAAATATAATATATACAATTATATATATATATATATATATATATATATATAAGCATATAAATTAATATTAAATTGATGTATTTTTTTTTTTTTTAATCCAATCCGTAAAAAAAATCCTGGATGCATAGATGCTAGCTCCTATTTTTATTTATATTTATTTTATTTATTTTTTTCAGTTGTAATTTTTTTTTTTTTTGGCCCCCCAAACCGGAGAGTCCTAGCTCCGCCCCTGTCCGTGTACCCTACGAGACTCCCTCTCACCATCAGTGTTCACTTTACACAACGTGTAACTAAGGCTACATTTCTCTCAACTCATATATACCTCTCAACACTAACTTATGTATATATTTATAGAATCTCATACCCAATTTCTTGAATTCTTGATGGATAAAAATTACAATTTTTTAGAATTTAAGACATGTCTCTACAAAAAAAAATTATCATAATAAAATAATTCTATAAATAAAAACCTAATTACAATAGAATTTAAAACTCAATTCCTAACACTTACCTGTTCACCAATGGGAACTCCATTCCTCTCAGCTACCAAAACAAAAACATCATAGTCAATTTACTACTTGCATATATTAGGAAATTGAATTTGTAATTAAAGAATGCAAAAGTTTAGTGAAATTACTTTTAAGCTCAACATGAGAATCTGTAGCATAACTCAACTTTCCACAATGATGTGGAGCTGGAGTTGCATAATTGGCAGTATAGTAATTTAATCCAACGAAATCAAATGATCTTTTTACCAACTCCTTTTCGTCTTCATTAAAGTGTCGAAGACGGCCTCGAACATTACTTATCATCGCATCCGGATAGCTACCACTTGTTAAGGGTCTTAAAAACCTAATCAAAACATGGAAAAATCCAATTTAAACCTTAGCTAATTTATTAAGACATATTTAACAATAATAATAATAATAATAAATAAATAAAACTAGTTAGATAGCTATAAATTGTGCAACAAAGAACAATAACTACCACTTGTGCATAATTATTCAACCACAAAACATAAGGTGTATATTAAAAAATAATTCCAATTCACTTTATGCTCACATGCAATTATTTACTTTGTGAGATAAAGAAAGCATAAGTGAAAATAATAATTAATTTTTTCGAAACTTACACACCCTCTATTTTTTTGTACGAGGATTTGAACCATTCTCTTTCACTTTAAAAGGTGACTAAATGTCACTAGATTATAATATTTGGTGATTGAAAATAACTCTTGATGGATAGTATTATAAAAATACCTCAGGCAAGTTCTGGTGTAACGGTAAAATTGTTTCATTACAACCTAAAAGCATCGGATTCAAAACTAAAACTAATTTCTCCATTACGAAGGTAAGATTACGTGTAATTAGTTTTTTTCCAACTATGAAATGACAAAAGTCTCGTGGGTGTATTCTTTTTCTTTTTGGTTGCATAGACTCCTATGTATTTCTTTGAAGTAGGAATACTATTTGGGCTCTAACTCATAGGCACATCAGAAAATGGCCAACTTAATCCAAAAGCATTTTCAATTTTCTTTATGCTCTTTCACATTTCGGCCATGGTCAGATGGGCCAAGCCGTGCATGCTTAAAATGACAAAATCAGTCAACCTACTATATGTACTCATCATGAAAGAATCATATATATATATATATATATACATATGTATATATATACATATGTATGTACACATGAATTACTCACCATCCAAGCATGAAATCAAGAGCACGATTTGCAGCGTGTTGGTCCTCCTTACTAGTTTTGCAAAGAGGCTCATACCAATGTGAATTAAGTGTAACGCCAATCATATATATATATATATATATATATATATATATATATGTACACATGAATTACTCACCATCCAAGCATGAAATCAAGAGCACGATTTGCAGCGTGTTGGCCCTCCTTACTAGTTTCGCAAAGAGGCTCATACCAATGTGAATTAAGTGTCATGCCAATCATACCCTTTTGACTTGCCTATACATATTCAACAATCAACATTCAATTAATCACAACCATTTGAAAACACTGAGGTGAATAATTTCTTTGGCATAGACTATTATTAAGGATTAACATTAATAAAAAATAAAGTTAATATATGGATTATAGGGTAAAAATGACTTGAAAAAATTAAATATAATAAGTGATATGACATGTAATAAAACAAAATATTGGAGACAGAGAATTCACGTGGCCGAAAGCAATTATGATGGGTTAATGGCGAAACCTGAAATTTCTCCTTATACAAATGTACCGCTGTTGCATGAGCAAAAATCAGATTATGTGCTACAATATATGGTTCTCTTCTTGGATCTCCATCGGAGCAACTTTCGTGATGATGGGGAGCATTGCGTAAAAATGAATGGAGACTCTTTACAGGCTCGGGTGAAGAAGCGCCTCGACCTGGAGCCAAGGTACCATTGACATATCCGCCAATACAGAATATCGATGGCTCGTTTAATGTGATCCAATGCTTCACTCGATCGCCAAATTCCCAAAAGCAAAGCTCCGCAAAATTACAGAAATCAGATCTGTTAAGCAAATTAATTAACATGGTAGTATTAGTTAGTTGGTAATATATAGTTGTAACCTCATACATTCTTAAATGTTCAATGACCTTAGAATTTCGTGGATTCAAAATCCAAATACCAACCTTGAAATTAGAATATTAAATATGCTAGAAGTCCATTTTTATCCCTACTTATTATAAAATAGCAATTCAATATTATAAAATGACTCAATAATCAACCAAACAAAAGGATCAAAAGATGAAAATCAGCCACTTACATAATTCGACCACTTAAGAAGCCACCATACTCATCTTCTAAGGCTTGAGGAAGATCCCAGTGAAATATGGTGACATAGGGCTTTATATCTGAAATTATATATATATATATATATATGGTAGCATTAGCATTTTGAGTGACTAATTAATAAAAAAAAGGTTGGAAAAAGAAAGAAAAAAAAAGTTGAGGTTGTAACATAACCATTAGCTAGGAGCTCATCTATGAGATTATTATAGTAGTCGATTCCTTCCTTGTTCACACCTCCAGGTAGCCTTCCAGCTTATAATTGCAATATTTATAAAAAAGAACAAATTAATTAGAATCAAAAAATCAAAATATTAACCTTCTAATTAGGGGTGACAATTCGTGTTCGTGGGTCATGTTCATGTCGTATCGATTTAAGGGTATTATACTAAATTGGTAAATTCAAATCCAACCCATTTAATAATCGTGTCAAGAATCTTCAACACTAACCCAACCCGTTTATTAAACAGGTAAACGTGTTAATTCGTTTAATAACCTGTTTATCCAAACGAGACATTTAATATTTAATCAAATATTAAATAATAGAAAAAAATTGTCATAATTAACCCAAATATTCAAAATAAAAAGAAAAATTATAAGGCATAAATAAGATTTATGTTGAAATAACTTAACTATCTATAGTAATTGGGTTTAAACAAGTAACATATTACAAAAGTCATATTCACGATTATAACATGTTGAGTTAAATATGTCATAAATAGGTTACACGGGTTGAACCCCTCAACCCTAACCCAACACGGTTAAGTAAATGGGTTAATCGTGTCGATTCTTTTATGACCCAAACCAATTTATGCGAAACCCAAACCCTTTAAACTCGTGTCGTGTTGTCGTGTCATGTCATAATTTGCCACTCTTACTTTTAATCAAAGGATGATTAGTCGCTGATGCAATCACAAATGAATTCTGAGGCTATATGTTATAAGGGATATTTGTCCCACATCGGAATTCAGATAAAAAGTGAAAGGAGTATAAATTGGTGGGTATGTAAATACTACCAATTACTTAAGTTTTTGAATAAATGAGTAAGTATTTACCCATTATAACTGGTATTAGAATCAAATTTAATCCTTAATATGATGCCAGAGTGGCCTGACTGCAACAAAGGCGTGCAAATTCGGATGAAAATTACACTATGACATACCATCACTATATACCGCACAAAAGCAGTTGTGAATGTTAAGACAGTAGCCATTTGCAATAAATACATTGTAATTTTTCTTTCACAAATTTGTATTAAATGCTTATGATAACACTATCAAATGGCAGTGCAACGACAAAAGGTGCCAACATTTTTTTATTGTTGGTTTCCATCCCATCAACAATAATCAATATTCTCTTGTTTCAAAATCCCATTTCGAAATTTAAAGTGATAAACTGAAAATTAATTGTTAAAAATTTTAATAATTGAATTTTAAGTGTCAAAATTTTTTAGGAGTAATAAAATTTGAGATAATTTTTGAAAAAAAATAAAATTTGAGATTTTTTAAAATATATTTTTAAATATTAAGTGTTCATCATTAAGTGATACATGAAATCACTGTCACTTAAGATTATGCCACATTTTAAATGATATTGAAATTACATTACTCATAAATAGGTATTGAATTAATGAATTATCGGACAATACATATTTCTGGTATTAAGTATAATTTTATATTTCTGGTTGCTTGGTATATTTAATGAAATTCCAAATATGAATGCAAAGGATGGTAAAAATAGAACTTACTTGGCAATACTCTAAACCATGAGATTGAGAATCGACAAGCATCTAGACCAATTTTCGTCATGATCTTCACATCCTCCTACAACGTGGTTAAGAAAGCTCCCACTAAATCTTACAATATTGTGGTTTAGAGTTAAGTGGTCTAATAAATATATTTGGACTCCTAAAAAGTGATTGATTAATTAATTGCCTAAATGAGACACACGTGATGTCAAATTGGGTTACACAAAGTTTGAGCAAAAACCTTGTACTGATGGTAAGAATCAGCTGCCTCGTTTCCATTAGTACCATCTTTTATCTTACCTGTTGTCATTGCACCATAAAAACATGTCTAAGAATAAAACATTTTTAACAAAAGAACACACATGTTTATATGTGGTAATATCGAATTTTCATCTGAATTTGATTTAAATTTGACTTAATAATTTAAAAATAAATTGAAGATTTAATCCGAATTTAATAATCAATTAACTAAACAAATCGAAAATACAAATTAAGATCAATCCCATCCGACACATAATCCAATCCGGCATAATATATTATACAATATGTTAAACATATATTATTAATACTATAATATATAGTAATATTTACATGCTGTCAAAATGATTTTATAATGATTTTCTCTTCTTCCTCTCTCTCTCTCAAGTATTTTTTATTTTATTTTGATAAATAAGTGTTTTTTATTTAACAAAACGAGTAATGATAGATCCTCCCAATTCGAAGGATGCTGCATAGAAAATACGTGAGTGGGATGTGAGCACCGCCACATGATAAAGCCAATACCTTAACTCACACAACACTTGGTTGTCATCCTACTTTCGAATTTAAAAATTTGTTAATGAATCGAATTTTCGAATTTATTATTCTTTTTTTCTTCCTTTCATATTTTATTTGTCTTCTTTTATCCCTCCTTTATATTCTTTTTAAAAATTGTGGGTATCTCTCATAACTTTAATTTCTTTATAAAAAATAAAAAATGAAAAAGAAAATAAACAACAACAACAAAAGATTAATGGGGTTCAGATATTTGATTAATTAATAACAAATCGAATATAAATTTATTAATTAATTATTCATCCCAATAAATAATCGGATTCGGATTGCAAGAGTCCAAATCCAATATGTTTACGGATATGGTGGTAAAAGTGGAGAGAGAGAAGAGACCAGGGTATCTGTGTGTGAAAGTATCCCATATACTTGGTACTCTGCCACCTTGGCTTGCTGCTCCTTCGTACTGAAATAAAAAAACAATTTGATTAATGAATGGATAAACTACGTAATCAAAATAGAATAATTATTTCTCAAGCGGTTGGGACCCACACACTCACACGAATTGATAGGACTTACATTTCTTGTGAGAGATAAGACGATGCGTCAACCAAGCAAAGAATTTTGTAGCCAAATGATACCTATTGGTTCAATAGTTAATTATTTTTTTGTGTTTGTTGGTGTGTATATATATATATATAATTAATGCACGACAAATTGACAATAATCTCTTGCTTGCTGTATATCTATAATACACGAAAATGATCTTTTGCTGTATATCTATAATACACGAAAATGAGAGACACGTGTTATAAACCGAAAGCAATTAAGATTAAAACAAAATAAAAAATGGCTCACCTTTTATCAAGCAATACTCGAAAGAGGAAGGGTAACTGCGTCCCGACTGTCCTTCCACAGTCAGGCTTTTTATTAGTCATAATTTTTATAATTATGCATTTATTTATGAGATATCTTCTGCCTCTATAAAAATTAAAAATATAAATTTTTAAGACAAAATAGTCCTTTAACCTTTTCTTATCACTCTCCTTTTATTTTCATCTCCGTAGTTTTATTTCTTATATCAATAACATTTTAGATTGTCAATATATATATATATATATATATATCGACAAAACAAATAATATTATGGGAATGGATTATTTTATTTCCTTTTTTATTATATTTTAACTATCTATATATATATGCACTATATATGAATTCAGGTTCAATTTCTATAATCATAATTCATATAATTTTTTTTTTTTTTTCTCTCCTCTCTTAATTGATGTACATTATATATATAGCATATGTAATATATATATCACTATATATACGTATAAGTTTTTTTATATCATTTTAGAGCCGTATATGTATAGTTAAAATATAATTTTAAAAAAAGAAATAAAATAATCAATTCTCGTAATGTTACTTATTTTGACAAATCCAAAAAGAAAGTAAATAATATATTCCCCTTTTTTTTGGCAATCTAGAATGTTATATATATATATATATATATATATATATATATATATATATATGCCTGAGGAGGGGAATAAAAGGAGAGAGATAAGAAAAGGTTAAAGGGCAATTTTGTCTTAAAATTTTATATTTTAAATTTCCATAAAGGTAAGGAATATCTCATAAATGAACATATAAGTATTGTGACCAATAAAAAGCGCGACTGTGGAAGGGTAGTCGCAAGCGCGACTGCAATTAGCACTTCTCATATCGGGAATTAATATTCAATTTGGTTAGAAGGAAGAAAATTCGATGGATGAGATAATCTTAAGAGAAGAATAATGTTATCTTATTTATTTTATTTATTTAGTTAGATGGAAGAGAAGAGAAGAGAAGAGAATAATGTAATACCCCATTTTATTTGTTAGGAGAAGGAGAGAGAATAATGTAATATCCTATTTTATTGTAATTTTAAAATTTTATAACAACCTTATTTCTTTTTTTTCCTCTTTCAGAGAAAAACTTCCTTACACCTTTAATACTTTGTTACCTGTGTCATCAACCAATAACAAATTGTATCATGTCACATAAGTAAATTTTAATAATTTTAGAGAATCCTATCACTATATAACAGTATTTAATAAGTTGGTGATACCATCTCATCACTACAATCGGCTCATTTAAATTTTTCAACCCTTTTCCCATTCATATTTATAGAATTGAAAATTTATGATGTAAAAATGATAACTCATCCATTTATTTCACGTCTGTACCAAACAAATGAAGTCTTATCTTCTCTGCAATAACTTCCTTCAACTAAGATAGATTATCAAATTAAATTATAATTTAGTGAATGCACATGCATGACTAATAGGTGTTAATAGGGCCAGGATGGTTGGGTGAATGAGTGATAAATGTGACTCAATGAATTGGGAGAACTTTACTAATACAAAATGGCGAAATTATTTCATCGAACCACGTAATAATTTTTCATAGAAATTGGTGTTCGCAGCTATTGCTATACAAAATGGTGTGCGTGTTGTGTTCACAACGGAGCAGTAATTTGTGTTCGCATGTATCCTTTGTAATTTGTGTTCACATGTATTGTGTTGATTTATGAGTATTATATTAAATAGGTCAATTAAAAAAAAGACTCGGTTAATAATTATGTCAACAATTCTTAATATGAACATGGCCTTAATTGAAGTATAAAAAGTAAAAATACAATGAAAAATTTGAGATAATAAAAAACAAAATTTATGAAAATAAGAATAATTTGGATAATACAATCACAAAAAAGTCCAAATACAGCAGCCATATTGAATTTATATGAAAATCATAGAAATATTCATAGTAATTGGGTTGAAATTGGTTATGAATTGACCTGACACGATTCATTAGATGAGTTAAACGAGTTGAGTTCCAAATATGTTGACACGACCAAAATTAAGATCAACCCAAATTTGTTAATTTCGTATCGTGTTCGAGTTTTGTTAGTAAGCCTTGTAGAATTTTGCCACTCCCACAATATATATTACCTATAATCTCTCTCAACCGATCGAGTCAATAAGAACAACCTAATCCTTAATTTTATTTTATTTATTTTTTATTTTAAAATTTAAAACAAACACACTTATTATCCAAACACATGAGTGTGTGTTTTGGGGTCGAAATTAATCCACATGGATACATGAGTATCCTCGAAACCACCAAATTGGGTTGGAAAACATTAAAAATGGGTATGCACTAATTAATTACTAATTAATTGATGTTTAAATTTGAGAATAAAAGGTAAGAACCTTTTAAAATTAAATGTCTTTTTGCCCAAACACAAAGTTCGTATAAATATTAAATAGTGAATGACTAACTGTATGATATTGGAACTTCTTAACCGAGTTAGACTATTTTGAGAGAATTTCTCATGAATTTGTGACATTTATTGTATTTTGTTTTTTAAATCTTATGTTTTTTGTTTTGGTTTATGTCATCACTGAACGCGGTATAAATATTATTTGTTTTTGCATATTTTTTTATAAATAGAATAATTAAATCGTAAAAATTGTATAAATTTTCAAAGACGTTTCATTAGACGATTCTAAAAAAATTCAAACCCCTAAATTTTCAAACGCGTGCATGAATATTGCACCATGTCTTGTTTCAAGTCAAGGCGTTAATAATGCAGTGGACGGTGGGTGTAGAGGATATTAATATATGGTGGTTTGGGGTTGGGATGGGTGAGCCACAAGATTGTAAAATGGTGACCTGCCGAACAAAAAAAAAAAAAAATTGTGAAATGGTGTCGAATTTGTCTGCCCCAAGAAATTTTTCTTTTTATTTTTTTGAATTTTTTTGTCTGATCCAAGATTTTAATTGATGTAGTGAAGTGTGATGGCAATGATTGTGATGTAATTGTGTCACATGTACACGTGTCTATGTAACGGGTACGACTACTTAGCCAATTAGGGTTACATACTTTGTCAATTTAGCATCCTATAATGCATCAATTGTAAAGAATTTTTTAATCTTTTATTTTTATTTTTTAAAAAAAGTAAATTATATAGATTTATTTGATAAATATACGATGACATCCGACAAAAAGTTGATAGAGGTAAAATGTGGAGGTATAAGTTGCTCACTTATAAAATTACACCGACTTACTTATTTAACTTTCATATCACAAGAGGGTATTGAATTTATATTTGGTAAAACATCGGACGTTTTATTGCACTGCACTTTTACCTAATTTAAAGGCTTTATAAAATATGAACTAAGGAAATGATTGTGATCCAACGAATTTATTCATTCTCATATATTTATTCATTTAACTTTCTTCTCTTTTTATTAATTGTGATCTCAATTGATCACTCTTCACTTTATTATTAATTCTTTTTAAGCAGCAATAAATAAATAAATAAATAAATACTGGTATTTAATATTCTAGACTTTTTTTTACTTGTTTATTAATATTCCGTATCAATATATATATATATATATATATAAATTCATTGTAAATCATGATATGAAAATTTAATTTATATATAGTAATATAATGAAATAAATTTTAAATTTAAATTTAAATTAAAAATGTAATACAAATAGATACCGCCATGGTAGTGTACTGTCATGGGAAAGGACAAATTAATCATTACTATATATATATATATATATATATATATTGACCATTCTAACCGAAAGTAATTGCCAAGGGGTCATTGTAATTTCATGTTAAGGCCGTGTAGTTAGGTCCAATCTTAACCATCATGCATGATAAAGACAAATTTTAGTGAGTACGGGTGTGAGTGTAATTTATCTAATTTTTTAGGATCATTTACTAGTTATTTTAATAAGATTTTATTTAAAATCTGCTATAAATAGTTGTAAGACTTGACTTTTGAGAAGCATTTTTATTGGTAAAAATTCGGATTTGGATTGTAATTTTTTTATGATTTCATGAGCTGAAACTAGAGAATAAATATGTATTTACCTCGAATATACTTCACATATTTCGTATAATCCATACAAAATAGAGTATATAGATATCTTTAGGACTGTTGGCACCTTTATGAAGTATTTAATTTCTCTTGTTCTAACTATCTCAGTATGTTCTCAATTTGGAGAAGCAAGTAATTCACCTAAGACCCTACTTTACCAAGAAACTAATGAACAAGCAAGTAATTCACCTAAGACCTTACTTTACCTAGAAACTAATTCACCTAAGACCCTACTTTAATTACCAATAAACTCATAAACAAGCCATTAATATTTGAAGAATTTTTTTTAAAATTTGTTAGAAAATTTTGTTTGATTGACAATTTTGCAAAGCTAACTTTATTTTTTTTTCGGAGATTTTTTATTATTATAATTTTGAAATTAACTTTCAGTAAGATAACAAATCATGCTCTTGATCACTCTTCACTTTATTATTAAATCGTTTTAAGCAAAAAAAAAAAAAAAAAATGGTCTAGTATTTGTAGTTCAAAATTTGTTGTTAATACAAAGTGCAAACTTCTCTATTAATTTTTAAAGCATTGAGAATCACTATGGCATTTGTATGATTACGTTTTGTAACATTTTTCTCTACAACAAATTCAAACAATATATGAAATTGTGTATCCTATTTTTATTTAAAGGAGTGAAAATAAATAAATAAAAATGTAGTCATGTTTTCGTAAAAGTGTGATAAAAGTGTGCACATGTTCTGCCATCTGAACTTTGATCTCGCAAATCTGCCTTGTAATGAGCTTTCCATACAAGCTCTAGAACTTGTTTCAGAGAATGTACATCAGCTGTTGAAAGAGAATGTGCAGAGAATATACATCAGCTGTTGAAAGGGGAAAGGGGGAAGAAACTAGGTTTAGAGCAAAGCATTAAAAGAGAAAAACGAAGAGAGAGAGAGTAACTATTGGAATCCTAGGGGTAGTTAGTTTGGAGGTTGAAGTCTAGGTGTCATCGAAGTGACCTCGTTTTAAGGAATATTATTGATATAAATGTCATTAAAATTTAATAGTCCGTGGTCCTTCGAGTCATTTTAAGTGGCATTTACCTTTTTAAGTCATATAAATTACGTTATCAAATGAACTTTAATTGGATAAATACTTTCAATATTCAAAATTAAGTAGTACTAAATTAGATTATCAAACAACATCTATTTATGAAAAAATAGTGAGTCAATTTATATCATTCAATAAACGAAATTGATGACAACAATTTAAAAAAATAAAAGAGTGATAACATGTTTAACAGCGAGTAAATCAGTATCATTCAATCAAAGAAATCAACAACAACATTTCAAAACAATAATAGAGGATGTGCATGTAATTGACTTTTAAGAAGAGATGGAGGTGATTGATAAGATTGGTATAGCTAGGTAGGGGTGCACACGGTTCGATTTGGATCAAATTGAAAGTTTTTTTTTGGGACAAAACTATTTATAATGGTTCCACTATTTTTAAAACCAGACTGAACCATAATACCCATGGAACCGAACCGAACCGAACCGAACAAAATTTCTTATTTTTAAAAACAAAATTTCTTATTTTTCTCAGTATATAATACATCAATAGAAACCAACAATATGGACTTAATTCAGAGGAGGCAAAGTTTTAAAAAAAAAAATTCAACTACCATTGATATAACACGCAAAAAGAAGAATTTTAAAAAGAAAAAAAGAAAGAAAATTGAGATATGATTCAGAAAGGGAAATTTGACTTTTTTTAAAAGAAATTTAAAGAATTTAAAGAAAAAAAGAAGTTAAGATAATTTTAGAAATCAAAAATTTAGGAAAGCATGTGAGAACTTTACTTGATTTAGATTTAAGGTATGGATATACATATATAACATAGTAACGGTTCGGTCCGGGCCGGTCCGGTCCAACAGGACCTTAAACTAGGACCGGATTAAAAAATAACACTTCTATAATTTTGGGCCCAATATCGGACCAAACCGCTATACAACTAGCCCAAACCGTCCAATTCAGTCCGGTCCGATTCGGTCCAAACTTTCGATCTACCTAGTTTTCAAAACACCCTTATAACTAGGAGCCTAGGAGCATCTCAATATTTCAAAAAAGAAGATACAAGGTGGAATAAGACTTCATCTTTGTTACTTTGACATTATGATCATTTCTTTACATATATAATATTTTTATGGTAAACAGTTTTACATGTAAAATAATTTTTAACTCTTTTTATTTTTCTGATTTTTGGCTTCAATTGTTGAAATATTTTTCAAAAACCAAAAGATGCAACTATATGGGAGGCCACAACAACCATACATCTTTAGTATAACATCTCTCTCTTAGATGCGTAGTGTAATATTCCTGTTTTTCTTTATTTTCCATTTTTTGGAAATTTATAATTTTTCAAGGGTATTTTCGTCTTTACTCGTTTTGTGTGCCGGATACCGTGGGATGTGTTGGGTGTGTCAGAGAGTTGATTGAAACATTTCCTTGAGTTCAAGACTCTTGAAAATGCATTAGTTGCCATTTTTCAATTTTTCGGGCTAGGAGGTTCCAAGCAGGACTCGCTGTCGAGGTTGTTAAGCACAGGGGTTGAGTATCGGGTCCATTTCATTTCATGCATTATTATTTGATGCATTTTATGTAGTTGTGTGCTTGTACATGTGGTGTAGTGGATTTAGTGGATGTACATTGTATATAATAAAATAAAATAAGATATTATTAAAGCAAGTGAGACCCACCAACCTGTTCATTCGTTTTTATGGCCTTAAAGCCATTATGCAGATCAGCTATCTCTCTCTCCTCACGTCTGTAACTCTCTCGCTCCTTTCTTTTATTTTTTTTTCCTTTTCTTTTCAAACTTTAAAGCTTGATTTCTCCTCTAACTTTGAGAAATTTTTTGTGCCATTTGTGACAAATCGGAGAGTACGGTGAGATCTACACATAGATACCAGCAATTCACACTTTTTGGCCACCTTAGGGATTTCAAAAAATTGGACCCATTTTGGGAATTTTCTCATTTTTGGAGGTAGGGGTCTCTAATGCATACAATCTTTGATTTTAGTGAATTATTTCTCTATTATTTGACTCGACCATGTCTTAATTATATGATTTTGCTTGTGGTTATATGGGCTATGTGTAATAATCATGCTAGTTGTATTGTTATGTGATAAATTAATGCTATGAATATGTTTTAATTGAAATTATATGAAAAAAGATGCTAAGTTTGAATTCCATATATGCCTAAAATGTTATATGTTATAAATTTGAGTTCGATTTTTGTTAAAGCTTTTGAGTTAATTATTTTATTTTATTTATTTTTGTATGCAAGAATGATGTATATAAAATATGTGGAAATTGATATTGACATGACATGGAAAGGCATGATGCATTCATGTATGGCATTGGGCAGAAAATGGGAAATTTGATTTGAAAAGGAAATAAATGATCTTTTGGGGAAATAAATTTTTTTTTTTTATGAAAGGGTTTGAGAAAAACCCGATCGTCTAGGAGTTGCCTAGGGACTGCGGCGTTAGTGTGGCATAGAGGGAACTGGAAAGATTTCCCTAACGTGGTTGAGTTACCTGAGCCCCAAATGACGCCATAGATTTGCCATGGGTCAGGGACAGTTAACCAATCTTTCTCTCGTGCCGCCATAGAGTTGCCATGGGACGAGTTATACTAATGGTTTGAAAATGATGACGGAAAAGGTTTTGGAAATGGAGAGTGACATTGCATTCCATAACATGAGATGGTTCGTTTATAACTTGGATTATTGTTGTTGATGTTGTGGTTATATTTTTCCCAGAAATGGCATCATCCCGGTTCTTTTTCCTATTCCTTGTTTGGATTCATTGGGTCACAAGAGGTATGTCTTAGGCACCTCCTATTGAGCCATTGTGCTCACCCCTTTATTATTAATATTTTTCAGAACACGAAAAGAAGGTGGCGGATAACCATCCACCACAAATTTAGACAGGATTAGAGATTCATATTTTGTTATTTTTGTTTTAGAAATTTAATATTTTGTAAATGTAAATCTTGACTATTCTGTAAAACTTAGTATAATTTGTATAATGTTTTAAATTATATACTTTTGATTTCAGCTATATTTCATGTATTGTACATTGATGTAATTAGAGTATGTTCTTTGTAAATGAGTATGAGACTAGGTAGTGGACTGACGCTTCCATGTTTTTGAAGGAATTAGAGGAATGAGACTCTTTTTATACGTATGTTGTTATTTTGGAAATGTTTTATATTATTTGCATTGTACATTGGGACAGGATAGATTAGTTTAAGGCCAAGTGAGGCCATTACTTTTTATATGCAATTCAACAGGTTGTGATAGGATATTTTTTAGCAGAGGTCATGCCGAATTTTTTTTATTTATTATGACTGGTATCATTTTAGGTCGTTACACTTATGCCTTGCTTGATTTGTAACTCTAAAAATAATTTTTAAGAATTCAGAAAACATAAAACAGTTTTCAGAGAACAATAAAAAATAGTTATCTGAAAACAGGTCTTTTTATAACCGAATTTTCAAAAAACTGAACTAAATAGAATTTTTTTATACAGTTTTCTACTTTCAGTTTTATGAGAATAAAAAACTGTTTTCCAAATTACAAATCGACCTTAGTTTCACCAGGTCTTATCTCATAAGAACTTATTGAAATTTAAAGGGGTAAGTTATTTTTTAAAGTTTAAAAATACTTTACTAATGTATATTAGGGGTGTAACTTGGGCGGGCTAGCCCAGCCCAACCCGAGTTCAGGCCATAAATTTTAAAATCTGGACATATAAATTCACAATTCAGGTTTAAGTCGGGTTGAGTTTTGAAAACCCAACCTTATTCGGTTTGGGCTGGGTTCAACCCGAACCCAACCCGAAAGCCCAAATTAAACATTTCATAAAAAAATAATAATAATAATAATAATAAACCACCATAAACACGAAGTGACAAACCCTAACTTAGTACTTCACGACGAGGGCTTTGATGATGCTTGCGCAGTTGGATTCGGCGCGAGAGCGGAGGTAGGAATCTAGTACTTCACGGCGGAGCATGGAGATGAACTCGTGGGGCTTTAGGGTTTTGCCGAAATCGACGGTGAGATTGGAGGGGGAGATGATCTTCATCTGGGTCACTTTCCGGTCAATGAGCTCCGGCGGGATGGAGAACTCGTCGAGCATACAGAGAGGTATGGCGCCGCCGCAGGGCTTGGCGCTGTTGGGGCTGCGCTCGAAGAGGAAGGTCTCGATCCCTGCCGCGGCAAGGGTTTCAGCCGCGGAGGATCCGGCTGGGCCCCCGCTGACGACGGCGCGTAGCTTGCGGCTAGAGATTCGTGGGTCAGATTTTCCGGCGATAATCAGAGTGTTTGGTTTCAACTTCAAGAGTGGGATTGATGAACGTGAGCTTTTATAGGTGAGTGGGACGGAAGTGAATAGAGAATGGAGTGAATGGGTCTGAGTGGCCATTTTGCTAGATTGAAGACACAGGTGTGTAGATATATATATATAAAAGAATAGACTGAGGAGTGTAACTGTGTAAGCGATGGGGTTGGGTTTAACTATGTTGATGTGTTTACTTTATCTTTTAGTCAAATTATAATATATACTATTTGTACATATATATTAATTTTAATTACATCACTTTCACCTTGTAGAATCGTTTTTGGACAATCTTTTTGGAAGTTGCATTCAAAATTTAAACTTTATTTTTGTAAGTCTCCACTGAGATTGATAAAAAAAAATGTTGCAATTATTGCAGAAATGGCTTATGAATAACCTGTCACTCTACTTAAAAGATTAGACAGGTGGAGTGCAATCTGTAAAACAAAATTCATCTCTCTTTTTTATTTTTTAAATATATTTTAGCATATATATATATATATAAAAAATAAAAATCAACCGTGAACCCGCTCCGACCCGTCCAAACATATTTGGTCCGAGTTATAACCCAATCCATGTTTAGTACAATTCGGGTTGACCCAACCCAACCCGATTTCGGATTGAGGTTAGGTTAGGTTGAGTTAGGTTGGGCCAGCCCAAGTTACACCCCTAATGTATATTGATTAGTAAAAAAGAGGGATTTGGGTCACGAGGATCATTGGACTTTTTTGGAGGACTCTTTCTAGGGCTTAATGTGAGGAATGGGTTGGGCCGTTAAATATGCGGTTTTGATTAATAATCCGATTTTGACCCATATAAATCAATTGAGAATCTGCCCGGATCCGTAAGGTTGAAAGGTTTGCATAAATCATCTCTTTTATTTAATAATCAGCTCACAATCCGCACTATAATTTTTCTATCAAGCCATAGTCCATTCATTTGGGAGCTTCCCTTTGAAGCCTCGAACTAGAAATGGTTGTTCATTTTTTAAAAAATAAAAACTTTTTTATTTAAGATATGAGTTTCATTTATCAAATTTGCGTAAATTCTTAAATTCGTTAAGTTTAAATTGTGAGATGGTGATATTTACCTATTCTTATAGGCTTCAAGACCTTCTGGACTTCTTTTAATTGCCATCCGAAAGAATCATTCTTGTAACATTCTCTACCAAATCCGCTACATCCTCGTCAATATCCAAAGTACAAGTAACCATGGGTAGAGCCAGCGTGTGTAGTGTTAAAAAAAAAAAAAAAGAGTAGAAGATTTTTTTAAAAATAGAAGAAAAAGAGAAAAAGAAAAAGAAAAACATAACTTTGAAAGAAAAAGAATTAATGCGTAATTGAAGCATATAAATTTTACTTTTTCAAAGGAGTTAAAGGAATTTAAAGAGTGATAGATGAAAAAAGAAGAAGTTAGGAGATAATTTTAGAAATTAATTCTTTTAATTGCAATCAATGTTTCTACACAAGAACGAAAAAGTGAAATTTGACTTCCAAGGAAAAATGATCAGAGGTTTACACATGCATCACACCCCCTTGGGGAAACAACCTCTTCATGTTCATGGAGGATTTAATGGCTGTGATGAAGTCATCTCATTCATATTTGTCTTGTTTAAGTTAATAAAGTTACTTAACTCAATTTTGTTTTACTATGTAAAATAACGTATACAAAAATTATATACAATATTATTTTTTTACCTACCCAATTAACTTTTTCCTTCTCTGTTCTCTTCGTCTACCTTCTTCTTCAACTTCTGTTCTCTTCTTCTTCCTTCTTCCTTCATCATCCTCTGATTCCATTCACTTTTTACTTTACTTCTTCAGACCCAAAATTTTCAATCAAAGTTCGCTACAAAAATTACAGTCCACAGGACCTGTTCATTATATTATTATAATTATTATTAAGCTGAAATCAGCAGTTAAATCTTCAACATAAACCCTAAATCGACGGTCCTTTAGGTCATATTAAGTCCAAACAGAAGACTAGTCTCAAAAAGACTGAAAAAATCAAGGTTTTGTGATACAGATCTGGGGATCTTGTAATCAAAATCACAACTACGAACACTTACCTTCAGCTAATGCTTATCGATTTCCAAGCTGATGTTTTAGGGTTCCAGATCCAGAAGAACTGCACCTCCCTTTAATCAACACCACAAAATACCCTCACCTCCATTTCACAACATACAAACATATATAAATGGATATATAATCAAACGTTTTGATCAATCTAAAAGTGGATTGATTAGGTCCGATGATTTCCGATCCAAGATACTATCAGCATCTATGCGTACATGATGTGTATATGTGTGTGAGAGATCAGGAGATAAAGATTTTGTTTTCTGGTGAAAGAAATTCGTAAAATTGTTTTAGGGTTTTGATTTTGCCTTTTTCTTTTTCTCTTTTGCTACAGGAAGATGGGATGAGTCTCAACCTTTAGCCTGAGAGCAGCTCCAATGGGACTGCTATTTGGACTGTTAATTCAAAATATAATAGATGGGCTTCAAAATGGGCTCTCCAATGCAATGCTATTTGGACTTCAAAATGGGCTCTCCAATGCAATGCTATTTGGGCTGTTACTTTCAAAATATATAGCAATTGCTATATGGGCTGGGGCCACAGAAAGCAACGGACTGAATCCTATTTCCATCACAGGGCAACAGAGAGAGAGAGAGATTCAAACCACCAATTGCCTCTCGCTCTTCCCCTTTCCCATCGTTGCTATTAAACAACACTAATTCTCATAATCCAACTTCAGAGATTCAAAAGCTGCTTTTCACACAAATGTGTGTGAGAGAGGGAAGTTCTGAAATTTGATATACAGAGAGTAAGCAGAGAGAGATGATATGGGTTTTGATATAGGTAATAGGTTTTGAATTTTGGATTCTTGTAGACAGATAGATAAATTGAAATTCTTGTAGATTTTGTAGTTTGCAGTTGCAGAGAGAGAGAGAGAGAGAGAGAGAGAGGGCAAGTGGATTTTGTAGTTCGCATTTGCAGAGAGAGAGAGAGAGAGGGGGCAAGTTCTAACGAGAGTAGAGATGGAGGCGATTGGGGAGGCTGAAATGATTTGCCCTAAATATATATATATATATATATATATATATATATAATCAAATATATATAATATACATATATATATTGATAATATATATAAATTTCCTAAAAAGAAAAAAGAATTATATATAAAAAAAATTATATAATAATATAATCAAATATATAAATTTATACATATATATATATATTTTTGGGTCCTTTTTTGACGAGATATTTTAGATTTTTGATTCTTTTTAATTAAGTTTAATTTTAGTTTCTTTTTAATAATGTGCCTAATATTAACATTACTGATGCAAATATGAATGGTAGGAATGGTAGTTGAAAAAGAATAGTAATTCTGTTAAAAAATAGCATTTTCATCGTTGGAGCACTATTGCTAAAATATAACATTTTGACACTGTAACACTGTCAAAATATAAATTTGACATCCGAATTTGACATTTTAGCATTGGAGATGCTCTCAGATGATATGAGTCTCTCTTTCTCCTCTCTCTCTCTTACGGTGAACTAAAGAAATTGAACTTCATTTTGTATATAGAAGAAATTCGTATAAATTTTTTGTATAAATAACAGATACATAGGCATATATATACAGCCAAGTAAATACCTTTTTTACTGACAACCATGTCATCAGTTTACCCCACCATGGACAGCCTCCAGTGAGAGGTGCCTTGCAGAGGATTTTTCTCTCCATTTCTTTTACCGCATTATGTAAAATTGCAAATCCGTGGTAAAACTTTTCATGGCCTCATTAAAAATAAATAAATAAAAAACACACAAGAAAATTTTCATTTATATAAACTGAAATATGTTAAAAAATATATGCTTCATATAGCACTTAACATATAACAAACCTTATAAAAATATGTTAGAAAATATATGCTTATATGACACTTAACATATAACAAACCTTATACTAATATGTCGTGAGATAATTAAAATATGCTAAAAAATAATTTATTAAATAATTAATTTATCAAGCAAAATAAATCAATAAAATAAATAATAATAAATAAAGAACTTGGACAGAATCTAGTATTTAATATTATGTTTTAAAGACAATTTACTCCCCCATATAGTGTTGACGGACTCCACAATGATTGTCTTTCAGGATACAATGGTCTCCAACTACTAGTAACAACATTTCAAATTCGTGGATATGGTAAACCACTCGGTGTAATACTCTTTCTAACTCAAAAATGCATATATATTATTAGAAATATGAATTGCGTTCGCTCCAAACTATTTGGTTTAGATCAATTGTAATATGACTTCCTCTTTAGATCTGAACTTGGATAGAATCTAGCATTTAATATTATGTTCTAAAGATAATTTTCAGTCTTTTTCCTAAGGTGCACCGTTGCAAGCAAGATGCATTCACAACAAATATCTAAAGAGGAAGTCATTTTCAGAAAAATTTCGGACAAGTATTTTTAATAGATTGCCAAAACTTAGAACTAAAGGCCACCCTTGTGCATTTAATCAAGTGATATTGCATCCTTCGGTGGCGTATAAGGAGGTTGAGTGGTCAAGTTTTCATCGGTATAATTGTGTGTGCGAGTTAAGAGTGTCTGTCTTGCCTATTAGAAAAAAATAATAAAAAAATTGAAGAAAAAAAATATCTCATTGACTTTTACTAATTGGTTGTTCTAGAAAGAATTAATTTTATTTTAAAATCATAATTCTGATTAAAAGGAACAATTTTTAGGGGAAATTTTCAAGTTGAAGTTCTTACATTTTGCATTTTGTGCAAGAAAATCAAAGTTTGACTTAAAACCGTGTAAGAAAACCAAAGTTTGACATAAAAACCAGATGGTGAAAATGTGGTATCGTGAAAAAAAAAAAAAAAAAAATTGTGGTGTCGTTGACATTCTTTTTGTATTTGTATGTCAAATTGCATTATTTTCTTGCATAAACTACATCACTTTTTTTTTTTTTTTTTTTTTTTTAAGACATTAAAACTCTCTTAACTTGTAGCGCTTTGAAAGTAAACTTTTTTTTTAATTTTTTATTTTTGGTGTAAGGTAAAGTTTAAATGTATACATAGGCCCAATAGCAAGTTGGCCGAAGGATAACAATATGTACAACAAAACCCAATCCGTAAGGAAAAGCCCAACCCAATAATATTTAAACTCATATTTTCACGCATCACCATACTTTTAATTAAAGAAAAGTATCAAAAAATTAAGAAAGTAAAATTCATAATTATAAGTGCACGCAACTACGTATAAGTTCAAATTTTATATGTTTATTCATATTATATATTATATATATCATTATTATATTTTTTATATTATATATTTTATTTTATACAAAAATGAATTTAATTACAAAAGTAATTGAATGACATAAAATAGTAGGTTTTTCTCTCATTTTGTTCAGTTGAATAGTAAAAAAGAAGAAGAAAAAAAGTAAGGGATATTGCAACATTTAATTTTGTCAGACATATGCTAAATAAAAAACATGGGTTGCTACATGTACAACAAAACCCAATCCGTAAGGGAAAGCCCAACCCAATCTTTAGGTTGGGTTGGGCTTTTCCTTACGGATTGGGGTTGGGTTGGGCTTTTCCTTACGGATTGGGTTTTGTTGTACATGTAGCAACCCATGTTTTTTATTTAGCATATGTCTGACAAAATTAAATGTTGCAATATCCCTTACTTTTTTTCTTCTTCTTTTTTACTATTCAACTGAACAAAATGAGAGAAAAACCTACTATTTTATGTCATTCAATTACTTTTGTAATTAAATTCATTTTTGTATAAAATAAAATATATAATATAAAAAATATAATAATGATATATATAATATATAATATGAATAAACATATAAAATTTGAACTTATACGTAGTTGCGTGCACTTATAATTATGAATTTTACTTTCTTAATTTTTTGATACTTTTCTTTAATTAAAAGTATGGTGATGCGTGAAAATATGAGTTTAAATATTATTATTCGAGGATCAAGTGTCCATCTCATATACTCTTCTATACGCATTGTATAAATAATACAGTAATGATATATATAATATATGATATGAGTAAACATATAGGATTCAAACTTACATGTAATTGCACTCATAATATTGAAATTTACTTTTTTTTTTGTTTTTCTTTAATTAAAAGTATGGCGACGCATGTAGTAGAAAATATAGTTCAAATATTATTATTCAACAAAGAAAAATGAAGAAGAATGTTCGGATAAATCCACACAATTGGATGAATTGCATACAAGATTTGAATTTATATGTAATTGCACTCATAATTATGAATTTTATTTTCTTGATTATTATGTTTTTCTTTAATTAAAAATATGTTGATGGATGTAATAGAAAATATAATTCAAATATATTATTCAAGAAAAAAAAAAGAAGAAGAATAATCATTTGGATAAATTTACGTAATTGGATGAATTGCATAAAACTCTCATTGACTTAGTTGGTAGGGGTATTCTTGGCAAAAAAAAAAAATTAAAAGTAGGCCCCTCATTTGGTTGAGGTGATTTTTTTTGGTAAAAATATGTAAAAAGAAAATTTACTGCAAAATGTTACATGCTCAGTACCTGCTCACACATATAAGTCGTTCAGCACCCGGTCTCGAACTCCCTCCCTTCCTCTTTGAGAATGAGGAGGTTATACAATTAGGCTGGATGCCTTTTGATATTTTTTTTCAGTACTTATAAAATCATGTTTTGATGATTCTTTTATGTCTAATATTTTACGAAAGCGAATAAACTATTTATTCAACCCAAGCAAAACTACAAGAAAAATAAAAAATAAAAAAAAAAGTGATTTTTCTCTAACAAATACTAATCCAAATATTATTCATCATTATTGAGTGACCTACACAACAGTGGGTAGCCCTCCCCTATAATCAAGATGGAAATTTATCATACATTTCCATCTAATTATTTATACAATTCACCGGTCACTCTGATTGTATCATTATTAATTTGAGTTTTCACACACACAAACATCATTATTAATTTGAGTTGTCACACATAAACAACAGTACAGCAGAAAGAAAGTTGAGATCACAACTAAGGAGAAGAAGTAAGTAGATAATTCTCAAGTATGAATAAATATTGGGTGCGCCATGTGCATGATGCAGCAGTTCATCTGAATTGTATATATATAACACGCATTCACGCGTGTGCAACATGTATAATTTGGATGAGCCTAATTCATAATGTGCGGGGCACACCTAATACCTTCTTCTACTTGAGAGTTTTTGTGGAATCTTTAGGACCATTGTCCTTAACAGACTTTTCACCACCACCTTTTATGAGAAGATTCTTGAACCATATTGCTGAGCTTTTTGGATATCTTTCCAACCGATTCTTGTAATCTACATGGATCAAACCAAAATGAACAGTGTGACCCACATTCCATTCCAAAACATCTAGTAAGGTCCATACAAAATATCCTTTCACATTCACACCCACGCTGCAAAAATCCAAGTCACATACCGTCATTTTTTTAGTAAAAATTAATAAATAACACTTGAGCTCATGAAGAAAAATATTTACATTACTTATTTAAATTATCTATAAATTAATAGTATTATAAAATTTACTTTTTTCGCACAAATAGGGACATATACACAAGAAAGAGTGATTTTTGTGAGAAAATTACTTAATTGCGTCTCGAACGAAATGAAGATGACTATCATGATAATCTCTTCTAATCTTGTCATCACGAGCTTCCAGAATCGTTAGTTTGTAATCATTTATCTCACTCACCCCTGTGAAATATGAAACATTTATTGACATTGCAATTAATCAATAACTAGTTACTAAAGTCTTTTTCAAATTATTTGAGATTGATACTTCTTTTTAATTAATATGTGATTTATATATAAATAAATAACCTTGCTTAACATTAATTAGAAAAAAAAATTAATAACGATTTCAAATAATTACCGTTCTCCGTGATATAAATGGCTGGATCACCATAATTTTCCTTTACGTGTTTCAAAAGCTGTTTAATCCCTTTCGGATAAATATAGAGCCAACTTGAACCAGCCTGCAAAAATATTTAAAGATTTGCAGTTATAAATAAGAGAAATGAATGTACTCATTAAGGAAACTTGCAGAGAACACCTAGAACTTAATCCTTAATTATCTTACTGTAATATACCATTATAGATATCAAAGACATTGTGATGACACTAAATTGAAACCATTATGCAAAAAGCAATGGTACGACCTCTGAGCAGGAAGCTGAATAGGGACCGAAGGTCACCCCCAACGTCTGATGTGAGAATAGATATTTAGTGTAATCGGTGCAGCGTGCACCTGACTAATCAGAGATGTTTGTGATGTGCACACGTCAGCACGTGTTATACATGCACGACTCTGATTAGCCTAGAGCATCGAATACCTACCAGGGTCAATCTGCTCCCCTTCAGTCCTATAAGTTGGGAGGATTAATCATTTTTGTTATGCAAATTATTTAAAAGTAATACAACTCTACAAAAGAGAGTTGAATTTGAAGGCCTTACTGGTGGGGGTTGCGGAAGCAAAAGAAGAAATAAACGACCACACAACAAATACAAGATATACGTAGTTTACTCAAAATCAAGGGGGCTACGTCCACGGATGAGAAGTGATTCACTACATATGTAGAGATATTATAACAGTGGAGAATTTCTAGCACTGGACCATGCACACCACAAACTTTAGACCAAGTTCTCCATGTTACAGGGCGGAGGTATTGGGCTATGCCCCCCAAATTTTTTGAAAGTGATTATTGCTATAGGGCCCAACAAAAATAAATAAGGATAAGTCCATACTCGGCCCCCCAATAAAATTCTTCATTGGGCCTTTAACAACTTTAAACCCATATAAAAAAATTTAAGCCCAAATCCAACAACATATACATGCTGTTGTCCTGTACACTTAACACAAATAATAATAAAAGATTAGCTATGGTAATATAATATTAGTACCATATAATATGATGTGTTATACATTGTATACCTAATATAACCCAAAACTACATAACAAAGCATAAATTTGGAATGCGCTACACGAAGCAAAGTCCTAATCCTATTTTTCTTTTTTGGTTTTTTAATCCTCTTGTATACATCAAATATACCTATGCATAATGATATATAAATGGAATATATACGGTACACTACATTTATTGATATACATTTATACAATATGCATGTATAATATATACAATTATATATATATATATATATAAATATATAAGCATATAAATTAATATTAAATTGATGTATATTTTTTTAAAACCAATCAATTAAAAAAGTCCTCGATGCATAGATGCTAGCTCCTATATATATATTTCAGTGGTAATTTAAAAAAAAAAAAAAAAAAAATTTGGAATCCCTCAGCTGGACAGTCCTGGCTCCGCCCTTGTCCGTGTACTCTACGAGACTTCCTTCCGTCATCAGTGTTCACTCTACTCAACGTGCAACTACACTCTGTTCATCAATTCCAATCCTCATGAGGCTCCATTTCTCTCAACTCATACCTCTTAACAATAATTTAGGTATACGTTTATAGAATCTCATACCCAATTTCTTGGTGAACAATAATTACAATTTCTTAAAGTTTAAGACATGTCTCTACAAAATAAAAATTACCATAATAAAATAATTTTAAAAATAAAAACCTAATTACAATAGAATTTGAGAGACAATTCCTAACACTTACCAGTGGACCAATGGGAATTCCATTCCTCTCAGCTACCAAAACAAAAACATCATAGTCAATATATTTACTACAATGTTGTGTATATTAGGAAATTGATTTTGTAATTAAAGAATGCAAAAGTTCAGTGAAATTACTTGTAAGCTCAACATGAGAATCTGTGGCATAACTCAACTTTCCACGATGATGTGGAGGTGGTGGCGGCACAACAGGTTGAGTTGCATAAGTGGCAGTATAGTAATTTAATCCAACGAAATCAAATGACCCTTTTACCAACTCCTTTTCGTCTTCATTAAAGTGTGGAAGACGGCCTCGAACATTACATATCATGGTTTCTGGATAGCTACCACTTGTCAAGGGTCTTAAAAACCTAATCAAAACATGGAGTAATAAAATTTAAACCTTAGTTAATTTATCAAGACATCGGTAACCAAAAAAAAACTAGTTAGATAGCTATAAAATGTGCAATAAAGAACAATAATAACTACCACTTGTGCATAATTATTCAACCAAAAAATGTAAGGTGTACAAAAAAAAAAAAAAAAATGTCAATTATTCAATTTACACTCAAGTGAGCTTGAATATGCAACCTCTCTACTTTGAGATATAAAAAGGAATATGATTGAAAATAACTTTTTTATTTTTATTTTTTTTCTTTCAAAATTCACACACCCACTATTTGCCTTTGCGAGAATTTGAACCCCTCTTTCACTTTAAGAAGTGAGTAAATATCACTATATTACAATATTTGGTGATTCAAAACAACTCTTGGTAGATAGTCTTATGAAAATACTTAGGGTAAGTTTTGGTGCAACAGTAAAATCGTTCCATTACAACCTGGAAGTTCCAGATTCAAAACTAAAACTAATTTATCCATTATGAAAGTAAGATTACGTATAACTAACTCTTTTTCAAACCATGAAATGAAGAGTCTCGTAGGTGCACTAGTATATATGTTCTTTTTTTTTTTGGTTGCGTAGACTCAAGTAATTAAGAATGTTATTTGGGCTCTAACTCATACGCACATCAGAAAATGGCCAACTTAATCCAAAAGCATTTTCAATTTTCTTTATGCTCTTTCGCATTTCGGCCATGGTCAGATGGGCCAAGCCGTGCATGTTTAAAGTGACAGAATACTCAACCTACTATATCATATGTACTCATCATGAAAGAATCGAGTGTGTGTGTGTGTGTATCTATATATATATAAATATACATGAATTACTCACCATCCAAGCATGAAATCAAGAGCACGATTTGCAGCGTCTTGGTCCTCCTTACTAGTTTCGCAAAGAGGCTCATACCAAGGTGAAGTAAGTGTAATGCCAATCATACCCTTTTGACTTGCCTATACAAATTCAACAATCAACATTCAATTAATCACAACCATTTGAAAACACTCACACGTGAATAATTTCTCTGGCATAGACTGTTATTAAGGATTAACGTACATTAAAAAAAAAGTTAATATATGGATTATAGGGTAAAAATGACTTGAAAATTTTAAATATAATAAATGATATGACATGTAATAAAACAAAATATGAAGACAGAGAATTCATGTGGCTGAAAGTAATGATGATGAGGTTAGGCAAAACCTGAAATTTTTCCCTATACAAATGTACAGCGGTTGCATGAGCAAGAATCAGATTATGTGCCACAATATATGGTTCTCTTCCTGGATCTCCATCGGAACAACTTTCGTGATGATGGGGAGCATCACGTAAAAATGAATGGAGACTCTTTACAGGCTCGGGTGAAGAAGCGCCTCGACCTGGTGCGAAGGTACCATTGACATATCCACCAATACAGAACATTGATGGCTCGTTTAACGTGATCCAATGCTTCACTCGATCACCAAATTCCCAAAAACAAAGCTCCACAAAATTACAAAAATCAAATCTGTTAAGCAAATTAATTAACATGATAGTATTAATTGGTCAGATAGTTCAGAGGGTATTTTTCAGAGAGTGTTTTTTTTTTTTTTTTTTTTTTTTTTTTTTTTTTTTTTTTTTTTTTTTTACGCTTTGCCTAATATATAGTAGTAACCTCAAAGATTCTTAAATGTTCAATTACATTAGAATTTCATGGATTCAAAATCCGTATGTGAGCCTTGAAATTTAAATGTTAAATATATTAGACTTCATCTTACATATGTTTTTGTTCCATTTTAGTCTCTACTTAATTATTATAAAATAACTCATCAATTCAATTATTAACTAAACAAAAGGATCAAAAGATGAAAATCAGCCACTTACATAATTCGACCACTTAAGAAGCCCCCATACTCGTCTTCTAAGGCTTGAGGAACATCCCAGTGAAATATGGTGACATAGGGCTTTATATCTGAAATTTTATGTATATGGAAGCATAAACATTTTGAGTGACAAATTAAAAAAAAAAGGTTGGAAAAAAAGAAAAAAGAAAAAAGTTTAAGGTTGTAACATAACCATTAGCTAGGAGCTCATCTATGAGATTATTATAGTAGTCGATTCCTTCCTTGTTCACACCCCCAGTTAGCCTTCCAGCTGATAATTGCAATATTTATAAAAATAACAAATTAATTAGAGTAAGAGAATCAAAATATTTAACCTTCCAATTGAAGGATGATTAGTCGTAAATGTAATCACAAATGAGTCTTGTTATTCGTCGTGACAGATAATTGTCACAACACTTACAATGAGTATTTGAGTAAATGAGCAAACGTCCACCCATTACAGTTAGTATTAAAGTCAAACTCTATCATTGATTTGATACCACGCCAGGCCCGGAAGGCGTCTGAGCCACTCGGGTAGGCAGGGTAGCCCGATCGCAATGAGGGCATTGCGAATTCGGATGGAAAAGAATGTTACAAGGGGTGTTTGTCCCACATCGTGATTCAGATGAAAAGTAAAAAAGGTATAAATGGAAAGAATGTTAAAAGGTGGAAGAATGTTAGAAGAGATTATTTGTCCCACGTCGAAATTCAGTATTAAGTATAGTTTTATATTTCTTGTTGCTTGGTATGTTTAATGAAATTCCAAATATGAATGCATAAGATGGTAAAAATAAGAACTTACTTGGCAATACTCTAGACCATGAGATTGAGAATCGATAAGCATCTAGACCAATTTTCTTCATGATCTTCACATCCTCCTACAACATGCTTAAGAAGGCTTACAATATTGTGGTTTAGAGTTAAGTGATCTAATAAATATATTTGAACTCCTTAAAAGTGATTGATTAATTAATAGCCTAAATGAGACACAAATGGTGTCAAATTGGGTTACACAAAGTTTGAGCAAAAACCTTGTACTGATGGTAAGAATCAGCTGCCTCGTTTCCATTAGTACCATCCGCTATCTTACCTGTCGTCATTGCACCATAAAAACATGTCTAAGAGTAAAACATTTTTAACAAAAGAATACACACATGTTTATATGTGCTAATTAATCGGATTTTAATCCGAATTTTATTTAAATTTAATTTGATCATTCAAAAATAAATTAAAAATTTAATCCAAATTTAATAATCGAGTAACTAAACAAATCGAAAATGCGAATTAAGATCAATCCAACACATAATCCAATCCTGCATAAATAATATATTATATAATATTTTAAACATATATTATTCATACTATAATATATACTAATATTTACATGTTGTCAAAATGATTTTATAATGATTTTCTCTTCTCCGTCTCTCTATTTTCTCTGAAGTATTTTTTATTTTACTTTGATAAACAAGTGTTTTTTATTTAACAAAACCAGTAACGATGGATCCTCCCAGTTCGAAGGATTCTGCATAGGAAATATGTGAGTGAGGGTGTAGGTTCCACTATATGATCAGAGTGATGTCATCTGGTAAAGTCAATATCTCCACTCACATAATACTCAGTTCGCATCCTTCTTCGAATTTAAAGAATGTATTATTTTTCTTAACAAAGAGTAAAAAAATAAATTTTCTTTTTTTCTTCCTTTCATGTTTTATTTGTCTTCGATTTTCCCTCCTTTATATTCTTTTTTAAAAGTGTCTGTCCTTCTCTCCTAATTTTAATTTTTTTTATAAAAAAAATAAGAAATAAAAAAAGAGAAAAGAAACAACAACAACAACAGTAGATTAAGGGCATTCAAATATTCGATTAATTAATAACAAATCGAATATAAATTTATTAATTAATTATTCATCCCAATAAATAATCGAATTCGGATTGGAATAGTCCAAATCCAATATGTTTACGGATATAGTGGTAAAAGTTGAGAGCGAGAAGAGACCAGGGTATCTTTGTGAGAAAGTATCCCATATACTTGGTCCTCTGCCACCTTGGCTTGCTGCTCCTTCGTACTGGAAAAATAAATAAAAAAAATAAAAATAGAGTTGACTCAATAATGATTAATGAATGGATATACCCAATCAAAATAGAATAATTGTTTCTCGAGCGAGACGGTTGGGACCCACACGCTCACACGTGTTAACAGAATTGTCAATTAAGCAAGGAATTTGTAATCTAATGATATCGATTGGTCCAATAGTCAATTATTTTTTTTTAGTGTTCGTCTCTGTGTGTATGTGTGTGTATATATATTTATATATAATGCACGACAATATTTGGTACAATAAATTTGTATGTGTGTGTATATTTATACACATCAGGGAGTCAGAGATCATATGTATCCAACTGTTATCAGAATATTTGGTACAATAAATTTAACCTCGGAGAAAGAGATGATTACCCTTATATGTGTGTGTGTGTGTGTTTGTATTGTACCTGGTAAGCTGATGATGCTGTACCAAACACAAAACCATTTGGAAAACTGCGTCGAGTCAGGGGAATGGCATGATCAATTAAGCACGGATTTGTTTGAGACGCCATATATGTATATCTAATCTGGATATATAGCTACTTATTGAGGCTCACTTTATCTTGGCTCCTATACTGCATGCATATATATATATATATAGAGCATGGAATGGCTCGATGCCTTGGCCCAAAAAATCAATAGAAAAGAACAAAAAAAATTAATTAAGAATGACCCACCACCCTGTCAAGAAATTAACACTTTGAAGCATGATAGACTAAAAAATATATTAAGAATAACCCACACCCCCCTGTCAATTTAAGATTAAAACAAAGTAAAAAAATGGCTCACCTTTTATCAAGCAATACTCGAAATTAATATTCAATTTGGGAAGAAAAATAGATGGATGAGATTATCTTAAGGGAAGAATAGTTTTATTTATTTAGTTAGATGGAAGAGCAGAGATTAATTCTATTTTATTTGTTAAGAGAAGGGGAGAGAGAGAGATTTTTTTTTTATTATTATTAATTCGGAGTGTCCGGGATAGTACGAACCTTTAGGGCCCCTCAACAACCTTACTTATCCCCGAAGACCCGGAAGGGTACCTCTCTATCTGGGCCGGGTAAGTCACGGCAGGAATTATGGATGCTAGCCACAAAGAACACCCAGCGGGACTCGAACCTAAACATTGGGCTTGCTAAGCTTCAAAGTCCAGCGAGTAAACCGGTGGGCTATATCCGAAATGGATTAGAGAGAGAGAGATTGCTACTATTAAAAATATCTAATAATTGTGAAGGGTGATATTGTAATTTTAAAATATTATAACAATCTTATTTCTCCTCTTTAGGAGAAAAAATTCCTTACACGTTTTATCAAGCAATACTCGAAATTAATATTCAATTTGGTTAATTAGAAGGAAGAAAAGTAGATTGATGAGATTATTTTAAGGGAAGAATAGTATTATTATTTTATTTGTTTATTTATTTGGTTAGATGGAGAGAAAAGAATAATGTAACACCCTATTTTATTTGTTAGGAGGAGGAGGGATAGAGATTGCTACTATTAAATTCATCTAATATTTGTGAAGGGTAATATTGTAATTTTAAAATTTTATAACAATCTTATTTATCTTTTATCCTCTTTTGGAGAAAAACTTCCTTACACCTTTAATATTCTATTATTTGTATCATTAACCAATAACCAATTGTATCATGCCATATAAGTAAATTTTTATAATTTTAGTAAGTCTTATCATTATATGACAAATTATTTAATATAGGCGGTGATATTGTGTCATCGTTACAGCCGACTCATTTAAAATTTTCTCCCTCCTTATAATTCATATTTTTAGAGTTGAAAATTTGTGATGTAGAAATATATAACTCATCCATTTTATTTCTGTCTCTACCACATAAGTCTTATCCATTTTATTTCTCTGTCCCTACCACAAAAGTCTTATCTTCTACCGCATGACTATTAGCGTTGATAGGGCCAGGATGGTTTGAGAATGAGTCGTAAATTACACACTATACAAAATGACAAAATTAATTGTTTCGGGACCATGTAATATTTTTCATAGAAAATGTTGTGTATATGAGTTGGCAGCCATTGCTATGCAAAATGGTGTGCGTGGTGTGTTCACAATAGTGCAGTAATTTGTGTTCATATGTATAGTGCGTAATTTGTGTTCACATGTATCGTGTTGATTTATGAATATTATGTTAAATAGGTTAATTTGAAGATGACTCGATTAGTAATTGGGTCAGAAATTCTTAATATGAACATGACCTTAATTTAAGTATAAAAAGTAAAAATCCAATGAAAAAATTGAGATAATAGAAAACAAAATTCATGAAAATGAAAATAATTTCAATAATACAATTACAAAAAAAGTCCAACTACAGCAGCCATATTGAATTTATATGAAAATAATAGAAATATTCATAATAATTGGATTAAAATTGGTTATGAGTTGGCCTCACCCGATTCATTAAATGAGTTGAGCTCCAAAATACGAATATGAATAATTAATTAAACGTCTTAAACGGGTTGACACGAAAACAATTAAGGTCTACCCAAACTCATTAATTTTGTGTCTCGAGTTATGTTAGTAGGCCTTAGGTGAAGGCCGAACTTGGGCTTATTTGGCTTGGGCCTTTATTTTAATACGGTGGCTGAGTTGACTTGGGCTTAATTGTGTGAATTTACATGAATGACTTATATTTTGCATATTAAGAATTTAGAACAGTGCTTAATATATTTCATGGACTGTTTTAGATTTATCCGGAGTCTGGACTAGTTCTATCTAATTGATTATTTTGTGTATATATATATATATATATATATATATATATATATTAATTATATAAAAAAATCCTTACTGGTAATGTAACATTTTGTTAAGTATTTATCCTTATCAATGAATCCACTATCTTATGCAATAGAAACAACAGTCATTAGTTCATTATCACAAATATAAGTGGTTTTATGAATATTATATGATTCATTTTTATTTCCTTATTATTGTTTGTAACTGTCCGGTTGGTTCATCGAAATAAAGCATCCTATAAGCTCACTCATGGGCATCGTTTAGAGCAGAACATAAAACTAAAAGCAAAAACGCATTTCAATAGATCCAATCGATATTTTTCCAATCTCGAATAAACAAACCACCAACTTTTCTTCATTAATCTTCGGAGGTTTCTTTTTAAACATAATTTTTCCAAAAGCACTCACACCATTCAACTCCCCCAAAACTTGTTTCCTTTTTTTCCTAAATATTGATTTTTAGAGATAATTATGCTATTTTTCAATATTAGCATTGCATACAAGCACCACACTTGATTTTTGTAATTACAAAAATCAAGTGTGGTGCTTGTATGCAATGCTAATATTGCCATATCTACTGATATTTTGATAAAATTATATTGTCGGTTTTTATGTACTTGCTCTAGTCACCATTTCTTCATAAAAAAAATTTGAAATTTGTAATTTTTATGTTCTCTGACTTCCCACACTTTATGTGCTTTTAAATCTTATTATCATTTCCATCATGCTATACTTATGCTCGGGTGTATGCTGTGATTTTATTTTTTAAATAGACTACATAATTTCATATATCCAATTTTTTTTATAAATAATTGGAGTTATAGCATAATTTTGGATTTTGGGTGTTATATTAAATAATAGAATGTATTTTCAAAATTAATGCTATTTGAGAGGTTGGAGTAAACTGATTAAACTTCGCTAGGTCGGCTCTGTGCTAATTTTTCTGCTAGAAGAGCGGACGTGAGGATCGATAATCCAGAACACTAGTTATTGACGGTAACGAGCTATCAGTAATGGAAATAGTTTGCCGAAACATTGGAAAAAAGTTTCTGAAATTCGCCGACGTTTACACTTTGTAGGACCTTTTAATTGAGCACCTCTCCTTTTAATTGCAGAGCCAGAGAAGGAATAAATAGTAATTATTACCTTCTTTATATAGCTCAAAGTTGTTCATTTTGATCCATTCCGTCCGATTTGTACACTTAGAATCGATTTTTAAATCCAACAGTTCGATTATGAATTTTAAAAGTGGTAATCCATTAGATCGGTTTGGTTTTGTTAATTTTATATTTTTTACAAATATATTATAAATATTAAATATTATATACAATCATTTAAGTTTCATTTTAGTCTGGTGGAATGAACTAGAAAATAAAAGAAAAAGGAAAAATTTTAAATTCTTTTGGAATTTGGATAGATGAAAAAGAAACCTAATGAAAATTTTGTTTTTCATACTTGCCTATTTTATCTCATAACTTTTGCTGTACAAAACAATGAAAATAATATTTTTGCAACTTCTTTTTTATTTTTTTACTGGTTTCGAAGAACCAAGTTCTCTGCAAAACAACTATTTCTTTGTTTTTCCACAAGTTCATAGGCAATAACAACATACAATCAAATTTCTCAAAAATTAGTATTACCGTCAATTTCTTCATCTCCATTGTTGTTGTTGTTTTTTTCTTTCTCTTAAACTAATAATTAGTTTTACTTCTACCTAAAAAATATTATGAAGCCTTATTTTAAATATAAATAAAATATAAACAATCATATTATTAAATTTAATAATCCATCATTTTACTATTTTTTTTTGCTAAAAATAGAATCACAAAATACAAATTCATTTATTTTTAGTTTTTGAAATCATAAGGGCAATTTTGGTATATTCAATCACTTTTTTCCATTTTCATGCTATTCACAATAACAAACTAAAATTTTCTTACAATTTTCTTGAATAAATTTTTATATTAACCAAATGCATACTAGAAAATAACTTCTTTTTTTTCATTCACTTTACTTTTTTTTTTTTTTTTTTTCATTTTCCAAATATTTTATTTTCTTACTTATTTTCATCTAACAAAACCTACCCTTAATACTTCGTTATCTATGCCATCAAGTTATGAATTGTATCATACCACATAAGTAAAAGTTCTTTATTTGAGTGGGTCCAATCACTATATGACATTATATAATAAGCTCTTCATACTTAAAGGGTTGAAAATTTGTAATGTAAAAAGAATAACTCATCCATTTTTTTTTTCCTTTCCTTTCGTTTCTAATTTCTACCAAATGAATGAAGTCTTATCTTCTCTCCAATATTAGTTAGATTATCAAATTAAATTAAAATTTAGTGAAAGCACATGCATGGTGCCAGGATGGTTTGGAAAATGAGTCATAAATGTGATGGGCCCACTCAATGAATTGGCCGGTTTTTTTTTTTTTTTTTTTTTTTTTTTTTTTTTTCCTAGTTAGTACTCACACACACTGCCTTCGTACAATAATTTATGTTCACGTGTATCGTGTTGATTTATGAGTATTATGTTAAATAGGTAAATTTGAACAAAATTTGATTGATAATTATGTCAGAAACTTTTAATACGAACGTGACCATAACTTAAGTATAAAAAGTAAAAATACAATAAAATAAAATTGAGATAATAAAAAATAAAATTCATGAAAATGAGAATAATTTAGACAATACAATTACAAAAAAAAGTTCCAAATACACCAGCCATATTGAATTTATATGAAAATAATAGAAATATTCATAATAATGGGGTTAAAATAGGTTACGAGTTGACTTGGCACGA